GAACTACTATACGTCGAAGATATAGGTCGGCTCTAGCTACTAGCTTATCGTTTCTACTCGGGTAAGGTCTATAGTAACTCTATAGCGGGAGATAATAAAGCCTAAGAAGTCGACCCTCTCTATATAGAATATATACTTACTAGGTTTAATAAATAACCTTTACTTAATTAGGCGTTCTAGCACTTCTCGGATATAGTATACGTAGGTCTCTTTATCCTTCGAGAAGATTAGTATATTATTAAGATATACTATTAGATAGACGTTAATAAGTCCTACTAAGGCTCTATTAATATACGCCTAGAAGGTAGCGGGAGTATTCGCGAGTCTAAACGGTATTACCGTATATTCGAAATATCTATAGCGGTATCTAAACGCTATTTTCTACTTATCTCCCTATTTTATATAGATCCTATAATAGGTATCTCGTAGATCTAGTTTAGTATAGATCTATACTCCTAATAATCTTACTAGGGACTTATTAATTAGTAGTAGAGGGTAGCGGTTCTTAATAGTAATCGCGTTTAACCCTCTATAGTCTACGTAGAGTCTAAGCTTACTATCTTTCTTCGGTATAAAGAGGATAGGTATACCCGATTAACTCTTTAAGTATTAGATCTAGCCTTTTTTAAGGTTCTCCTTAATATACTAGCGGAGGACTTCTAACTCCTTAGCGGATAGTGCGTATACTAGCCTCTAAGGGGGTATCTTACCTAGTATTAGCTCGATTACGTAATTATACTCTATATAGGTTAGAAAGGCTATAGTACCTTCTTTACTCGCTATAATAGCTAGATCTTAGTATTCTAGCGGGAGTTTAGTTAGGGGTTATACCGGATAGGGGGTCCTATCTAAGCTTTATATTACCCCTAGTATTACTATAAACTCCCCGGTAACCTTATTAACGTCTAAGTATAGCTCTCCGAGTATATCTTATAGTCTTACTTCTTCCTTAAAGTCTTCTAGCGGGAGGGTTTTAACCTCTAACGGGGCTATATTTCTATACGCCTACTTACTAGTTACTTAGTTAATATCCGGATTTACTAGTCTAAGTTAATCTATTCCTAGGATTATATCGTAGATCGTTATATCTATAGCTTCGTAGGTTATTTTAATAACTCTATAGGTTCTATTCCGGTCTATTAGACTAAGCTATACTTCTTAGCTTCTATATAAAGGGATCTTACGCCCGTCTACGGCTTCTACTAGGCGGATACTTATTATATATATCTCTTCTAGGTTCTCTTTTACCTATTTCTAGCTTACGAAGCTCTAGATTACGCTACTATCTATTAGCGTCTTAGCTACCCCCGTTAGGGCTCTAGTCTTAATATCTAATATTAGTGCGTTATAGATAAGTGCTCGGTATACTCTCTTACGTTCTCTAAAGAGAACTATCCCTAATACTATAGGAGTCTATAATATAGGGTCGTCTATTTTTTTAACTCTTCCGCGGCTATAGCGTTTACTATAGCTTTCTTATAGTAGTCCTTTATATAGTGGCCTAGCTTACTATAGAAGTTATAGAATTTACTATCTCCGCTCTAGTCTTATTTAGACCCTATAGTAGCTTTTCTACCCTCTATAGTAGTCGTAGCTTACTATATAGGGAAGGCGCTATTTCCCTTAAAGGGTCTTCTATTAGATCCTTACGAGTCTATAGTATTTCTTAGCGCTATCTTCCTAGCCTCCCTAAGATATAATATCTTACCTAGTATTACTTTCTTAATTTAGTTATAGAAGGCTACCTAGTCGTCCTATTAATCTATAGCGGGGGCTATAAATCTCCTTACTTTATCTTATACCTCTTTAACGATACCCGTCTCTAAACGGTCGATTCTTATCTATCTAGTCGGCGTATCTTTTAGGCGGTTATAGAGTCCGGTAAGCTTTAAGGCGTATTAGTATATATCCTAATACTTAGCTTACGTTATCTACTACTAGTTATATTTAGCTTCTCGCTATATCTTAATAGGGTCGGTAACCTAAGCGAGCGCCTATATTTCGAAGACCGATTAGGTAAACGTCGTACCTAGGTTATTCCTATAGTATTCTATCTATATTATATTAACCTTCGGCGCTAGGAACTCGGTTACTTAGTCTATCTTACGTACGTTATTAGTAAACTAGTTAGGGTATCTATTCTAGAAGACTTCCTAGTTCGACTTAAAGAGATTATATTCGCCCGAACTCTTAGCTCTATATATTATTATATTATAGGGTATACGTAGTTCCCTCGCTTCCTTCTAATAGGATAGGTAGCCTCCGGCACTTCCTTACGATATAATCGAGTTCGTATAGGTAGTATCGGGTAGTTAGTAGGTAGTTTAGCTAGTAGTACTACCTAGCGAACCCCGACGGATCTTAGATCCTTATATTCTCGCCTATAGGATTACTACGTTTTCTTCTTTATCTTATAGCTCTACGCGGATCCTATTTTTCTTCTTTACTAGAGCTAGACGTCTTTTAAGGGTCTCTAACTCTCGGAGTTCCGCCTCCTCGTCTACCTCGGTCGGGGTTATCGGATCCGGCGGGTTTCCTCCCTAAGGGTTATCGTCGACTCCCTATATCTCTACCTCTTCTAGTAGGGGTTATAGGGGTCCCGGGACGTCGTTCGTTTCCGCGATCGGGGCTAAGGTTCCCCTTAGGCGGTCGCTCGTGCGTCGAGTTATCGATATTACGTATTCTAACGGTCTAGTTTAATTAAGATTTAGCGATTAGAATGTTAGGACCGGCGTGCTAGCGGGTCCTAGTAGGTAATATAGAACTAGAGTGAAGGAATAGTAGGGTACTAGTATATTTATAAACTAATCGCTAAAGAGCTAAGTTCCCCTAGCAGTCTCTATATAGATGACCTTTAGCGGGTCACGGGACTAGGTCACCTGACCCGGCAGGACTTAGTCTCCCTAGTACGGTCTCTGGCGGGGGGTTATGCTACCCCTACTGGGTCACGGGTTCTAGGTCACTGGACCAGGCGGGATCTAGCCTGTGAGGCACTCTCCTAGCAGAGGGTCGTAATAGACTACCCGGTAAATACTAGAAACTCCGCTATATACTATATAGTCTATAGGTCTTACCTAGACTTTAGTAGTAGGAAGTAACTAGTATATTTCGTAAGCTAGGTCTATAATAAGCCCTAGAAGACCCCTATATCTTTATCGGAAATAGACTAATAGTCTTCTTTTATATAGACGATATCTTAATTACTTATTATAAAGATATATAAAGAAGGGCTATATAACTAGAGCGAGATCTAGAAGTATACTAAGAATTAATAGACTACGGAGAGATAGTATAGTTTCTTAATATCCGTATTATTAGAGATAGATAGTAAAAGAAGCTATAGCTTTATTAAGATAGCTATATAGTAAGTATCGCTATACGATATAATCTTATAGATAGACTAGCGGTATATACCCTAATACCTATCGAAGATCTAACCCTATTTTAGGGAGTAGCTACGGTATAAGAGATCCTATTATACTAAAAGAAGGTAGGATCTACTAGATATACTACTATAATTATAAGACTAGATACTATAAAATTAACTACTCGTCTAGTATAATATTTAATAAACCTAGGCCCCTAGTACTATTAGATAGCTAATAGAGTTATTACCTACCTTAATTCTACCCGCTATCTCGCTATTAAATATAGTATAGATTCTAGAATAGACTTTATATAATTTACTAGTAATACTTTATATAGGGATTATCCCGATAGAAAGAGCTCCGCTAGCTATATCTACTAGGTATACGGCGGGCTAATCGACTAGAAGGCTAGTAAGTAGCCTATAGTCACTACCTCTACCACTAAAGCTAAGCTCCTCGGTCTCTTAGAGACTACAAAATAACTATAATAGTGGCGTAGACTTCTTAATACCCTCGGTTTTATCCCTTCCTATTAACTAAGCATCGATTACGATAATTAGCGCACTATTAGTCTTCTAACTAGCGAGGACACGGCGTTCGAGACGAAACTACAACATATTAATATTTATCGGCACTAGCTTAGATAGGAAGTTAGGGAAGGAAGAATCAAGGTGAAATAGGTACCGATAGCTAGTATAGCTGCAGACGGACTTATAAAGTTACTCACTAGGCAAAAGCATAAAGCTTTCCTCAAAATGTTAAGGATAACAGATATAAGCTATCTAATAGTAGGAGCTATTTGACAGCATAGGTCATTTAATCAATAAAGGGAGAGAAATAGCATACCGACTAGGGTGCAGGAAGTAGCTAGACTATACTGGCCTAGCTAAGGGGGTGTGTCGGAGCATGAGATCGGCATACCGGAAGTTTAGTTTATCCTGTCTACGCAGTATTTTTGATATTAGTCAGATAGTCATATTTCCTACTAGAATAGTGGATATAGAAATACAGAGATTTCAACTCCCTTGATTGGACCCCTACTATACTGAATACCACGTCAGTTGACATCGGTACACGGCCTTGAAAATCCGGAGTATACGTTTCATTTGGGCACCGTGCAGATTACACATATCATGAATAGTGACATAGTGCATGTGAAATCTGATCAAAAAAATAGGGCGCAGCTGTACGGAGTAGCGTTGCATAATACATCTGTCCCCCCAAAAGGGGAATGCCTTCTGCAAGAGTAGGAGACGCTTTATCTTGAACTTTATCTCTTCCCATCTGGCCTGCCTTCATTATATCATCACGCCGCCATGCCATTGCCGGAATCACGTATTGGGAAACGAAGACGGAGCCGGAATGCATCAGGCAAGCCGAAAGTGAGCAAGGCACGATCTTGTGAGGCTTGTCGGCGCTTGAAAACTCGATGCGAAACGGGCGGCTCCGATCGATGCCATCGCTGCGAGGTGCTCCGGTAGTAATCTGGATCTCGGGGTCGAGTGATTGAAGTTTCGTGGCTGACCTTCTTTAGAATCGGCTGTTCCTTTCAAGCTGCTTCCCGCAATCATTCTCCAAGCCGAGAGGCGGTAGCTGCTTCTCAAACAAGACGTGATGATTATCACACACGGTATGTCTGCTGAGATGGATATGATCGATAGTATTAGCTTTGATGAAGATACTGATAATGGGAAAAGGCTTTGTGCAGTGGAAACCACTCTGACTCAGCTTCAAGCATCACTGTCTGTTCGCCGTGAGAGCGACTCCATTAATGGACCAGTGGTAAATTGAACGACATTTCTGTGTTTTAGACAAGGCGGTTAATTAGAGCTTCTAGGTCTCTCCATCAATCACCGAGCGAGCAACACGCGATGCGCCCATGAATCTTGTCCAAGAAATCCGACAGAACATCACTCCGAATGAACAGCCCTTGGCCAACGAGGATAGCACTGAGGATATGATAATCAATGGCATAATCTCCGAGGACCTCTCTCTCATACTTCTCCAAGGGTGAACATATTCTCTCCAATTTGCGAGAGACCTTTTCTAAGATTATCTTCTCAGATTCTCGAAACTGTCCAGCCGTTGGTTGTTCATGAGTACAGACCCTGCCCATTTACGGACCAAATCGCCACTCCTATTCGGTACTTGCATCCTAGCAGGTCTACATATCACCCCGTCTTTACATGGATCATCGACACATCAAGCATTATATCGCCACGTCCGTAGACTGCTAGGCCAAGCCCACCTTTCTTCAATTGCCTCCCTCGACACAATCCAGTCCATGTTGATATTCTCCATGTGGGACCTGCGACCAACTCTAGGCCCCGACCATGGCAACTCATGGCTTCTCAGTGGAACAGCAGCTATGCGAACTATCATGACTACTTCCTTTGGTCAACTTCCAAAGACAAGCGACACTGATGGACGCGAACACACCCAAGCACAAGAGATAATGCGCACCTGGAACTTGATATGTCTCTGTCAGCTACAGTGCGTCACCCCGGACGATCTCAAATTCTTACAAGGAAATCTAATAGCGATCTAGGTTTTCTGTGGGCTCTGGTCGCCCACCGATCATCTCCAGTCAATACTTTGACGAATGCGACAAGGTCCTCGGTTTTACCTCCTACAATGCACGCGATGAACTTGTATTGGCCGGTATCAGGCTATACCGAGTTCTCTGGAAAATCATAAATTCGAATGTGGTACAACGACAAAGTACCGCTTGGCCCGAAATTGACGACTTGCGGAAGTCCCAGGACAACGTATACAGTAAGCGAATCATAGTTTGCGACACCTAGTTCAAAATTGATCCGCCTGTTTAACAGAACTCGATTCGTCGGAACCGCTACGCTTTGCATACTCATGTGCTTACCTGATCCTAGCACGTCGCACGCTGCAGCCTCTGGGAGAGTCCGAGCCAGATGAGATGGGAACCCCAAGGACATCACCAGAGGAAACAGCACTTCCGTTTATTCAATTCGCAATCAGCCACTCACGTAAACTTCTGAACTCATTCGTGTCCATGTCAGATCTAACCACCTACATCCACCCTGCTTACGAGAACGTGCTGTGTTCCTTTGCAATGGTGACACTAGCCGAGTTTGTGGCGCATGTGCATGACGTTGGAAATATGATTGTTCTCATGGAGCAGGCCCTGACACATATTCAATGTGGCGGCAAGGCGGAGCCCGTGAGCCGTTGGTCGCTGAATATCATGAAGCAATATATGGCAGATGAGTTTGATCAGGAGTCTGTGACAGTGATGGGAGGGGATTTCACAGGGGCTAATTTGCAGCATGCCCCGGAACCCTGGGATTGTAATGAATGGGGATTTGATCAGGAATTCCCGTCGCTTGAAGAAATGTTCTTCGGAAATGTGGTTTGAATTGAGACCAGATATTTACATGTTGCCCCCCATTCTGCATATCATTCATTCCTCTCAGAGCCTCATAAGTAAAACACATGAGGCTTCAATTCCGTTGTCTCAATCTGATACCTGCATAGCACTCCTTGGGCTTTTTCGAGAATCCCTCATGCGATTCCATGATTGGCTGGTACAGTGCAAACTCATATCGATGGAACAAAGTCCCGATGATCAATTGCAATTCCATGATGGCAACATTTTGCCCGACGCAAGCCCGTGGCCCGTATGAGAATGGGTTGAAGGCTGTTTTCTGTCGCGCTGTCAAATCCAACCAACGGTCGGGCTTGAATTCTTCCACGTCATCCCCCCAAATTTCCTTCATATGATGGATGGTGTATGATGGGACTGAAAGTACGGTTCCAGGTGGAAAATGAAATCCGTCAAATTCCACACCTGGGCTGTGATCGGCGACCAAGCGTGGGAGGCCAATGGCCGAGGTAGAATGAAGTCGCATCGCTTCATCAATGCACCTTCGCAGGAACGGTAGGTCTTTCATTTGGGCGTAAGTGGCAATCTTTGCTTCGGAATTCACCGCCTGATCTAACTCGTCTTGTAGCCGCGGGATTATCGTTCCCGGGGCGCTGCGTTCTCCGTGCAGGATCCAGTAGAAGATGCCACAGGCTGTGTTGGAGATTGTGTCAGAGCCAGCAATTAGCTGTGTCAATGCTTCTGCTATCAGTTCATCCGGTCCCATGGGCTGCCCATTGGAATCTTTGGCTTGAAGCAAGCGGGACAGAATATCGTCGCGAGAGTCGACCAATCCCTTCTCCACGGCATCCAATCGTGATGCGACAGCTGCGACAGCAATTCCCGTCAGGTTTTCCACAGCAGCCACACCCTTAGTGAAGAAGGGATCAGGAAGGTACTTAGCCCATGGACGTAGTGCTGGTAGAAGTCCTAATGTCGATGAGATCTCGCCTCGTCTGTTCAACACGTCGACAGCCGGGGTATACGAGATGGGTCCGCCGGGTACGAGCTGCGTCTCAGTCTCGTCTTTTCCTTTGTTCACCATGCCGAACGGGGAACCAAATGCCAAATCTCCAATTATATCGAAGGCGATGTAGCTGAACCAAGGCATTGCATTGTACCGAGCATATTGCTTTCCATCGCCCTGAGCCGCGATGCGGTCCAGCTGGCTTGTCCATCGCTGAAGGTTCTCCGCCATGAACGGCTCAAAAGCAGCCACCGACTTAGGCGAGAAGGCATGTGCTATGATCTTCCGCTTGCGGGTGTGTTCTGCGCGGTCGCGCACATTGAACATGCCCGGTGTCCGCGCCACAAATGCTTCATAGTAGTGACTAGAGATCTTTCGTTAATGCTGATGATCACAATGGAATCAAGCAACATAACTTACTCCTTGAGGAAGCCGTTTCCGTGTCCATATACCACATTCAGTGCCCGTTCGTCGGCGATCGAGACATGATTAAAGCCAATACGGACGACCTTGCCGTGCTTGCGATGCGCCGAGTCGACTGCCGCATATTTCTGTCCATGTTTGGCACTTAGTCCGACCCAGATATTGCTGAATTTTGCAACAAAAGGGCCAGGGACTCCACTCAAATGCCCGTATGTTACTAGATATGGGTATATATAATAGACCGCGAACCATACCGGGATGGCTACGGCCACGGTCCAAGGTGAGAGCAAAAGTGTTAGAAGAGCCATTAGAAGATGTTCATCAAAGTGAATGGTCTCAATTGATGAGATAGACAGTTTCTTGCCATTTTCCCTCCCCATTTTAAATGAAATTCGTTGTCCTCGCCACTTCGCGTGGTTGGGTATCCATCCGACGGAGTACAGACAACACCGTCGGAGAAGAGACACAAGTATCCATGATCAATGTACGATGACCAAACATCCCACAAAAGATTGATTAATACAAGGCTCTGGTTAACAAAAAGATAATCTACTTTCAATGGCCCCTCATGGGTCGCCATTATCGGTCGTGCTGTGTTCATGTTAACGGGCATAAGCGGCCGTAAAGCGGCATTCTCGTTCGCGGCCGAAGTCTCCGTCCTGCCAGTGAGAGATACATTATACTCTCTACCTGAATCCTATCATCTCAACAGGCTCTCCATGGAAGCTCAACCTCGCCGACGCCGAAAGCCAGCTCGGTCGTGCATTGAATGTCGCTGTCGCAAAATTCGCTGCGACCGCACCGATCCTTGTACGCCTTGTGTTTCTGCCTACGCATGGTGCATGTACAAGACTTACGCCGATCGACTTGAAGTGCAGTCTCAACACAGTTCAATATCAACGCTGATCACAGTCGCACCTTCATCTTCGCATGTCTCATTGGGCATTGAGATTGAGACCTCGTCGGCGAGAGACCATCGCCAGTTGATAGAGTCCCGCACTGCGACAGAGATACCAACACCCACAGAGTTAACACAAGATGTTATAATTTCCTCTGTTCAAGGTATTCCACAACAACCGAACAGTGCACAAGATTTTGGACCTAATCTTGAAGATCTCTTACGACGAGTTCAAAGCCTGGAGCAGTCTTCAGCAAGAGGATACGTCTCTGGCTTATCCGAAAAAACTCGGGAAATATTTGACCGCCCATCTCACTAGAAACCTTGGATGGAATTTCCACGAAGACTCGAGTGCTGCGATGGAGCTTATGGATGGATACAGCTAAGGAGGTATGGTGACTGTTTCCCTCGGCGTCCAGCCATCCTGCCAACTATTTGGTAAGTTTGGGCCATTTATGGACCTTTATAGCCATGCTATTGGGAAATGTAAAGGAGAAAGATTTCAAAGGCACTGAGATCAAACTTCCCCTTTCCCAAATAGGTGATCTGCTACAGAGATGCAAAAATATAACGAGGAGCATTAAGGTTTGGCGTCCAGGCTGATCATTAACAAATCCCCAGCTTGGCCTTGAACCCCCAGCTCGTGGTGTATTAGACAAGATGGTTACCTTGTATCTGCCATCATTTGAGTCGACACACAGAATTCTTCACATTCGTTCTTTTTGGGCTGATTACGAGAGATACTGGAATAATCCACGCCATTTTCAAACGAGTTGCGCCTAGTATTCTTCTTGTCATCGAGGTAGGGCCGAGTTTGCACGAGGAGGAAGCCATGGGTATTTGACCTTTTTGTCATCACTCTGGTATGATTCAAATTATTTTTACGTCATTTTTCAGAGGGATCCCCGCTGACGAGATGGAGTATTTTTATCTCTCATCCAGTCTTCCTCCGACCTTGAATCCGTGGCTTTGGTGATAGCTTGTCTATTCAGCTCAAACAAAGTTCATTCTTCATAAATAGACATGGAATGGACATAAGCGTCAACAATCAGGCAATTACTGTGCGTTTGATTTGCTACTGGCTAATATAATCACACCAGGTGCCAGAGTTGCGGCAAGGCCTAATGGGACCTTGCTCCGATATTGCATTCCTGAAACACAAGGGCCTAGAACCGAATAAGCAGCTAATCCTTCCTTACATAAAGGAGAGTTAGCAAGCGAGCTCGGCTCAGGGCTTCGAAATTACGGCCTTGGATAAGAAAGGGCCCGGACGATCTGCGACAGGCTACCTATGGACAGTTGTAACTTTACGGAAGTCATTTACGTACATCGTCTAAATTCCCATCCTCGGGTCTGAAAACATTTGATGCTTATCCGGTATAAGCCTAGCGAAAGCCACTGTGTTATTGTCACTGCGGTTTGGCCCGACACACCCTCTGCAGGATTTAATTAACTCGAACATAGCGTCTGGAAATCTGCGAATCAGGTATCTCCCCCCATGTGCTCATCATATGATTGATAGACATCATTTTGACAGACCCCACTGTTCTCCACATTCTACACGGGCGATGTGCCCTCAAGAAGAATAGACTGCCATGTCGCTGAGGGGTTGCTCCACTCGGCAGGTCCGAGCATCGGTCGATTTTAACTGTTTGATCTTATCTGATCCGCCTTCCACCCAGGGTTCAGCTTCTCTAATTTCTCCTAATTTCTTTCACGCGATTGCGATTGTTGGGATATTCTTCACTGTGACACGCAGATCGCCAAATAATCGATAAATTGTCTGCCAGCTGCGACACAATGGCGAGTGAAGGCCTTCCCAAGGGTCAGGACCTCTCTGATCCTGAAGTACAAGAGATCCTAGAAGGAAACGCCCGATTCCGCCGCTTGGGCTGGAAGCGACTCACGATCATCTCCATAGTCGAGGCTATCGCTCTGGGGAGTCTAGGCCTGCCTTCAGCATTCGCTGCTCTCGGCATGGTGGCAGGTGTGATCTTGACCATTGGTCTCGGCTTTGTTGCCATTTACGCAGGTTACAACATCGGCGAGGTCAAACTACGTTATCCGCAAGTTGGCCACTATGCAGATGTCGGTCGACTCCTGTTAGGGAACTTGGGATCGAAGCTCTTTGTGGGCAGTTTTGTTGCTCTGCTTGTCTTCGTTATTGGGTCACACTGCTTGACTGGCGCGATTGCGTTTCAGAACATCACTCAAAGCAGTTCGTGCTCCGTCATTTTTAGCGTTGTATCGGCTGCAATTCTGATGCTTCTCGCTATCCCGCCATCCTTTGCGGAGATTGCGATCCTAGGCTATGTTGATTTTGCTTCGATTATCTTGGCTATTGGGATTACTATGATTGCCACCGGTATTCAAAGTTCAAATGGTTCTGGTGACTTTGGGGCAGATCACCTGCCGTGGTCCGCCTGGCCGAAACCTGGCCTCACTTTCTCGGCGGCTATTGTAGCTACCAATAACATCGTGTTTGCATATTCCTTCGCTGGATGTCTGCCATCGTTTATGGAAGATATGCATACCCCCGAAGATTACATCAAAACGCTATGGTGGCTAGGGGGCATTCAGATTGTCGTTTACACTCTTACTGGGTCAATCATATACGCCTTTGTTGGACAGGGGGTGCAGTCACCTGCACTGCTATCTGCGGGGCCCGTTGTCTCCAGGGTCGTCTTTGGCATAGCACTTCCAGTCATATTTATTTCGGGATCTATCAACACCACGGTTGTATGTCGATACATTCATGGAAAGATATACCGCGACTCAGTTGTCCGCTTCGTCAACACCACCAAAGGTTGGACTACATGGCTCAGTCTTGTTTCCATTGTTACAATTCTTGCCTGGATTATCGCCGAAGCCATTCCTATTTTCTCTGAATTGCTTTCAATCATTTCTTCTTTATTTGTCTCCGGTCTTTCTTTCTATATCCCACCAATCATGTGGTACATGCTTTTGAGAGAGGGGGCATGGTACGAGAAACACAACCTGAAGCCTGCGATTTTCAATGCGGTGGTCTTTCTTGTCGGCATGATTATTTTTGGATGCGGTACCTACTCCAGCGTTGCTGAATTGGTAATTCTTTGATTTCCCCATTACGTTTCGGCGAAGACATTCTAACCTCATGCTCCCCAGGTTAACAAATTCCGCTCGGGCTCTGTCAGCAAACCATTCACTTGCTCTTGAATATTCCAAAGATTATGGGATGTATGTCTTGACTCCGGGCTTGGTGTCTTATCAATGGTGCCGATATAAAAGTTTAACTCGGAAACAGAAATTACTATTATTGAGGCAGAAAGACCTAGCTATATTCACTGATTTCCTTCATATCCTTCCTTTTCGAGCCTCATAGGCTACTTTCTTCAGGAAGAACAAAGGAAACAGACAGCATAGGAGATCTCGAACTTTCTTTAAGGCCCTCGGCTGGGAAAGCCGTCAAATCGATGTGAAAGAATGCATTCTGTTTTCATTGTGATCAAATAGCTCAGTCGGAACGGATTCTCTAGTTACAACATTGAAAGGAAATTCTGTTCTTTATGTCTTTTTTCTGTCGTTTCAGCCTCTCGATATCTGTACTGAAAGTTTCCCATTCAATGTTGCAACTCGTCGACTCGTCCCATCGTGAACCCGCTATTTTCCTCGGTTCAATAATGCAAATGTCGTCCGTTCATCGTCAAAATCGAAGAAGATCCCAATCACCTTGGGGGCAGTATGTTCGCCTGCCTCAATCCTTGCAAACTAATCTTGCGGTTTTCGGGAGAGATCCTTTGCTATTTTCAGGGACGCTGAGTGCCACGATGTCTTCTTGGTTCCCAACTCTTTGTTCTTTTGATTCGAGTGCTAAATTTACACTTTGACTTGATTCCCACGTATGATTCGTGATCAAAAACTACGTTTAGGACAATAGTTAAAACCCTCTCCCTCCCCCTCTGGATTACTTCTTCGGGAATGCCTCTCAGATTGTTGACGCTGGATATCAATCAACTTTGTTCTTGAAACTCCCAAATATTGCTCTCCTCCAACATGGCGTACATATCTCCTAATGGTTGTCTTATGTACACTTGGCGCACATACGATATATTTTATACCAGAGTCACGCAAAGAGCCAGGCGCTACGAGGTCAAGCCCGTATTGCCCGAGACCGATGTCTGTGATATACCCTTATTGGCATGGTTTAAGAATGGCCTTCCTTCAACCTGGGTCTATGAAAATGAAATGGAACTCCCAATTGAAGTGGTCCATAACTGGGCCGACCATGTTGATATTGCCAAACTCCCTCAGTCCTTTTTCAACCTGATCATGGATCGCATGTTTCCTCTACCTTTCCCTCATAATGAGGAAAGACCTCCATCTCCCCTCTTGGAACCTGATGCTGTCGAGTTTGATCACCGCCCTGTGTTACCCCCGCGAAGCTATTACAACGTTGATGACCTCCATTCGGTCCTCAAACTTGAGGATCAATCTCCAGTCATTCGTCAAAAGGTCCGTCGTTGGATCGAAAGCAATGACCATGCGAGGAACGGTTGGATGGGCGCGTTGAGGGAGGAATTCATCTTTCATTCCTTGCAGGATGCACGCGCCACTATCGCCTTCAACGGCGGGGTTCAAGCACACCCAAGACCAGACGTGATCTGTCAAATGGCTGCGAAAAATACCGAGCATATACATTTTTGTATCAAATACTGCCAGTTGAGTCCTGCGGCCTACGACCGCACAGGAAAAAGCTTGTTGGCTGCAGCCATTTACGCCAACAACGAAGAGAGTATGATTATGCTGATTGATATGATTCCTGGTCGTGTGCTCTGCAGGCCAATGGAAGTATCTACAATTCCACTCCGGCAAGATGCACCCCCAAGCTCACCGGGCAGCGATCGCATTGAAGAAATAAGGGACATAGAAGCGGAGTGGTATTCTCCCAGTTATATCGATATTTGGAGATGGGACGCACTGCATTGGCTGGTTAGGCTACGGAATCCTCTTGTGTTGCATGCCATGGTCTGCAAGTACATTGAGGACCAAATCGGTTTCCCGGATTGGTTTCAGTCATACGAATACAGTCTCCGTATCTGTCAGTTTATACACCCCGAAACCGCCGACTTGCTATATATCAATGGCTACAACATCTCCAGTACATTGCTCGCAATACCAAGGCTACGGATTCCACCTCCTGGAGCCCATGTGACAACCATGACGTCCCTCGAACACCTGTGGGAAGACTACAACGATCCCCAGGACCTTCGTCGCAACCCCGGTGTGGGAGAGTACTCCTATATCGATCCGTACATCACGAGCTCTTGGCACGAAGCAACCAAGCATCCCGACGGGGCTAGATTCATGGGATGGCTAGCAAGGAGGTCGCGACTGAGTCCATACATCACCAACGACAAGGGCCATACACCGCTTCACCACGCGGCTTTGGGAAACGAAGTGAGCTGCCTGGGATGGCTTTGTGAATATTTGGAGGTTCTGCACATTTGCACCGAAAAGCAACCAAACGGTGAGCCCGACAAAATCTATAATGCCGTTGTGTTAGCTGCACTTTCTCGGAGCTGGAACAGTGTCAAGGTTTTTGATGCCATTATATTCCACTCTCCAGAAGACTACCAAAACGACTTCGAAGCTGTCAAGTGTGTCTTCCGTGCTATCATGTACGGTCTGGACGTTTGGATGAAAGATGAACCACCAGAATACGCGGGCTTCCAGACTCGGGCTATTCCCCGAACTGGACTTCGCTTGCCCACGCCCCGACAGCTTGCTACTCAGAAGTGCCAGGCATTTGTCGCCCGCCTGCCCGCTACGTGGGATGGTTCCGTAGATCAGCAACAGGTCCTTGAGGAAGCCAAGGGCTACAGTTTTCATTTCCTTCAGCACAGTATGCGAACACCAAGAGCCGCGACTCGATCGATGACGCGAGTCGAGGAACAAGCAGAGATCATGGAGGAGAGAGCAACCGAATTGGAAGCCGAATGGCGAGCCCAGTCAACCCATCCTGAGATGAGCGATAAAGTCCAACTTGCGAAGGAAGCCCAGGAAGATGGGTTTAGAATCGTTGGTAACGAAGAATATTATGCAGAATTAGGAGAGTGCTTAAAAAAGGAACGAGCTCGAACTAAAGCGGAGCTCCAGAGGCGAGAGGAGGCTCGGTCGTGGGAGGGAACCTGGAAAAAGGTGAAGGAGGCCCTTTACGACACCCTGCCAGGGGTAGGTAATATGATTTAATGTGCGTTTTTGCGTCATTCTGTGCTTTTTTAGTGTTTAACCATTCTCAATCAAACAATATGACGAAACTTTGTAGTATGTTGGCTTTGAATTTCGACTATGTGTAGGCATATATCCATCCCTAATGTAATCCTAATTTTTCCAGGACCGCTTTATTTATTAGTTTTCTGCTTCTCCTTCCGCCGTTCAGAATCAATGAATAGTTAATGCAACCGTATTACCTTCTGTCCTTCATAGCCTAAGGAAACCGATAATGATATCTTTGTTGGAGATGAAAGAACTTGATCCCCTAGACTAGACTTCTGCGTGTATTTCAGACTTGATATAGTCGAATTCAATCCTGACATCCATTTAGGACCTGGAGTCTTCATCTGTACTTCCAGAGCATCCTGTATGAGTCCTATATATTACTTCTGATGGACATGAAGATGGAGAGAAACCAGGGATATGTTATTGAGTTGAGAAGAAGCTAAATCTGGAAACCCAGTCTACACTATGTGGTAGCTCGAACCCTGAGGCTATCTCCATAATAGTGACTCAATCTATCTCATTGCATACCCACGTAAGCTCTTAGTAGGCTTGGAAACTTGAAACCATGAGACGATCCCTACGAATCTGCAGGCTAAACCCCAATATCATGCGAGGGACTGATCGAAGGTAAGTCTACTCCGCCTCATCTGTGCGGCCATCCATTATATTGCGAGTCTTTCAAATACATGTCATTACATTAAGCTTATCTAGGTCCACGGGTAACCACATTAACCAGGAGAGGAGACTATTTGTACCTCCAAAGAAGCTCACTGAAGCACAGTATCAAAGAATTGCGGCGGGCAGAACTCATACACAGGATTTGCATAGCATGAGATACCTATAAATCCATTTTAGTAAACTGTAATACTATCTAGGTGGTCAATTTCTCTATTTTTCTTACCCTCTATATCCTGTTGTTCCTTTCATTCTTCGCCTTCCATCGGATCTTCTCACTAATATCCACCAAACCGACCAAATTGATCTCCTCCAAACTCACCTCCTCCATCAAACTCTCCAAACTCACCAAACTCACCTTCTCCTTCAGGTCTACCGAAGGTATTATTCTGCGCCAAAAATGCATCCATAGCTTGGAGATCCTTGTCGGCCAAGCCTTCTGTGTTGAATAGGTCGGGATCTAGAAGTCCAGCTAGATTGTCATCGTTCCCCTGGCCAATGGGCGGACCAAAGGCTTCCTGATTAAAGAGAGCAGGATCAAGGAGACCAGGATCTAAGATATCAGAACTATTAGCAGCAGGGTCAGGTGCAGGATTAACTGTAGTTTGAGTCTGGCGTCTCGTTCGTCGTCGGGCTGGAGGAGCATCAGAAGCAGCAGGATCAGTTACAGCTTGGGCGTGGTGTGTCTTTCGTCGTCGGGGTGGAGAAGGACCATCATCGTCGTCGTATTCTTCTTCTTCCTCCTCCTCTTCCTCTTCATTTTCTTCTCCAGTACTTTTTCCTCTCATAGCTCGTGCCTCATCTCTCTTACGCTTCGCAGTTTCCCTTCTCTTAGCCTGGTATGCAGCCATCCGTTGCTCGTAGGGACCGAGTGTGCGATTGGCTGAGCTAGCGACTGGGGCAGCGACTGGAGGATCGACTGGGCGACCGAGTGAGGCGTTAGACCCCATGGCTACCTCAGGACGGGCTAAAGCTGACATTAAATTGAGCGCTCCACCTACATAAAATAAATATTAGTATAAACTCAGGGGGGAATTGGAGGGAAGTACTTACCTGACATGTTAGAACTTCGGATAATGATCGTCATATTAGGTCTGACTAGAGGTGAGTCCGATCTTTGTCCAAGGGGGTCTGGGGATGGGCATTTAAGGTTAACCCAATATCCATGAATGGTTCGCAGAATGGTCGACGTGAAATTCAAAGCAGTCAGTCGTGACTCACCAGTATGTGGCCGAGGAAGCAACTGTGGATCCAGCTGATCCAGAGAGAGATAGCTCAGCCAGATTGTTTCGTTTTCGTTGAAATAGCCCTCTGCGACGAGATTCTGTTTGAAAAATTCGAACTCAATATTAGAAATGTTGATCCAGTCGCCATTAGAAGATACATTCAGCGGGTCAGATTTGTCTCTAAGGAGGTCGCTCAGCCTAATGGCAATGGGCATATCGGGGCGCTCTGCCCGAATGATCTGAATATCGACATTGGGCAACACATTAGGTCGATTATAGTCAAATGCAGATTGCCGCAGTCCCTGTTCCAGTTGCAGTCTCTGGGCCAGACCCCTAGGTTGTCCCTGTTCCTGTATATTGCCCTGTTCTTGCGTGCTGGGTGAAGGTCTTATTTGGCTGGTTGGGGTCTCTCTAGTTGAGGGTTGCTTGGTATCTCCCCGCGCCTCATAGGCTACTTCCAGGTCTTCTCCAAGAGCTGTGGTAAGTCGATATAGTGCAGAAACGAGAGCCTTTTTGTCCCTGATGTGAGTAGTCACAGCGGTTGGCACTCTATCTAATCGCTTGTGCCACTCTAAGTGAATATTGTCACGGGATCTACTCGATTTGAAAAGGTTGTCAGTTGTTCTCCCCATAGCTGCAGCCTGGTCTCCGACCTCGTCATAGACTTCTTGAGCGAGGTCGCGAAGGATTTGTTGATGAGTGGGGTCTTGAGGGACGTTGAGACGCTTGTACACATAGGCGGCATCGAAGGCATGAGGCCAAATCTTGGGAGGTCTTGGGTTTGGGAGTTGAGTCATTTTAGCGTTAGCGAAACGTAACCTTGAGATATTGCGGTATATAGTGATAGATATTGTAATAGATGTTGTGATAGATGTTGTGATAGATGTTGTGATAGATGTTGTGATAGATGTTGTGATGGATATTGTGACTTATGGAAGCGAGAGAGGATGCCGTCGACTACATACGTATTTAACCTCAGAGTACTCTTTGTACTCGGATATCTGCCAATATACATTGTGGCTTTGTTTCAATATACATATGTTGTTAGCATCTGAAAGACATATAAAGGAGCAAGGAACCATCTAGGCAACTAAGGCACATGAATTAACAAAGGTTAAACAAGGTTAAACAATGCACGTACGAGGGTGATGTTTTGATGCTTAAAGTCATTGTTCAAGACAATGGGTATTTTTTTCATAATGCTATCTACTGTCAGTTTCTCAAGAACAATGTAGAGACACCTCTCCCTAGTGGCATTAAGCATGGCAAGGTTGGCCTGGTTTACTTGGAACCGTGGCACTTGAAATCATTATTGAAGACACCAATACGAGCAATTTCTATAGAACAAGCAACGAGAAAGTATTTGAAAAAGAAAATTACAAAGCGTCATGGATATTTGCGGTTTAAAAGAAATCCCTAGATATGGACAGGAAATTTGTGATGAGCCCTCACGATTGGCCAGTCGCCATAAAAAGCAGAAAATTAGAAGATCCCCGAAACACCGTCTATTCATCTTTCGACTTCCGATCGAACATCTTAGTGAGAGGTAGAGATGTATGCATGGCCGGCCTCATTAAGAGTGCTGCCGCTGAGCAAGTACTTCTCAGCACACATGAAATAAGAGTAGCGGGTGACACCAGGTTGATTATCCAACCAAGGGATAACTTCGTTGAGGAAAGAGGTAGTGATAGCCATGTTCGAAGAGCCATTGACATCAGCATTGAGAGCAAACTCGGTGATCCAGACCTCAGACAAGCCATGCTTGTTAGCAGTGTCGATGGCCTTGGTGACGAAGGACTTGAATTGGTCGGCAGATTCGCCGTACCAGTGAACAGCCAGTCCAGAGATACCACAGCTGCTGCACATTCCGATAAAGGATTCAAACCAGCTCAGGCCAAGACCAGTTTCGGTGGAAGATGTCACGGCGGGCGATATAAGCTTCGCCTTGCCAGAGAAGGGGGTAATATATCTTTTGTAGTAGTTGGCAGCATCTGAGGGACTCATGCTGGCTTGAGAGGGCATGTCGGGCTCATTGAATCCTAAGATGTAGCTGCTGCCGCTAGAGAGTGCGGTCTCGAGAGTGGTCACCCAACCGCCGAAGTCTTTGGAGCCCCAAAGCATGGGAACATATTCGACGTTTGAGGGAAGTAGACCGGAGAGAGAGCCAGCCCAGTTGTAGGCCCATGAGACAGCACCGCTGCCGGCGAGGGCAGACACAGTGGAGATGTCGTTGTAGGCGGCACCACGCTTGCTGGAAGAGGATCGCTTCACCTGCGTAGGGGCAGCGATGGCCGAGGTGGCGACCAGGCTAGCGGTGAAAAGCTTGGTAAAGGAGACCATTTTGAAGGGTGTCGAAAGGATTGATACAAATCACGAAACAACGGACTTGAGGGGTATAAAAATGTAGGAAGGAGAAACCTGTTCTCGACCTCCTGTAAAGAAGAAAGGAATGAGCGTAGAAATCTCGTGGCTTGAAGGAGAGTGAGGTTAGACCGTGCACGGCACAGGACTAGAAGACTAGAAAACAATGAATGAGAGATGGATAATGGAGAGAAAAAGGAGGAATAGAGACAATACGCAGGCAGGGGGAGGGGGAGGGGGGCCTTTAAATCCCCGGGCATCTGTGTGTCGAACCTACCAGGCAACCCATCTTGCTGGCAATGAATTGATTTCTTCAGCTTCGGTGGAGCGCGGGTGAAAACCGCCATTGGGTGTTCGGGCGCCGAGTGAGGCGGTTCTACATCATAACCCATGTCTTCGACTAGGGCAATACTTAACGCCAGATATAATTGGCGGGGTGCAGCAGGGGGAGTCGATGGATCTCAAGAGACTTCAGTTTTGGGCCCGTTGACAGGACCTGGAACTATGGTGATTGGCTTGAACCGAGCGTCTTTTCTTCCATTGCCAATGATAGTCACGCATGCCCACGCTAACTGTCGCTAGTTTTTCTTCGATTCTTCTATCAAAAAGGCTCTCATCTGGTTTCACTCCACGGCCAAGATCTGTAGACCACTCCACAGCAGCCTGGACCGTAATGGGGTCTGTTACAGTCTGTTACATCGCATTTTGAAAGGTGTCTCGCAGTGACTTCCGGGGGAATACTCGCCATAGACCGCACTTTTGTTCCTGGTGCCTGACCGAAACGCCATCCGCCACATAGCAATAATTGGCTTTACCCCTAACGGGACTCGAAGGTATGCAATGAGCAACAATGATAGAAGCCCGTGAGACAAATTGACATAAATTGAGGTGCAGTGGGGGCAACAGCGTACCGTGGATGACAAGCCATTGTCCAATGGCCCGTTATGCAGCACGCCGCGCGGTTCCCTGGCTCCCGATCAGGGCGGCCACTCTGATAGGTGCAACCCGGAAACATCGTCATCGGGGTCAGTGGACGGCCTATCACATCACAGTGACATTGATCATAACCCTAGGAACACAATGAAAACACCAACGTTATATTGCTTTCAATTTAAATGAGGGGGTTTAATCAATCGAAACTTGCTTCGGACACTCTTCTCTGTTCGGATTCGGATTCAGATCCAGTTCATTGCATTCAGCAATACCAGGCATCAATCCGAACTTAATCGCCTTCAATATGACACACCAACTACGAAACCGCCACGACAATAATGAATGTATGGAACGAATCAGCCACTCATAACTCGAACTCCCGATCGACGCCATGTTTCACAAAAGACCCAGACCGTCTCTCCCTTTCACCGATTTATCCCGGTGAGTCTCCTTGCCGCTGGATCGACTGGGGGGCGCTTTCTTCTAGCCCTAGAAGAAAGAGGGGCGTGAAAGCAACCCCTCTTCAACCCCTGCCGATCGATAGCCGAGCAACGGCCAGGACAAGCCTTGCCGGACCACACGCCGGTGTTTTCTCCCGGCGCGGAGTAATTGTTTAGATCGGTAACTCGCTTAACCCCTCATTTTCGATGTTCTTCGCTGTTCTTCCCCGTTGTTCCCTGGCAAGGAGGCGTATCATCCCGATTTTCTGTTTTTCTGGGTATCGACTCTGCTTACTTGGGGACATTGTGTCACCTCTTGCTGATTTGCAGCTTGTATTCCTTTGGATGATGACTGGAAGTAGAAGTCTCCATTCCCAGTCCTCCTATAGGCTATCGGGCCAAAGTCAGCACCCAAGGACAACGATACCCTGCAGGATATGAATGACACAAGGTTTGCGCGCCAAGCAGATTCCAAACTTCACCGATACTGGTCCTGGTGCTCTGTAGTACTCTCTCTACGGTTGCATTGATGTTCAATCCAGCGTTTACTTCACACTTCCACGGACTTACAGTTGCCACTTGCGAGAATTGCAATGTCCCAATGAGATCAGACTTTGATCAACCCCGCCTCTGAAACTAAAAGCCCGGGAAGAGTTCCGAGGCATATGCATGTCTGTATCTTTATTCGAAGAACCAAGACGGGGTTTGATCATCTGAAACACGCTATAATTAACCGATCTCTTTGTAACCCTACCTCAATGTGGACAAAGACCAAGTCCATATCGGTCAATTTACTACTCCGGACATTGTTCAATATTATACTTTCTCGGACTATTATTGTCATCAGCCAATATTAAGATAATTTATCCGAGAACTGAAAGAAAAGAAAATACGATCAGTACAGGTTGTTCTAGCCCCGTTGTCAACGTGGCTTGTCGCAATAATAGACTCGCCGTCTAGCCCCCCGGTTCCCGCTAGCGTTCTGTCCACGTCATTCTCCTGCGCAGCTTTCTGGTAGCTTGCTGGAATTTTACGAAGCACATCAAAACTGACTCATTACTCTGTACGGAGTTCTCCGTAGACAGTTCTATTAATATTGGCAACAGCGCTTCACTATTGATATTATTGGGAACAGAGTGGCATTGCCGTGCATGCAAAAAAGTAATAATAGGAGACGTCAGAGTCGAACACCATCATAACAGTCACCTAGATTCTCATCGAGTGGAGAGTGAGACTCTTTCATGTACCAAGTGTTCCCGCTACCTGACCAGCTTCTGTTTACCCAATCCATTTCTTCAATCTTTACTTTCCACAATACCTAGGTACTCAAGACAATTCCACCTGCACGCTGTCCAAACTTCAAACACAACCGCCATTCCCGTCTACGCTACTAGTCAAATCACCAACTAGGTAGGCTTACTATCTTGCACACTACCCTGCCACTATACCTGGTTAACAGGCTAATTCTATCCACCAATATCTCAGCAGCAGCTAGCATGAAGATTCCCTAAAAAGGCCTATGATTGGACTATTTGAGCTAGTTGGGAAGCTGAATTTGATCACTTCAACGAGCATGTTACGCAGGCTCTGTAGGACAAAATGGACATCTTCGCTCCATCTATGTGCCTATCTAAAATTGCAGGCTTCCTCTTATCGATGGTATCAGATATAGAGAAGAATTTTAACGACTGCCCCTCGTGTCAATAGTAAAACTCCAGGGCTATAAGAATAGTGGTGATTATTCCAAGCTGTCCACTCTAGACTATAAGTCGAACTGTATTCATCTAATATTATTTGAGATGAAAGTGCCGAGGCTGGTGAGATGTGTGTCAAGTTTCTCAGTACCATCATCCACGTCAGCACATTAGCTGGTCAGTACAAGGATCCAAGAGCTTCTAGGCACAAGGCCTAATAAGGCACCGAGTCTTGCATTTAGGTATCTTGTCAAGGGAAGAGCGCCGGGCTCACTCGAAGATCCCGGATAGAATATGGAAGATCCCTAAAGGGCTAAGTGCAATATTCACACGATCTCGACCCAAGGCCATTTAGATGATTTTCCTCTTCCCAGAAAGCGTTCCACGCGCGTATAGCGAAGTTAACAATACGCATGCATTTGCTAACAGCAATTGAGAAGACCTCAACACCCAAAAAAACCCTAGATACACATTTAAAGAAACTTCATCTTTCGGATTTTTGTAATTCTAAATGATGCAGTTTTGGTGGCTGTTAGCATGATGCACATGTGCTATTATACGGCCATTATACCTAAAACCTATCTATACCCAACCCAGACCAGCCATATAATACATCTAGATCAATGAGAACACATATATATCAATTTAAGAAATTAAGAATATGACCTAATATATTTTCCTGCATAGTGTTTCAAGTCTCTACCAAAACGCCATGTCAGACTCCATCTATACGCCCATCCAATCACAGCTACAGCTCATAATCAACACCCAAAGTAGCAGGCGGTGAGCATCGATGATGTAAATTGTCCCGTCTCTCCGCATCATCAACCGGATAGCTCTAGATAACTTAACTTTTAAATACTATTGCTTTTCCCACCTCCAATCCAAAAACCCCCATACAACAATGCTTTCACGTACAGCTCCCCGGGCTCTCCTCGCCTCCGTGCGCCCATCTATGCGCACAACAACACCCACCGCTTCGACCCTCCTCCCCCGAGCCCGCGCCATCCGCCCCAGCTCCGCATCACAGATTACTCGGTCCTTCCAGTCCTCCCCGGCAACTCGCAAGGGTATTCACCCCGAGTCAGCAGACCCCCCAGCTCCTAACCCTCAGCCGACTCCTATCGCCGGCGCTGCCGCCCATGTCACTGAGCCCTCGCCATTGACGCCGGAGCAGTACTACGAGTACTCGGAACATTATTTCAACGTGCTGCAGAGCGAGCTCGAGAAGGCGCAGGAAGAGGGTTCCGATGTTGAGGCTGAGTACAGCGTATGTCCCTCCCATTCTGCGGTCTCCATACAATATCCCCCGCCCGATTTATTCCGTTTTCTTTTTTTCTTTCTTTTTCCCCCTCTTTTCCTCCCCAATTGCAAACAAAGTTCCTTTTTTTCTACGCCGTATGAAGCTGACATAACATTTCTGTTTCCCAGGCTGGTGTCCTAAACATTTCCGTCCCTGCTCTGGGCACATACGTGCTCAACAAGCAACCCCCCAATAAGCAGATCTGGCTCAGTTCGCCTATCTCTGGCCCGAAGCGCTACGACTGGATCATTGAGGGCGATTCTATGCACGAGAAGCAGGATTCCCGGCCTTTTGCCAACGGGCAGTGGATCTACCTGCGCGATGGCTCTAATTTGACTGATCTGTTGAACTCTGAGTTGACCTTGAGTCTGCCCAAGGATATCTACAGCGAAATCATTGAGTGATTGAATTGTCTTGCAGGGCTATCGATTACCCTTAGAAAGAAGGCCATTCTTGTGTTTCTAATTTGTGATGTTGCATACTGTAGTCTACTGTCTAGTTATGATAATGCCGTTGCATTGAGAGCTTTCGCTTGCCCCTTCTTTTACAGGGCTTATTGGGTGGAAGGAGGCGGATGCGTAGTTTGAGAAACATAGTTGTGGGTATCATTTGTGGTGAATGCGCTATTTTGTACGAGTGTTTGGAGAAATCGCTTTGAGAAGTGCTTAGATGATGGGAAGAACTCATTCCATCGCAAATTGAACGATGATATCACAGTCATCTTCTTTTTACAACCCAAGAATGGAATTTATATGACCAAAAGAAGGTTTCAGGTGAGCTGAAACGATGTCTTGCCAGGCCAGATGGTGTTCTCCAAGGCAATATCCCACTCAAGATAAAAGCGGCGGGACCGAGGCAAGATTGAATATGTCGAGTGACACACACATGGATCTCAACACGAATGCAAGAGGGAACTCCAGATAGACCAAGCAAGTCATTCCCAGAGACACCAAGATGCTCGGAAAGATGCATATAGACAACAGTCGCAGCAAAACATGGTACATGCTCGCGCGGGGTGGTGTTCGAAGCGAGGTGAGTTGGATCAAGGATGTCAGACTCAGCAAGAGCGAGACGATGATATCCATGATGTAGATCCATAGCGGCGGTATGGCAAATAACCCAACAGTCCATCGAGTTATTTCCGTCATGGGAATAGCTGCAAGTCGACTTCCAAAACCAACGGCATGGTCCAAATATTTCAGCCCGAGACAGATCCCAGCCTGTCAAGGGTGTTTTGCATAATCTCATTTATCGCACACTCAAGCCTGAACGGCCACCCCGCTCGTGCTCTGTGTATCGGCTTTGGGAAGATCGGCCTGGGAATACCCCGCAGGGCGTACGATTAGAAACTGACCACCTGAAGCGACTGTTTTCGGTTATACGATTAGAAGGGACATACCACATCGAAGATGACTCGGATCATCAGACTGCAACTTGGGCATACGGCGATCTCCTCGCCGTCGCGCAAATCGTCGATTGCGATCTCAAAGCGGTCGCCACATGGGCAGGGATATGTGTAGATCTGCACGTTCGGATCGAAGGTCATATCCTCGATCTCGATCTCATCATAGATGTTAAGTCCTTCGTCGGCCATTTTGAATAGTTATGTTCAATGAGAGAGATGTGGCAAACTAGTTGAGCGTTGACTCTAGAAAAAGTTCGGCGCAGTCATGTGATTCGCGGGGTTAAGCCAGGAACGTCCCCGGATTTAAGAGCCTCCGGCTCGAACTATAGCCTTCAATTTGGCGTAATCCATGCCGTTGCTTTCTTGCGTTCTCTGGGAATGACTTCGTTGGGTCTTTTTTTTTTTTTTTTTTTTTTTTTTTTCGAAAAACTGCTCAAGAGCACCGTCATCAAAGCCTGACACTAGAAATCAGCCATGCCCTCCTTGCTAAACCCAGTCTGTTCGCTTTAGTCTATCGAATGGACGAAGAGCGACGGCTTAAAATAACGTTATTCGTTGAGATTTTTGCTCTTATAGGGATATTTTCATATACGTGAAGTTCTAGTCTGCAATAGCGCCTATGTCACTATTCCCTCTATCCTGTTTCCTGCTTTTCCTTTCCGTTTCAGCCATTGTATGCTACCCAAGCCTCAACGCTCATGAGTACCTAATTGCACAATCCAATTTGTCCCATTTCACTGTCCACCAAGCATTTGACTCGCGTCAAATCCATGCACAAGAGCCCAGATACTAGCACTCGAGGTACAAAAGATGACATCCCAGCTCACGCTACTGCAAGCCGGGTGGGCATATATCGCATCCAGTAGTAGTCGAGCCACCTCGACATACGACACATCTGACCCAATATCTTGCAACATCAACGCAGTGAAGTAAGCCTGCAGAACAACAAAAGCTGCCCCAATCGACTGAATGAAAACAACATATCGACGAGTAGTCTGGTCTCCCTGCGCCTTGGTAGCCTTCGAGGAGACACTGGGACCAAGCAAACAAGGAACAAAAACCAAAAGATGCGGCGCAAGCAGGAGCGGCATAAACTCCTTCTTATGCGCAAAGATCGGAACAGCCACTGTATCAAGAAGCGATAATGTCACGGGGAGGAGCTCGAATATCAATGGTGGTGACCAAGTGAAGGTGACATCCTTCTTGTTTGGTCGTTGGGAGACGAGGATAGTAGCAAAGAAGAGATTCGATGCAAAAGATACAGCGACGAATTGGGCCAGAAGCATGTATACCCAAACATGGGGGATACGGTATCGTCGACCAGTGATACCGAGGAACACGCTCCATCCAATCGTCCATCCGAAGATTTGGCCACTCCACCAGAATCGGATGGAGGTCTCTGATACCGTCTCCCAGGCTTCCTGGAATAGGTATGTGTTCTTCAGCCAAAGGCCCATTCGGACGATGAATGGCATTTCGACGTTTGAGTAGGCCATGCCCTCGGGACTGGTTGCCCAGTTGGTGTATGAATGGATGAATACCATGAACATGTGATACCAGGTGAAAGACAGGCTCAGAACCGCCAGTAAAGCGAAAAGAAAGAATTGCGTGCGTCGCTGGGGTGTGGCCCAGTCATTGTTTTTCTTGCGTGCTTGATACCGAAAATAGATGATGTTGCAGCATGTGAGGGCGAGGATTGCTGCGGTGGAAAGGTAAATAGCCAAGATGGCGAGAGATTGATAATTTATCGGGACCTCAAGGGTGTTGAGGTCGGCCATGTTGGCGATTTGGCTGTAGAAAGCAGACTGTGTGTAACTGGGCTTGAAGAAGAGAGATTGGGGCCGTCGGGGCTCTCGCATAGAAGCCAAGCGGGAGGCTGGGGGCTTAGGGCTAGCGGGGGTACTGATCTCCAGAGCTACTGGAAGATCCATCATACAGATCTAAACAGATTGCATACAACCTGTATGTATACTACTCACATTAATCCCTTGATTATACTATATGCTACCTAGGGTATGCAGCTGTACATCATTCCTCTAATTGTGCAATCTCCCTCTTTACTGCTTCCACTTCTCTTGCCAAAACCCCATATTGACGAGCAATATCTTCAAATGACCCTTCATCCGCATCGAGATCTGTATCTGGTCTTGAGAATTCAGCATCGCCATAAGCTCTCAATTCCCCAATGACCATCCTCTGCCGATGCTCTAAGCGCTCCTTCGTCTGTCGAAGGTGCTGCCTGTATCGAGCGAGAGCAGCAAGTGTTTCAGGCGTATAGAGCGTAGCCGCAATCTCCAATTTCATGACTCTGCAGCGCAAATCGTTAGAACACATATCCAACAGCAAAGGGGATACAATAGCAAAACTCGAAATGGAAAAAGAACAACATACTCTAATTTCCCCTCCACATCCTGTGCAACAAATGCCAAATGCTCCGCCTTAGCCTTTGTCGCCCGCGCCAGAGCCCCATGCTTCGCCCGCTCCAGGATGACAACTGTGCGCTCGAGAACTCGCGCCCGCAGAGCAACTACCTCCGCCGCGGTGGCAGCCATCTTCCGCCTCGCGACCGGCAATTCAGACAGCTGGGTATGGCGCAGCGCGCGAATGCGGGCTTGCAGCTGTGATGAGAGCAGTGGGACGGGTGCCATTGAAGTCCGAACTCGACGGTCGCGGGCTCGGGCGCGCGCATTGTGGTTCGAGCGTGGAGCGGGTGCGTCTTCGGGGGCTATGGCTCTGTCTACGTTCGTGGACGTGAGAGAGCGCAAGACTTGGATGGCGGATGAGAGTTTATTGGAGAAGGGTAAGATGAAGGCTGGGATATTGGAGTAGAACGCCTCGATATCCGGTGCGAGAAAGGAGAGCGCATCGTCTGGTTTCTTGGCTTCAGCATCTGGGCTCGGAGTGTCGAGTTCGATTGCATTGGTCGGAGTCTCCAAGTAAAGGGTTATTATGGCGAGGTTATCGTGGCACTATATATTGGAGGTTGGTTCAGTATGTGGTCTCTCCTTGACAAGGTTCTCTTTGGCGGAACTTGGACTGACCTCCGCGGGTAGGTTGCTATTTGGGGCAAAGGCTAACTGCCGAAGCGTCTGCTCCTTGATTCGCTTCTTGGAGCTTTGAGTCTGACATTGCTTCAGTTCCTAGATAGAGATGTTGTTAATGCTTTGTTCAAGTGGTGTGCATCGGGGTCCAAGGTGCTTCGTGGTGCGTGTCGACTTACTTCCACCACAGCTGTGCGGTTTGGACTTGCGCTTGGAGCACGCGTTGAGGCATCGGGGTGGAGGAGCGATGTTGTTAAATTCTCATATAGTCGCTTGAATTGAGGATTATGCTCAAGAATAGAGGGGTCACAGGGAGGAATCATGTTGATGTTACTGAGAAGCTGGGGAAGTTCACCGCCGAAGAACACTCGCGCAACGGCCAATTACAACCCGGAAGGATACAGGGCTACTGATAGACAGGAGAGGTGCGCATTCAACAGCACAACTGATCAACGTACATTATTTTACTATTACAAGTACACTTTCATTTTGCATTTCCGCATTTCTTTCGTAATCATACAAATGGAAGCTGAAGATCCAGCTTCGATTCACCTCTCCTTCCACCTGCAACGTCATCATAGAAACTAGAGCAACCTCATCCACCTAGCCTGGGAAAGACAACGGGAAAGGAGTACACACTCAGGCATAGATAGTAAAAGGGAGATTCAAGAGGGCAAGTAAAACCGAACCCCTGTTCAGCCAATGTTGAGCATGAGGTTCATGGGTGGCAGTAAGAACCTTGGCGAATGGGGGTTTATTCGAAAGCAAAGTATGTACAGACGTTGCCCAGCAGCGATTGCGTGGCAAGCTACCAACCCAAATTCGGTGGTGTGACTGATAAAGAAAGTTTTGGCGAGAAATTGTTCAGAAAGGCACTGGGGAAATCGACGCTTAGAACGCAAGTCAGGGTGAAGGACCATTTCGTAGGGGAAAATGGCGAAATAGATTGGGAAGAGTATCTACTCTTCCTCGCTCTCTTCCTCGGACGAATCAGACTCATCATCGCTGCTTTCGTTGTGTTCCACCGAGGCCACTGGGTCGGGAGAGTGAGCGCCACCTTGGAAACGAGAAAGGTTGCTCTGAAGCATGTTGATCTGAGCTTCCTGCTCGAACTTGCTCATAGGCTTGTTCTTCTTAGGTTTTGGAGGTGCGACACTGCTGGTGGGAATGTCATCGTCGTCGTCATCCTCCATGTAGTTAGGTGCGTGCTTCTTCACGAAGTTCAGGAGCTTCAGCAAGACTTCATTGGGAAGTTCGTCAATGTCCAATTCGATTTCAGCTTCATCAACACCCTATTCAATTGTCAGTTAGAATGTGTTTTGGTCAGGAAAGGAGAGGTTAAGGAAGAAAAACTAACCTTCAGCTGAGGGACAGTGTTCTGGATGATCTGAAGGGCTTGTTGCATCCTTTTATCAGGAAGACTGCTGATGCCGTTCGAGATAATCTGCTTCTCATTGTAGGTGATGGCACGAGCCTTACCAGGCTGGGAGAGCTTGCTCTTCTTATCTCTCTTGCCAGAGCTGAGTTTCTTGGAATCCTTCTTGGGAATCTTCGCCTTGCCAATCTTCTTGGAGGAAGGTGGTGTCTTCTTTTTCTTATTTGTGATGGCCTCAACCTGACGAGACATCTCAGCAATCTGTTTCTGAAGCAGAGTGAGTTTCTCATCATCTTCTTCGCTTTCTTCTGCATCCTCATCACTATCGTCATCGGAAGAGTCGGAATTCTGCTCGGGATGTGGTTCATGCGCTTCAAGATATTCCGACTTCTGTGCCCACTTGGCGCTGAAGATTTCTTCAGCCCGCTGGCCACATACGTAGGTAGGGTCGCCAGGAATATTAAATCGGAAGCAGTTCTTGAAGATGAGGCGAACATCTGTCTCGAACTCCTTGGCATTCTCGTACTGGCCAGTCTTGAGTTTAGACTGAGCAGTCGACAGATCCATTGGCTTTTTGATGACGCTGTGATAGGTAGGAATATTTAAGGCAACTGGATCGACGGGATAATAGAAAGGCATGACCCAGCTGTAGTGCTTCTGCTTGTGCAACTCATCCAAGACTTCCTGGCAGAAGCGCAACTCCCATTGGAACTTCTTCTTCTTGGGCTTGGTCGAATATGGGAGATCACGTTTTGGGGGGTGAATGGACCGTTTGGGGCGACCATCAGGGTTAGACGAGTCGCGACGGATGACAGGCAAGCCTTCCGGTCCGAGCGCGAAGGTCTGGGACTGAGGAGAAGAGGCCTTGGGCTGGCTAGGGAGAGAGGTCCGAGGCTCCCGACGGACAGTGGACGTCTTCTCACCCGACTTCTTTGATGACTTTTTCTCCTCCACTTCGTCGGGTTTAGGAAGGTTGAACATCTGCTTCTCGAATGTGGCTTTCAGCTTGATTCCTTCTTGGGTAACAATGTGATCTACGCCGTTGAAGACGGTTGTGTTGTTGACCATCAGCGCAAAGTCATCTGCAACTGCCTGGGGAGAAGAATATTGGTTGTTCTTGAGCTTCTTTTCCATGGTGCCCAAGTCCATAGGTTGAGTGATAATAGTGTGGTACTGCGGAATATTCAATTTGATCGGATCAACAGGTTCCTTGTAGAAACGCGCATCATGCATGCGTTTGAGGCTTGCAAGACTTTTCATGATGAACTTGTGTTGCATTTTAGTGAGCCCGGGACCTCCACTTGTGCGGGTGGGGGCAGGTGTTGCAATGGCCGGAGTAGAGAATGCCAAAGACTTGAAGTCCACAGCAGAATCCTCGCCTTCAACCTTGGTCCGCTTGGGGGCTGGTTCTTCGCTGAGATCAGCATCGCGTTGTCGGGGGATCTTAGATGGAGACAACGGAGCTTGCGGCGCATCCTTCATCTCTTGGTCAACGGATTGCAGCGCAGGAAGTGAAATTGGAGCAGTATCTGGGGTAGGATGGTGGGGCAATTCGGTTTTCACAGCAGTCGAAGCATCTGGAGTATCAATGGTCATTGGCTCAGGTGTATTGATGGGACCATCGGTGGATGCGGGAGCTGCGGAAACCTGTTGTGAGGTCTGAGCAGATGGTGCGACACTCTGAGTCGCAGCAGAGGGTGCAGCGGAACCAGCGGACTCTTGGCCCTGCAGAGAGCTGACCTTTTCCTCGGTCGGCTGTGTCTTGGCGGGTGCAGCGGTTTCCGCAACAGAAGATGTATTATTTTGAGTCATTTCTGACGGAACCCGGTGGTCTGTAGATGCAGGGACGGGAGACTTGGGTGGTGAGGTAGCAGTGTTTGTGCCATTGGTGATTGAGGGCGCGATCGGAGAAGTGTGGCCATTCAGCGCTGGGGATTTAGCCTCGCTCTCTGCAGAGCTATCGCCTTTGACCGCAGCAATTTGCACACTGCGCACCAGTCAGATCAAGAAGAACAGAGCAGAGATTAGAGCTGATGTGCTTACCTGGAAGGTGCAAGATCAGGCGCAGAAGCACCGGTGGGCGACAGAGGCAACTGAGGCTTGTCCTCCTTCATGGCAGGAGGAACCTCGGGAGGCGGAGTCGCCATTGGGATCGCGTTGGAAAAACAGGAAGACAGATTGTATTGAAGAAGGCGAGTATTGATGGAGTAAAAGTTATGGAAGGTTGGAGAGCTAGTGACCAACTGACAACACACTCGCTTCGTAAACAAGCACTATCGGCGACGGAGAGCGCGTCGATGTCGACTTGACACTTGATGGAGTTTGAAGTGAGAGGTGCCGCGAAGAGAAACGCGACCGTTGGCGGGGAGTGAGGTCAGAGATGATCGGGAGATAGGAAGAGTGGAGAATGCGATCGGAGACGATTGTATTTATACTGCCAAGAAGGCGGTATAAACGTGGTCACGTGCTTGTGAAGTAAATTGAAGCCGGTCTAGATGACTTGGGAAAGATAGCTAGTTTGTTTCCCGAGAGTGCCTGAGGCCAGATTGGATAAAAAAAGAATTATGCAAACAATAAAATAAAAAATAAAAAATAAAAAAAGGGTGTCCGGGGGGGGGAAGACGGTTAAAAGGGGAAACCGCGACGCGACACGCGTTTGTTATGAGGTAGGCAGGTGCTAGGGGAGGGGAGGGCGGTCAGAAGAATAAAAATAGGAGAAACCAGGACGGAAGCAGAAAAATGCTCGGAGGGGATGCCAGAATCCTTAAGTACAAACGGCCGCCTTGCACTCTCCTGTTGCCAGTTCCACCAGCCACACTAGTCCCGATTCTTCGACCTCTACCCCTTGTTGATTGGTTCTATACCCCTGATCGAATTTTTCTTCTTTTTCTGGGAGGCTTTCTTTCCTGTTCTCTCTTGTCAGCTTCAGATTCTCCATACCTTTCTGTCAAATCTACCCTTTGCTTTCCGAAGGGCCGATGAGTCTTCCGAATCCTTTGTTCCCAAGCCGTTGCTTTCCATTCTCTCCCATAGTGTTCCATAACAGGGTTGTCCAGCCCTGGAAGTCCGCGGTTATCTCTGATGACTCAGAGCCCTAGGGTTCTGGCCGAATCCGGGTTAGATCGTAATGGGTCGAGTCACGTCACCACTCGAGCTTTCACGTGACCGTTCTGATGAGTACACGTAGATTTCATTATTGTACTACAAAGCAATGTACATATCTTCATGTAGCACTCTCCTTCATCCAGCGCAAGGAACAAGATGGCATAGAGCTCTCAAAGATGATAGGATACATATTGAGACTAGTCAGCATTTGGTTCCCGCCAAGCATCCTGGCAATTTCCAATCGGCGCATTGCGTTTGTACGGACCAATATGGATCACTGTGCCTGGATCCTTACAGATTAGGCCAAAGCATCCATGTACATATAGTGTTGTCATCACATGACTGGATCATGGGAGGTACGGAGTACGGAGTCCTTGGGCCTTCGACGCTCCGGCCAATGATAGTTTTGTACTCCATATGCTTTGAGGCATAGCTTTTAGCGTCTGGACACTTTAGATGGCTCTACATCGATATCTTCTTGTGGTACAATGTGAAACTGGGAGTGATTGCAACTAAAGTATAAAAATATAACTTATTGGGACTAAAACATTGAGATGGAACCGATTTAAATTGCCATAGTTCTTAATTTGATGAACAACAGAATATGAATTTCATAGGATATGGTACTAAAATCGCCAGGATATATATTTTGGCTCAGTATCGGGATGGTGACGTCAAAAAGCTCTTGAAGTAGAAAGATGAGGGGTTATTATACCATGGACAGAAAATAAAGAAAAAGGAAATACCACTTTCACCCCAATGAGCCCGAAAACTCGCACACACGAAGCAAAGCGTGGGCAGAGTTACTCTATAGGCCAACATTGAGACCTCAGTTAGTCGGGGTGATATGATTAGATAAGGACACTTGACAACCTAAACCCCTTTAGGACTAGCCCGTCAAGGCTCTACAGAACATTTTTTTTCCTGTCCGGATCAACTGCGAAGCCACCAGCCTAAACTCCCATTTGTTTCCTTAGGGGTTGGAGATAAAGAGAGCCATATCATATTCTTTACTGTCTTTATTTGGGCTTGCTACCTTGATAATTGATCCTACACCACTGCAACCCTCGACAGCGAGAAAAAAACGAGGATCAGAAAAAAAGTTATAGCCAAGATGGGAAAGAAGTCGACTCGCCCATCCACCAAGGTCGCTTCGGCTGCCGCATCGCCGGCGTCGGGCATGACATATGCCGGCAGCAAGTCCTCCATCCTGCGCTCTGCATTCTCCCCATCGGAGTACCAATTAGCCCTGTTTGCGTCCGTCATCCAAGGTCTAGACGGCCAGCACATTCGCATTTACGATACACAGACAGGACGCCTACAATGTGAGCATATTCTGGGGCCGAAGGAAACAGTGACTTCTCTGGACTGGGGATACTATGATGGCTCCGGCAAGGGTCGTGATCAGTCGAAAAAGAAGCGCAAGCGCGGCTCCGATGTCAATGGGCTGGACCAGGGGGATATTGTGGTTGCATTCGGCACAAACACATCGGATATCCGCATGTACTCACCATCCGAAGATAAGGTGGTCGGTACTTTGACCGGCGCACATGACAAGGGTATCAAGGACTTCAAGTTCACGGCCGATCGGCCCGCCCAGGAGGCTTGGAGTATCGGTGGTGACAACAAGCTCGTCCAATGGGACCTGCGCACCGGACAGAGCATCAAGTATGTCTGGGTCATTACTGGAATATATGGCGATCTCGAACTAATGTTTTTTTCTCAAGGACAATCCACCTCCCCGCATCTTCGGTCTTCACTACTCTTTCTCGCCCCGTTCCCTCGAACCCTCCTCTTATCTGCGCATCCCAGACCCCGTACTTAATAGATACCGAGAAGGCCGACGAGCCGGTTCAGTTCCCTGCCATGCGCAACCCCATCCACACCGTCATTTCGTCCTCTTCCGAGTCTGCTGGTGTTGGTGCATTCCTTGCATCTGATGGTGACCGCTTCGTCAACGTATTCGATGCCGTCACCCAAAAGCTTGTTCGCAACCTTGTCGCCGATCAAGAAGTTTCAGCCATCTCACTGCAGACCGATGGAAACACTACCCCGGAGAAGCAAGTGCTTGCTGCAATCACCGCAGATGGTAGCATCGAACTCTTCACAAAGCCATTTGTTCAGCCCCAGAGTGCGCCCTCCGCCAGCGCCAAGGCCAGCCGCAAACAAATGACCCAGAAGGCAAACGCAACCCTCAGAGTCACGAACACCGACTCCTCAAATGCCTGTGTTCCCGTCGCAGCTATTTCCTTCCAAGGACCCAACCTCGTGGTTGCATACACTGAGGGTGGTGTGATTCCTGTTTTTGAGCGCGTTAAGTTCCTCGACGAGAACACTGATGAGCTCTCCTTCACTGGAATTAAGACTGTCGTGAAGACCAAGTCAGGCTCAGCACTTTCTTCTGCCACAACGAACGGAGCCAAGAGCTCAAATGAGACCCGTGTTAACGAGGCCCACATGAATGTCGAGCAAGGAAACCTGGTCGATGACGACGTGGAGATGGAGGACTCGCGCCCAGACGCTGCTTCCGACTCCGGCAGTGAGGAGGACTCTGATGACGAGGACAACAAGAAGCCCAAGGTCACTAGCGAGAAAAAGACGAAGCCTACCAAGCAGGTCGCAGTGAACGAGGATGTTGAGATGCAGAACGCATCCGAATCCGACGAGGAAGAAGAGGAAGAAGAGGGCGCAGAGCCATCATTTGGAGAGTTGATGCGTGCAAACGCAGGCCAGGAAGTCGATGTTGAGGCTGAGCTCGATGAAGATGTTCTCCTGGGTGCTTTGGTCCCCGGCAAGCCCCAGGCCGCAGTGCAACAGATTCCCACCGGAGTCTCGCTTGCGACTGTCCTCACCCAGTCGCTCAAGACCAACGACAACGGTATGCTTGAGTCTTGTTTCCACACCGGTGACACCTCGATCATCCGCACTACCATTCAGCGCCTCGACTCTTCGCTGGCCGCAAGTCTGCTTCAGAAACTCGCTGAGCGCCTCGCTTCCCGGCCTGGTCGCTACGGCCACCTTCTCGTCTGGGTGCAGTGGACCTGTGTCGCTCACGGCGGTGCCCTGGCTGGCCACCCCGATCTTCTGAAGCGCATGACCTCCCTTTACAAGGTCATGGACCAGCGCTCTTCCAGCCTGCCATCTCTCTTGCTCCTCAAGGGCAAGCTTGATATGCTCGACGCTCAATTGGGACTGCGACAATCTCTCCGCAGTGGCGACGAGGGTATGGACAGCGAGGATGAGGATAATGTTATCTATGTTGAAGGTCAGGACGATCTTGAGGACAGTGAGACCGAGACCAAGACCCCCGGAAGTCAATACGCGATCAGGCTTATGACGAGGATGAGTCAATGATGAACGGCATTGATGAGTCTGAGGACGAGGAGGATGAAAGCGATGACGAGGATGATGACGAAGAGCCTCTTTTGGATATCGAGGCTGCCGAGTCCGTCGGTTCCTCTGATGCCGAAGAATCACTGGAGGAGAACGAGGATGATGATGACGACGAGGCTGATAGCGATGGCTCGATGGTCGACTTCATCGCCGACACGGAAGACGAGTCTGACGATGAAGCTCAGCAGCAGCCCCCGCCATCAAAGAAGTCGAAGACTTCCAGCAAGAAGAGCAAGGGCGGCAGGAAATAAGCGAGTCTCTTTTTTGTTTTGAAGTTGTACGACTTAGAGATGGGAGAAGGGTAACGGTCTATAAAAGAACATATTCTATTTATTTTTTTTTCGATGCATCCGACCGGTCTGCATTTCGTTTTTCTTGTTTTTATTTGCTTTCGATATCTTGTGCCCTCTACCGAGCGCCTCTGCGTCTCAATTCATTTGAATTCCGTCTTGATATCTTTTTGAACAATGTACCTCCCACTTGGCCCATATGTATCTTTTATCATCCCAATCTGTGCATTATATCTCCGCAATGCCATTTATACCAGCAATTCCTCCCCCGAACAAGGACCCTCGTGTAGCACCCGATGAGCAGGCACCCCTTTCCCGAGAGGGATCTGCACCGCTGTTGTCCGCTCCTGCGAGGGATATGTGGTGAAGTGGCCCAATTCACTGACATCAGCAGTGTCGAGGGCCAGAATGGCTCCATTCTTGCCACCTTGCACCCAAGCCTCGGTCGTGGAAAGGGGGAGCGTGATATGCGCCAAGCCGGAGAGGAAGATCACCCATCTAGCGCGAAATCGATTAGTTGAGAACCATGGGATCCGTCTATATCAAAACGCGTATCCTTGATACCTCCTCTTGAGCAGATCATCATGTCAAAGATGGAATACATAAACCACAGAGAACAGAAATGAACCTGAAACATCGCAGACGCATAAAGCAGATCCAATACTCACTGCAAAGCAGGCGCGTTATGCCTCCCCCCATCAAACCCAGCCGGCAGAGCCGTGAATGATGCGTTCCCACCAATCACCCCCATATCGAGCAAGGCGCTCCCGGCTATGCCGGGTTGATCGGATGTTTCAAATTCCGACTTAAGAGCCCAGCATTCTAGAGTGGAGCGATTGTGGCGCGCGCTGATGACGGTCACGTTGAAGGTGGAGCTATGAGAGGCATCTGGAGTTTGACTGGCAAAGATGGTGGATGGGAGGATGAATTGGATGAGAGTTGAGAGGCGCATTTTGGAATTAACGGTGTTGGGGTCGTATGGGGAGAGCGAAATTAGGAGCAAAGAGTTGAAGGCAATAGGAGATCGGAGAGATATAAGATCGGAGCCGAAGACGTGAAGATCGGCGGAGAGAGATCGGCGGTCTCTTATAAGCATATAAGGAACCTTGGTTGCACTGATGCATGTGGCGGTCATAGATTGGGACCTCTGAGGTGCAGGGTGTGGCTTTATTTATTGGAATATGGCATTCCGTTGTCATACTGCTATAAACGGGTATATAAGACAGTACATGTGTCAAGAGGCTGATATCAAGATGCATGGAAAACACTGATACTTCCAAGGTTGCTGGTGAAGGCTATAGATGTTCTACTCTGACAACTTTATGTCTATGATATTCCATGAATATGCTTGATCCTCATCGTATATCAACTGCGATTCTATGAACTCTGTCCAATTTATTAACGAACAAGAAATGTATAGTGTAATATCACTGCACTTACATCATAATTCAAATAACCATAGAACTTGTGGTACAGGAAGCATAAAATATTATGTCTGGGATATCCAATAAAGTCGAATGAATGACTTTCGCGTAAGTTGCAACCCACCATGATACTCGGATAAATAGGTAAGTAGTAGGCTGAATGATAGAGGACAACTTGTATCCAAGAGTACCTAGGTATATCATCATGTTGTTTTGGCAGGAAACGACAATTCCAATAAAAAGGGGGCCTACCTGAATAAACGAGGTGGATAAAACTAAAACACGAGCATTCAATTCACTAGACCTTGGACGAATGATAATTCTACCAAGTGGTCTTTTTGCAGCACTGAAATAATAAAAATATAAAGGCCACTAACGATAGTAGTCGTATCCCGACTTGGAAACACAAAGAATACTAACGAATGACTTCACCACCAGACTTCTCAATGCCCTCCAGGCCCTCGAGAATGTCGCTTCCGCCAAAAAGTCCACTAGCAGAGCTGATACTTGTTTTCCTGCCAGTCCAGACCTCATGGAACTTGACAGTCTGATCACTCGATGCCACAATAATACATCCCTCCTCCTTGGTTCGCGTGCACCATACTCCACCTTCTTTCTCTTTGGGTGTAACTGTCCGGGGTCCAGTTCTGCGCCTACGGCTGGGACCTTCTTGCCCTTGAGATGAAGTTGGGGATAAGGGCGAGCTTGAAGAAGACTGACTGCCCGATCTACCAGAGGGTATATCCAAGCAATGAGGCAGTTTTCCTGGATATCTCACTGCCCACAATGCCCTTCCGCAGCCAAAGCTTGGTTGAACATCAGGACCATCCCAGCTGGCGCCATAGGGCCCCCAGGGAACGACAGCTACCTGTGCGCAGCTGGGCCAGGCAAACACGGCGATTCGGAATGGGTGTTCTGGCTGTGAATAACCGAAAGTAGCGGCAATCTCGCGTCGAGTTTGACTCCATATGAGACTGGTCACTTGTGCAAAAACATTGATCGTCGCCAGACAGGCTCCGCTGTGGGTGTGATAGAAGTGTATAGCTCTGTCATTGGTGCCACCTCCAGTCGCGAGCAAAGATGACTGCCATGGTGCGAATGCGATTGCTTTAACTGCGGCGGAGTGCATAAGACGGTGTTTCTGACGGCCGAATGGAACTAGAATCGTTCGTCCACCACCGGAGATCAGAGTCCCTGTATGGTTTAAAAGTGTGGTTGCGGACGGAGGTTTGATCGGAGGAGTAACCCATGATGGAAGAAGTTGACCAACAGCAGCTCGTCGACTAAACATTCGTCTTGTTGTAGTGCCTATAGCAATATATGGAAATGCACCGAGGCTGAAGCTGCTTGGAGAATCGGGGGGTGTAACAGGTGAGACCGTGTAATTTAACGGCTGTAGTGGAACAATCTCAGCAAGGTCAAAGAGGAGACAGGCGTTATCATTCCCGCCCGTGGCGAGATACCGTTCATCGGGTGACCAGGCCAGTCCACAGATTTGTTGAGTGTGTGCACAGATTTTGGCAAGCAGTGTCATGGACCCGTTCCATTTCCACCTGGCTTGGTCATCTTTGCTAGACCACTCGACTGAATAGTACCAGACGTTTCCAAATTCATCACCTGCCACAATTTCCTCAGCATCTACTTCCATATGCATGAACCGTTCTGAAGCTCTTCGTGATGTTCTCGGTTTGAATGCCACACATGTGAGGGTGCTCGGATGACTGATTTCAAAGCGGACATGCTTCTCGAAAGTACTCCATAGAGAGAGTTGACCAGACCGACGGGCTACTGCAAGGATACTTTTTGCGCCGTCCTCAGATGAAAACGAGAGGGAGGTCACATAGTTAGAGTGGTGTAAGTCTGCAAATGGGGGATAATCCACTCCGCGGCCTTCCGACCAAAGATAAACTTGGTGACCCAAACCTACTGCCAGAATTCCAGAAGTTGTTGAATATGCAAGCGTACTGCAGTAGAAGTCGTCACGAAGAAAGGGAGCATCAAGAATTCGAAAAGGCTTTGCTGGAACAATCTCCTTTCTGGCTAGAGATGTGGGCACTAGGAAGCAATCCGAGTCAGTTGATGCCCTGGAGAAGGCTGCGGATATCATCCGTCTCACAATTTCCAAAAGTATTGTTTAAATATGATAGATATTTTATCTGTATTTCGTAAATTTGTCCCAAAAGTCAGAGGCCAGGTAGTGGCTTTCGCACTTACAATGCTCCTTTTTGCCTTTCTTCCAGTCACTTTCCTTCCAGACAAATGGAGAGAATCTTTCATAGTCAGGAGATGTTGGATTGATGGGAGCGTGCAAGCACGGCAGACAAGTAGCTAATTGCCTAATCGTCGGATCAATTCCCAAAGCAAGTGCAAGTCTCGCCTCATGTATCTCATCTTCACTGAATTTGGGTTTCTTGGGTAAGAAGCGAGCAACAAAAATTGGAGCAGTTGATCTACTGCTATTGCTCGAGGCGACCGATGGATCATTAGACGTTGTGATAAGGGAACCGCCGAGGACTGCAGATACTCCGCCCACATTCCAGACTGCACCCGAACTGACCTGTCTCAGAGAGCCGTGTGAAATATTGTTGCTTGTGACAGTGAGCTCAGTGACCAGACGAGGCCGATGATGCGGAATTCGTTGGAGTTGAGTGGGCTGATGGGGTCCGCCAGTGGCAGGGATCCTACGTGGAGTTGGGGGCAGAAATGGATCATCACCAGGGGGAAGTCGTCGAAGCAGTTTTTCATGAGGCAAAAGACGTTGTGGATGTTTGGTCACACGAAAGGTTGTCGATGTGGGTTCCACAAAGTCTCGCCTTGGGATGAATCTGTCGGGCGAGATTGGGCTTCGGAATGAGCTTCTTGGTACTGCCAGACCTAGAGTACTCCTCACTCTGCTACGACCTCGTTGTGGAGATGAGACTCGATTCTCTTTGTAACGAAGTGTGGGCGTAAAAACCGGTTGGGCTCTGGGTTTCCTGGACAATGATGATTGAGAAGCCGGGGTGGTTTCAAAGAATGGCAAATTGATTGTTGCAAATTCAGTAATTTGGACAGAGCCACTGTCCCTGGAAGACTCGGATCGAGAATGTGAAATCAATGGATATCTGCGATTGCCTGTTGGAGAGGCTTCCTCAAAGGAATGACGTTGCGTATCTACCATTGTTCTGGATGAAGGTCGATAAGCTGTGAATGAGTAATGGCCTAGAGCTAAGAAAAGGAATGTATAAGGATGCCCCTCTTCCAAGGCATAGTGGCGAAATGACCAAGGCGATGGGGCAAAAGCGCAAAAGCTCCCAAAGTAGAAAGAGTCTCCGTCACGTGAAGCTATACAAGGTAGGTGGAGCACGGACCATGGGTGATTTACGTAACTTGGCCAGTGGCCGCCTTAGGCACGAACAGTGATTCCGTGGGATGTGATCAACACCAAGCTACTACCACATCTTGGTATTTCCTTGTCGAACAAGCTGAATATTGTTGAAAATGCCTACTGTAAGCTTCATAACCCAACAATCATAGCTATTTTGCTCTAACTAATAGTTGGAATAGCATGGTGTGCCCCGGTACAAACCAGTTGAGAAGTCCGCTGAGGCACGACAGCAAGAGTTGCAGAAGATCGAAAATTATAAGGACCTTGAACGTTCAGTGTCCGAAAAGGTTCGCATATTTTGTTTTGTTTTTGTTTTTGCTTTTTTTTTAAAAAAAAGATTTGAATTGCATACAGAAGCTGACATGGGGCAGGTGGCTGAGCATGAATACACCATCGAGACCTTGAAGAAGATCTCGGAGCTGTTGTCTAGCAATCCAGAATACTACACAGCCTGGAACTACCGCCGGCAGGTATTGCAATATCAATTTTCCCAAGCGGGAGATTCAGGCAATGAAGATGCTGCCGATTCGATCGCGCAGTTAATCATAAACGATTTACACTTCCTGATTCCTCTTCTCAAGAGCTTCCCTAAATGCTACTGGATCTGGAACTATCGACTGTGGCTATTGGATGAGGCTCGCCGTCTACTACCCTCACCCGAGGCGCGGCAAATGTGGCAGCAAGAGCTTGCCCTTGTTGGCAAGATGTTGACCCTTGATAGTCGGAATTTCCACGGGTGGGGTTACCGACGCTTTGTGGTTGAGACTTTGAAACAGCTTGGCACGATCGAAGAAGCAACAAGCATGACCCAGAAGGAGTTTGAATATGCGAAGAAGATGATCGGTGCCAACCTTTCCAACTTCTCCGCGTGGCATTATCGGACTAAGCTTATCCAATCGCTTCTGGATGAGCAATCGGCCAGCGACGAGGAACGCAAAAGAATGTTGGATGATGGTTAATCCCCCCTTCTTATCGGTTGAGCTGTGATGCTAATTGGGTTTGATAGAACTAACGCTTATTCACCAAGCTTTTATTGACCCTTATGACCAGTCACTTTGGTTTTATCACCAAAATCTGATGAGTGTATTTGACCCGTCCATGGCCGGACGAACTATGGCTCCCAACTTGAGCTCATCCGATCGGCTAGAATACATTCAAAATGAGATTGAGGAGATCCAAGAGATGTTGGACGGAGCCGAAGACTGCAAATATATCTACCAGGCCTTAATTGAATGCACCCTTCTTGCATCTAAGGTGGAGGGGAGCTTGTCTTCTGCGGATCGGGATCAGATTCTGAGCTGGCTCTCGGAATTAAAGAAGCTGGATCCACTGAGGCGAGAAAGATGGCTTGATTTCGAAAAGACCGTGTGAAGGAAACTGAATATCAGGGGAGTATCTATTTTTGTTTACAATCATCCCTTTACGGAGTTCTCGGCCCCCCTTTCATGGGCAGTAAACACGGAGGACGAAGGAGTCGAGTACGAAGTCCATTGAAACAAGGATGGTGTTTCGTACAATGTATGTGATGCCTCTGTGAGACATATTGAATTCCTAAGAATATCCTGAAATTCCAGAAACGCATTCTTATGATAAAAAAAAGCGAGCGTAGATGCTATACGTGCATTCCTGATGTCCCGATCGACAGGTCGGTTCCGCAGTGACTGGGGCGCCAATCAGCGGGTGTACTGCGTACTCCGTACTCCGTACCTGGGCGTCGAATCGATCAGTTGAAACTGACAACCCATCTTCCTTCCTTGTTCCACCATTTTCCCCCTTCCGCAAATTCCACTTGGGATCCTTTTTTAGCTCTTTGAGCAACTGCTCGTGTGTTCCTATGGAGTGTGCTGTCTTCTGCTTGTGAGGTCACCATCTACAGCTATGGCCGACATGTCGACGTCTGCGAGTCCACACAGTCCTGTATACGAAGGGGTGAGTGGGCAATGTGTTCCAAACTCTCCAACTGGTGTGTGGGCATGAACTTATGGATCAAAATAGGAGACTTTCGATGACGCCCTTGAGACAGCTCAAATCCAGGAGAACAACCTAAATGTGTCCATCCCCAAGTCCACCTCCACCCGATCGTTGACCGATAGCCCTCCAATCGGTTCACTTATGTCGCCGGACACGACGGAGAAACCTCCGTTCCCTTCTGTATCGCAGGACGAGAAGAAGACTGAGGCTACCAAGGAGGAGGACAAGGATGGCGAGGGGCGGGATGAACACAACAACCAGCAGAATAAAAAGAACAGTAAAGATGAGAAGAATGAGGACAGCGAAATTGATTCGAACGATCAAACTAACCATCGCGCCAATGGCGAGGTGAACGCCGCGACCGATGAGCCCACCGAGGGCGACAAGCCGGAGCAAGGGCCCGGGGTTACGCAGACGGAGGAGGTAGATAGGTCCGAGGAAGATCGAGGTCAGAGTCCATTGCAGAAATCACCTCTGCTCACATCCCACCGTTTATCAACAGGATCATCGCTCGATGAGATCAACCTGATGAACAAGGAAGAAGAGGCGACGAACAAGGTACAGGGGCAAGGTGACAAGATGGAAGCACCTCCCCTGCCTCCTAAAGACAATGTGGCCCCTCCAGCGAATGCTGGACTGATGGGATTGTCGGGTAGCCTGCCCTCGCTACCATGGGCTGCCCCTCCAGTGAACAAGAACCCACCCCCCGTTCCCCCGCCGCCTCCTCCTCGAAAGCCCAGTGGTCCATTCGCGTGGTTCTCTCGAAGCTCCACTTCAACCATTAAGGACGTCAAATCTCCCCCTCCCTCTGCTAGTCGCCGCAACACTGCTACTTCCGTATCCACGCTTGGCAGTAGTTTAGACCAGAATGCCCGGGATGGCGACGACATCTCGAGCATTGGCTCGAAGAAACCGAGGCGCAACAGCTTGAAAGATCAGTTTAAGATGCTGCGCCTGCGCGAGGAGAGCCATGCACCGGAGCATGATCAGACGAGCGTGCGATCGGGCCAGGCCAGCCAGCCTGGAGCTAGCCCCCCTATAATCCTCGAGGAAGGGGAGGGGGTTGTCTTCGTCACACCAGGACCAGCCTCGCCAACGAACGTCACCTCTGGAAGATCAGGTTCTATGGCTGATGCTTCTACACCAGTGGACTGGGAGATGTGGCAGCAACTCGTGAATAATGGGCCCCAGGCCTTGGCAAGCTCAGAGGAATTGAATGCCGCCATCAAACGGGGTATTCCTCAGACAATCCGAGGCGTGATTTGGCAAATCTTGGCGGATTGCCATACTGCTGAGATGGAGGACATCTACCGAGAGCTTGTGGCGCGTGGCACAGCCCAAGATAAAGAGGGCCGGACATTGAATGGCACTGAATCTACGTCCTCGCGATCTTCAGTCCGGTCGCAGCACTCGGGCTCCGGGTCACGGTCCAGCAGTGCAACTCCTAGTCCGTCTCATGATGGGGACGCCGATAAGTTGGCTAAGGAACAAGTCACCAATGAAGCTGACCGTCTGAAGAAAGCAAAAACAGATGCCATTGCCCTACAAAAACTAGAGAAGATGATCAGGCGCGATCTGGGTGCTCGCACTAGTTACGCGAAATACTTCGTTTCCCAGGGCAGCCAAGAAGGTCTCTTTGGGTTGTGTAAAGCCTACGCATTGTATGATACCGCAGTCGGATATGCACAAGGCATGAACTTCATTGCTATGCCACTATTGTTCAATGTGAGTGTACCCTTGAATAGAATGACTGGACTCATTCGCTAACAATTTACGCAGATGGATGAAGTTGATGCTTTCGCCATGTTGGTCAAGCTGATGAACAAGTACTCTCTTCGTGATATGTTCATTCAGGATATGCCTGGGCTCCACCGTAGCCTGTATCAATTTGAGCGGCTCTTGGAAGATCTAGAACCCGCCCTCTATTGCCATCTTCGCCGCCGTGGCGTCCCTCCTCAACTCTACGCCACCCAGTGGTTCTTGACGCTGTTCGCCTACCGTTTCCCGCTCCAGCTAGTGCTTCGAATCTACGATTTGATCTTTGAGGAGGGATTGGAGACAACTATCCTCAAGTTCGGCGTAGCTATTATGAAACGGAATGCAGCAGCGCTTCTCGAGATGAAAGACATGAGCGTACTCACCACCTTCTTGAAAGAGCGTTTGTTTGACGCCTACATCGACAAACAGCCATCTACCTCCTCAATTTTGGAGTCGGGTTTCTTCGGAAGCTCCGGTGCCGCCGATAAGGAGATCTACCGATCTGACCTCTTGGTGCAGGACGCCTGCGCCATTCCTCTTACGCCACAGATGCTTGCCACGTACACCGTCGAGTGGGAAGAGAAAACCCGAACCGAAAAGGAGCGTGAAGTGGAGCTTGAACACCTGCGGCACACTGTGAGCACGCAGGGTGCCCGTGTCCGACTCCTTGAGGAACGAGCTGAGGCATCCGATAAGGAGCATGTGCAGCTGGCTTCTGAGTTGGTGCATGTTAAGGTCGAGAATGAGGAGCTCCGCGACCTCAACGACGCGCTGAACCTCCAGGTCGGGGAACTCAAGCGCGTGGTTGACAAGCAGCCAGCCGAAGTAGAAGAGAAGCTCCGCCTGGAGATGGAACGGATCATGAAGCGGAACATTGAAGTGCAAAATGAGAATCGTGCAATGGAGGAGTCAATGTCTGAGATGGAGAAGGAATTGGTTGCCACCAAAATGAAGTGGGCAGAGGTAAGGCATCCCCTCTTGGATAGTATTTAGCATGGGATATCGAGACTAACGAACTTGCATCAGATCTCCGAAAACCACGAGAACCTCCGCCAGAAATGGAGCGACCTTCGTCGTGCCCTCGACTGATTCCGTCGTCCCGCCTGCTTTCTACTCCGTCTCCCTACCCCGGATAGCAATATCCAGTTCTGTATATTTGGAATGCGCATATGAGATAGCGAGGATCTGCGATCACGTCCTATCCTGCGCATCTGGACCATACCCATGGGCCGGATCGTTTGCTTTTGTTTTCTGCACATGTTTTCTCTCGTTTTGAGCCAATATTATGATCTGCGCAACGCCCCCTCACTCATGACGCTCGTTGGTGTTTCCCATTTCGCTATTTCCCCAAGCCCAGCATGCCATATTTGGAAGGCATCGGTGTTTTTGCTGTGTCGAAATTATCTTTTGCTTTAGTGTATGTCTATCTCGAATCCTCGGGCAGGGCGTCCTAGACGTATGCTATGTACATCATCCCAATGGACTTTGTTATCATTTGGCGTTTATATCTCTACTTTTAGCTCTACACGAAGCCATTGTCCAATCCACAAAAAAAAAAAAAGAAGGAAGGAAAGAAAAGGAAATCATTTCATGGATTCATTACAAAATGTTCTCGTAGAAAGTCGTCAACACATCCTCCTTGACGGGACCCACACAAGCCTTGAGAGCCTTGTGTGCCTCACATTCGTTATCGTAGTACTTCATATCATCCATCGACGCAAAAGTCGTCTTCACAGACAAGTTGTAGCCCTTGTTACGGGGATCGGCGATCGTAGGACCAACCGCAGCCGCGACGATGTAGGGCTTGCCGTCCTAAAAGAAGAACCCGTCAATAACCGTTCCATTGCGGTTCTTTCCGCCCTGCCTCTCCTCCCTCTCCGAATGGCCCGATAGTCCAGCAGCTCGGAGAGAGCAGGAGAGCGAGAGCAGGAGAGCACGAGAAAGAGAGAATACGATTCCAGCCAACACTCACCTTGGTAGCGGTCTTAGCCAGCACCTTGTACTGCTCCAGCACGCGGTTGAGATCCGCCTCGTTGGGGATCTTGAAGAGAGTGATGCGCTCAATAGGGGCCATTTTGGGATGTCTTGCGAGGGGAGTGAGAAGTCGGGGCAGAGACATTGAGGGGGATTCAGGGGGACATTTATATGGCGGGGTTCAAGCGTGTAGTTCTATGACATCTTGTTCCTGGGCTCCGATGTGGGGGTGTTTCGGAGGTTTTTTCCCCGGGGCTGGATTTATAATTTTGTTCCTTCTAGGGTCTTTTTGGCAAGGCCTATTGGGTCCCTCTTTGGCTTCGAGGTTTCGATTGGATGTGTTTTTCCGGTTGGAGACGGTGTTGGGGGCGCGGAATGGGGTTGCTTGGAGAGCGCGCAATTCCGCTTTATCTCCGAGGGCGGAATCGGGGTTGTTTAAAGGTTGGGGATGATTGGATGTGATGGTCTCGGTTTGGGTTATTGGATGTTTCGTGAGAGGCGAAATAGATCGCATTGCGATACACAAGACAATGGCCGTGTTGTTTAACCTGTCCATGGACTGAGTCTAGATGGCTGACAGAGATACGGAGTATGAAACAGCAGATTGATTGAATCCAAACGATTATGACTATGCCATCCTCCACGGCCATCTCTTCGCTCATATGCAAACGCAAATGGAAGATCAAAACATCAATGAAGCCAGGTCACAGATTCCCACGCAACGCTTGCTCCCGCTCAAAAGCCTCGAAAAGACTCTTGAAATTCCCAGCACCAAACCCGTCAAATGAATTGCGCTGGATGACCTCGATAAACACCGTCGGTCTGTCCCCGACATGCTTGGAGAAAATCTGGAGGAGGTATCCGCGCTCGTCGAAATCGACAAGGATGTTCAGCCGCTCGAGCACGTCTACATCGGCTTCAAGGGTCCACGAGACTTGTGTCAGGCGCTTCCGCAGATCTGCATAATACGTTGCTGGTACGCTGAGAAATTGGACACCGCGTGCTTGGAGTCGAGTTACGGCGGTGACGATGTCGTGTGCGCGGAATGCAATGTGCTGGACTCCGGCACCGTGGTAGTAGTCGACGAATCTGTGATTGTTAGATGGTCGGAATACGGATTGAGTACTGCATGCGAGAAAAAAGAAACAAAATGAAAGGATCACAAAAGGACAGCTGCGGGTGCGTACTCTTCAATCTGGGATTTCTTCTTGCCGACTGCTGGCTCGTTCATGGGCATTTTGATTGTTTCGTTTGGCGAAGCGATGACGATCGATCGCATTGCAGAATACTCGCTGCACATGTCTTTGTCGTCGACTGTCCAATACCGATGGAAATCAAGACATTCTTCGTAACTGAAGCTCGTGTGTTAGTGTTACCACCAACAGAGACGATGGGCATTGCACCCACTATTGAACGATACTATCCACTCCTCCCCACGACTGATTTCCGACGCAATGATCGATCTCAAGCAAGTCAATTGGCGGCAGAAGCTGCGCGATCGGATCTTCGGTATCAACAAGTCGATACCCCGGCAAGAATGGAGCCTCCGCTGAATACCGCTCCCGGTTGATCAGAGAGTGTACTGTGTCCCCGTACGTGCCAACAGTAGCAGAGACGATCGATCCATATCCATCGACAGCAACAGTCCGAGGCTCGGCAATAACGCGGGCCCCGTTTCCAACAGCCCGCTTCCATGCAGCTTCCACATCACCCGCGATCCGGAAGGCGACGTCTTTGACCCCGTCGCCGTGGATGGTCAGGTGCTCATGAATTTGAGCGAGCGTGATCCGCTCCTCGTCCGAAGCCTGGCGCAAAAGCCCATCTTCGGGACCTTCGCTTGGCGGACCACACACCGGCCCCGTAAGAACAAAAGTAGCGCTGCCATTCGCGACGACATAGCTCACAAGATAGGGGGAGCCGGTCTCTGGGCCGCGATATGCAACGGGCCGGAAGCCCATGCGAGTGATCCAGTATGAAGCGGCTTGTTTGGGGTTGCCGACGTACCAATGGATGTGATCGAAGCCTACATATTCGGGCCCCATCTTCGCAGGGAAGATGTCCTCATTTTGCGGGATGGTCATGGTTGTTGGTTGTGGCTGCGCTGGACACAAATGCAGAGAAGCATGTCATCCCTCCGGCAGCCGTTGGGCCCGATATTAAGTTGCGGTGAGTTGATGGGCGATTTCTAAACCACCTGCGCCGGGGATCGGGGAAGAGAAAATTAGAATGCTGGGCTGGGGAATCCCTGCGCAGACGTGTCACATTCCAAGGCTGCATCTCCGGATTAATATGGCGCGGAAGATGCTATTTATCTAGATAAACATATGAGGCAATGCTGAAGTCATCTATGCGCACACAGTGTCATTCCATATCCTGGTCAAAGATGGTTGCTTCGGTGTCCGTGCGGGCTGTGCAAGTGCTTTGTGTGGTAAGTCGGACCTTCGTCCTTCTTTGGTGACCCTTGGTAGGTTCGAATCCAGGCCTGTATACCACCACCGCTGGAGCGGAATTGATGTCTTGTAACCACGCAGGTGGCCAATGTCTTAGACAGAAGCCGTTTCTCTCCGTAGCAAATCGCGAGACCCTGTGCAGCAGGGCTGGCCCCGTCGTAGCTCCGATCCAGCCTCGTGATCCCAGCATACAACTTGGATGCCATTGGAAAATGACACTATCTCTCCAGTATATCCCATTGATCTCAATTTCAACAAAACAAACCATTGAATCCCATCCAATCAAACATTATTAACGGGCTCTGGCCGACTCTTGAAGAAGATCTTATAGCGCACAATCTCCACAACCTCCAGTTCCTCGTCCTCCGAAGCTCGACGCTTCTGCAGCACAGCGATTGGTCGTGGGAGTTTCTTGACTTCTCCCGTCATCCGTTGGTAGCGGCCCACATATAGGTAGGCGCGCTTCATCCATTTTGTGTCATCCGGATTATGGACTGAATAGTCTGGGAACATGAGTTTTCCGATCGGGGTTTCGAAGATGGAGGCTGGATCAATGTCCTTAGATGAGTCAATCATGTGGTCATCTTCTTCGTTTCCTGAGGGAATATTGATTGTGCCTTGGAGTTCAAGAAGGGCTAGGCCTGAGGGTGTCTGGAGGAGCGCTGGGAGGGGGTTGTTCGGACCTGAGGCGGTCTCAGTTGCTTTTGCCGGACTCGAGCAGCGAGGTTGCAGCTTTATGGAAGGCATGGCAATGCTTTGAGGGCTTTTTCGTGGTATAGTCCTGGGTTGGTTAATTAGTTGACGGATGGAGCGGACGCGACGCGGGTCGCGTTGGGCGATATCCCCCACTTCTTATCGCCCCCAAAGCGCATGGGCAAAGCCAACATCCTAGCATACATGGTTGTTGGCTATTTTGACATGGAATTAGGGCTAGGGTGAATATGTACATGCTATGAACATCCATTTGCATAACCTCTGTTCTGCTTTCCCGAGGTCATATCTCGCATTTGTAACAACTATCGGGGCAATCAACAGCTCGTCAAGAACAGATCGCGCGTTGAAAAGTGCAGACGATCTTGCAAGAGTCATCAACGCTTAACACACAATTGCTACCTAATTTGGCCCTAAGAAGAGCTGGTCGATAGGAGCTTTGGCGCGCGTGAGACATTCTTGAGGTGGGTGTAGCACATGTTCATACTAAAAACATAGTGTGATGATGATGAATGGCCTGCCCGAAATAACTGCTATATCGCCGTCAAGCAAATCAGAAATTCAGCGGAGTTCCTCCATAAGATAAAAAGTAAGTGCTGAAAAGCAAGCACCTTCAATAGATTGAGGTTTGGGCTGAACCCGCCAGCACCTAATGCGCAGAACTGGAAATACAGCACCTGTGATATTTTGTCTATACATGATCGGTCAGCCGGGTCCTCATAATTGCCAATATCAATTTACATACCAGAAGCGTCCAGATTCAACGCAAATAATCGATGGGCACAATGAGCCAGAACCATGACTTTCAAGATGTGCTACTCTTATAGCAAGCATCCTCGAGATTTTGCAGGCCCTTGATTGCCTCACCAGCCATATCTTCAGCAGTCCCAGCCGGACCCTGTAGCTTGCCATAACGAAGATCACTCATATCCCCAACAATCGTATTGAGTTGAGCCAAAATCTCTGCAGCCTCTCGGTCAATACCGGCAATCTCATGCTCGATATTCACGCTGGCCGTCTCCATTTCAGCCAAAAGACTAGCTACTGAGTGGTAGTCTTCCGGTACCGTACTAGATGGTTGGCCGAACATATGGAGATCCATGTCCATCTCACGCTGCTCTTCCGAATTTGAGGCTTCAACTCCACTGGCAAGGATGGCTTTCCGCAGCTCTGCTCTCTGCTGTTCACCTTGCTTGATCTCGCTATCGATGCTCGCATTGACTCGGTCCATGTCTTGTTCCCGGACTTGCTGCAGCTCCCGATATACAGTCCTGATGTGTGGGTGTCCCCTTAGACGCTTTGGAAAAAGATCTGTGAACTTTTGAAGCGACATCACCGTGGGCAGCGGGGCTGGCGAGAGTAGGAAATTGCCCAGGATAGATTCTTCCGAGGGTGCCATGATGAATGTAGACTAGGTAATTTTTCTTGTCTGCACTTCAAGGGCTCCAAAGTGTTTCTTTCCCTGTCTCCTAATACTTGGGCGCAGGTGTAGTTCTGGATCCTCTCCTTTCCGTGACGCGAACCACAGTTGACGTGAACAGGAATCTTGGCAATTCACAAGAACAATGCTCAATGAACAATAATCGAGTGAGTAGAAATAACCAATGAAATAGAACGCTCAATGGTCGTCTATTGCACAATAGGGCGAGATGAATGGAGAGAGATCAAATGTATTGACGGTCAATAAGTTGCCGCGCCTAATTCTTCAAGGGGCCACTCAGCGCGCCGCTTTATTTCCTTCGCATCACTCACCTTCTTACTTCCTCGACTACTTTATCCTCCATTCTCTCCTTCTCTTCCATTTTTTTCTTTCTATCTCAGTCTATTCCTGAGCTGGTCTCTCATCTACTCTAATCTTGTGGATTCTTTCTACCACCTTGCTCGTTCAAAAATTGCTGTTATCAAAACCCGACTTCTTGTACTGTGCACTACCATTTGTGCATTCTCCTCCAAGTCTTTCAGTCTTCTTTTGAAGCCTGCAGCATCGATCTGCAGTGTGCACTTTATTCTCTGAATATCTGAAGGCTTCCTCTGATCATTGTGACTGTTGTCACCTGTGTGTATCACGCCTTTTTCCCGTGAACAGAACGGGAATTGTCTTCTCTACACCTTCTACTGCGAAGGTTGACATCTGTCTACCAAGTTCAATTTCCCTGTCATCTATCTCCTTCTTTTCCGACAAAAATGGCTCCTTCTATGTACAACAAGGACGAGAAAGTCCTGTGCTTCCACCATGACATCCTTTACGATGCCAAGATCCTGGACGTCCGCCACAAGGATGCCAACGACAAGAAGAGCCCCTTTGAGTACCAAGTCCACTACAAGGGCTGGAAGAACACGTAAGTTTGAATTGTTTTTCTTGTTCTCTGTTTGTCTCCATGCCATCCGTCGTTCTTGCATCAAGATTCTGTTTTTTTCCAAGTTTGCCCGCATCACAAAAACTTCATTATATACGCTCTTCTTCATGTTGACATGCCCTGTCTTTTTCCTTGCTGTGCAAGTTTCTGGAAGAGCATTCTGTTTCCAAGAAAATCCGATTTGATGGAACCAATGGGCTAACATTCGGACAGCTGGGATGACTGGGTTCTGGAGGACCGTCTGCGCAAGCATACCGAGGACAACCGTGAATTGGCCAACAACCTGCGTCGCGAAGCTGAAGCCTCCTTCCGCCTGAAGAACGCCAAGCCCTCCTCGAAGAAGCGTGCTGGTTCCGACCGTGACTCTGTCCGGGACAGCGAGGAGCGCGGCAACTCCGTGCCCGGCCGTGGTAGCAAGCGAGCCCGTGACACTGACATCGAAAAGGTAAGCAATCACCCCAGTCTGATGGACTTGGTGCAATAAAACCAAATTTCAAGATCAGAAGAAAGAAAAAGATACCCTTTGGATGTTTCCATGCTAATAATCCAACAGGAAGAGAGCTTCAACCTCCGCCCGTCGGTCCGCATCATCATGCCCGACAATCTGAAGTCGCTGCTGGTGGACGACTGGGAGCAGGTGACCAAGAACCAGTGCGTTGTCTCTCTGCCGGCGAGATTCCCGGTCCGCCAAATTCTCAACGACTGGCACGAGGAGGAGCTGCCAAAGCGGTCGGGCTCGTCGGCGGATGAGGACGTGCTGGAGGAAGTGGTTGCCGGACTCCAGGAGTACTTCGACAAGTGCCTGGACAAGATCCTGCTCTACCGCCACGAGCGAGCGCAGTACCGAGCACTGCGCAAGAAGTTTGAGGCAGCCACCGGGGACCTGGCCGACAAGGGCCCCATCGATGTCTACGGAGCGGAGCACCTGATCCGCTTGTTCAGTATGTATTTCCAGTTCACTTTACTTCTGACTCAGTTATGAGAGTTCGGGGCTTTTACTAATCAGTGCTGTTTCTAAGTAGGCACCATGCCCGAGCTGATTGCTCAAACCAACATGGACATGCAGGCGACCAACCGCCTACGTGAGGAAATCTCCAAGCTGTCCATGTGGTTGAGCAAGAACTCGGAGAAGTACTTTGCCACCACCTACGTCGTGGCGGAGGCCACTCACTGAGTGCGCCGGCTGGGTTCTTTGGGAGGATGGGGAGGGGAAAGGGGGGACTATCAGATCTTCTTTTTGTTGTGCTGGGGTGGGGTGGCCACTCCAGCATCAGTGGCAGTTTCTATTTTCTTTCTTTTTTTTTTTTGGCTCAATTTTTTCCGCGTGGGAAGCGCGGATCAGAAATACAAGATACGTTGTCTGGCTCTTCAGTTCATCTGTAATCAGACGTAGGATGGTATAGTGAGACGGCAAAGTCTCAATTTGGCCTGAGAGTTGAGAGAGCAATCTCTAGAAATACGACGATACTAATGGAATCATGGAAGCAAATGATCCTCAAGCCCGAGAAAGAACAAATATGAATTCTTGGAGGGATGTCATGATAACAACATCATCTAGTATATCAATAGCTTGAATCCAGATCCAGATGCAGAAGTCACCATCGTCAAGCCAGGACCCAGGATCTATAGCTAAAATGAGGAAAAGAGGTCCCAGCAATTCAACATCTAAGCAACTAGTTGCCTTGCATCATCAACCGCACACCGCGCCGCACGCTTCAACTCACTCTTCCATTCTGCTTCACGCCACTTGTCCCAAGCACTCAGACCCTCCGGCGGCTGGATGCTCAAAGTGTCATATCCCTGCTTAATGATACGGTGAACCTCACGCGGGGAGAGATTCTTCTTCCGGATCGAAGGCAGCGCCACGGGGGCCGGCTCATCGGGATTCGGGCTCGCCACAGCAGCGGCAGCAGCGGGGCTAGTACCATCTGAATGGAAGAGCAGGGTATAGAAATGAGTGGAAACCGATTGGAGGGTTTCGATGGCGGCCGAATGCCGCTCGTTGCTTTGGGAGATTACACTGGCTGATTTGGTGCCTGCTGCGTTATTGCGGAAGAATGGGTACGCATCTCGGAATTTGGTGATGATGGGGCCCGTCTCAACGAGCTTGTAGAACAGGTCGTCGTAGGAGGCTGGATCTGGGAGGAAGGTGTCGCCGCCTGAGACGCAGAAGGCAATTAGATCTGCGAGGGAGGTTGTGAGGGTTTTGATCTTGGGGTTGCTTGTTAGATCAGAAGCGTAGGTAGTGAGGAAACGCATGAGAGAGAGCAGAGTTCGCCAGAGCTCGGACCAGTGGTAGGTCAGCCGGATTTTGTTCTTTGAGAGATAGGTCAGAAGGCGGAGTGTGATTGCGATTGTGTGACTAGTTAGATTGTTAGTTATGTACTGGACTTATATGGGATATGTGAATATTCCATTACCTGTAGATGTTGACATCGAGACGCCGGCGAAGATTATGTGTAATGGTATCGATGGCGATGTCGAATATGACGGTTGCGAGAACCCGATCTCCGCTGACCAGGGGGAGGTAAGGCTGTTTTTGTCGGCAGATGCGGACCTTTCGCTTTCCATCTTCACTGCAGATGTGCTTGCAGATGGCTGGGTCTTCGACCAAAATGCGCAGCGTAAATAGGTTGAGTTCGGCATAGTGTCCGACCCGTTGGGACCGATATGCATGTTGGAGAAGATATGAGGTCAATGAGAGGAAGCTCGAGAAAGGAGATTCTTCCTCTTTGTTTTCTGGCTCAGAGTGAACCAGATGATAACCGAAGAGTTTATTGGCATTGGTAAAGTCATATGTTGCCATAAGAACTGCAGCTTCTTGCGCGGGTCTGCCATGATTGTAAGTCTCACATGAATGAATATTTGCAAAGAAAACTTACAGATCAGCAAACATTGCCTTTGCTTCTTCGGCTGTAGGGGGGTTTGCTTTGTCCCTGGCACCGGGAGCAAGTGCTCGCAGTCCAAAGAAAATCAATGTGCTGGCCAGACTCCAGCCCTCTGGGATATCATCTTGCACAGCAACGTAGCCGTTCCGCAGGCCGGCGCAAGCCAAACCGACACCCTTGGCAACTTTTCGAATACTTGTCTCATTTACAAAATCATCAAGTCGAAGCTGATAAGGATTTTGAAATTCAAACTTATTGTAGTTGGCCAGGAGTCCCAGTAGGAGGAATGGGTCAAACACTTGAAGCGAGGTCTCAGATTCAGAAACATACTGTCGACATTGTCAGTTGCTTGCAAATAAAAAACAAAGATAGCAATGGATCAAACCTTCATGAGAGATGGGAAAAGATCTCGGTGTGTGAAATAGGAGACCAAGGTTGTTTTATATGCTCCGCTGGTCATAGCAATAGCCGTCTTGATAGCCTTGAGGCGCACATCGACTAGAAACATCCGAAGATTAGGATCTGCAGTTGGTTTCTTTGCTCATAACATAAAACGAAAGACAGAGAACAACCTACAAGTGCTGGCATTTCGAATAGTTCCATCCAAGACTGCTACAAACTCAGACATGACATGGTCCACTTCGTGGAGTCCTGCAAGAACAGTGATAACATCCGAGCTTGGATTTGTGTATTTTTTGCTTAGAATACTCGACAAGAATATAGTCAATGTCTGTCAATTCGTATTAGAAAGTCCATTCCCAGACATTGATCGTGGGAGTACTCACATCCAAGGCATAAGAAGCAGCCGGAGCAACCCCAGCTGCCGCCTCGCGAACAGCACGAGCAAAGAAACGGCGAGTTTGAATCTGATAGTTGCGTGAGTTGTTTGGAGCTCTTTTCTGTGGCAGAATTTAGATCATGGTTTACCTGCAGACTGATTATCTCGTCTGGACTCAAGTCATCTAGAATATCATGCAATTGGGTCCGGTCCGGAGGAAGCAAGAAGAACTCCCTCCAGAACCCCTCCGAGGGGTCTGCGTCATCTGTCGTCTATTATGCCCATGTTAGCAATATAATCCCATGTCGTGTTCTTTGATCGTACCTTGAAGAGATTCTCATAGAGCTGGACAATCTTAGGCTTGAAGGACTCGGGTCTACTCTGCTGAGTGAGGGGTGAGGCATCCATGGTTTAAACAGGGAGGCGGACGATCTGCAGCGATTGGCACGCCAGCATTGGAGCAAAAGAGTCGGGATAATTTCCTTTACAAAAAAACAAAGTCGGGTTTATTCAATAGTCAATAGTTTCGAGGTTCACCTCATCAAAAAGGACACCAGCCACTTTGTCAGCGGATCCAGCCACATGTCCTCTCTAATCTACAGACACTTGGCAATGGGTTACAATGGATTAGGTAGAAGAAAGAGCAAGTTGAGGTATATTCAGTACAGTTCATTTTGAGCCAGCAATTGATCTAGAGAGCTGTCTACAGTGTGATCTTATTCCCCTAACTGCATTTGGGGGGGTCATCCTCATGAGGCTCACGGTGAATCCCTCCGAAGAACGGAGATCTCCATGGTCGGTGATGACTCAGCCGCCGAAAAACGCACGGAGTTCTTAAGTTGGATGACAGTCCCTCGAGGCGGAGTTGGGCCTCAAGGTCAAGTAATCAAATGTTCCAAAAAAGAAAATTAGAAGCTAGGCTATCATATCAGCCCCTCCCCTGATTAGTCGAGAATTATAAATAACCAGCGCTGGAGACGCTTGAGGAATGGTGCCACAGCTGTGTGTAGAAACATCTCAACGCTGATTGGTCGGCTCTGCGTCATGCAACTGCCTTACCTAATGGACCCGGGGCCACGGGGAATCCTCAAAACAGAGTCAGAGAATCTTCTTTGAAACCTTGTAACAACACTCTACATCCCACCACTTTGCTTGCCAAAGATCCTATGAGTCAATAGCAACTATCATCGAGCTTTATTACATTTTCACATTGATCGCTCCCCGACCATGAGCTTCTGCACCGCCATGCAACGCCCTGTGACATCATCCGCCACACTCCTCCGATGGGCAAAGCCCTCGGCTGGACGCCTGCGTACCTTCTCGTCATATGGAAACGCCCACCTATCCTCCAAGCGGGACATGCAAACCGCGACTGCCTACCGCCCCCATACACTGCCCTCTTCTTTCCCGCCTCCTCGAAGCTCCGGCGGCGCTGATACTTCCATTTCGGCCGAATTCCCTCCTTCCGACCTTAGATCACACCAGAGAGCATCACAAAACACATCTCCGAGTGTGAGCCTCCGGGAAGGAGAAGCGCAAAAGTCGAAGCCCACTGCCCCGAAGGCCCGTCGGCCGCTTCGGCCAAGAAAGGCAGCCATGAAATTGTCTTCGGTGGCTACCGAGCAGCTTCGGAAGTTGATGGCACAGCCAGAGCCCAAGTTTATTCGAGTTGGTGTCAAGAACCGTGGCTGCTCAGGCCTCGCCTATCACCTGGAGTATGTGGAGAAGCCAGGTAAATTCGACGAGGTGGTCGAGCAGGACGGTGTGAAGGTCCTGATCGACAGCAAGGCCCTGTTCAGTATTATCGGCAGTGAAATGGACTGGCACGAGGATAAGCTGAGCAGGAGATTCATTTTCCGCAACCCCAATATCAGTATGTGGCCCTTGCAAAAATTGAAGTGCGTTACTTGGAATTGTTTTACTGACTGATAACTACAGAGGAAGAATGCGGCTGCGGCGAATCCTTCATGGTTTAAGCACATTGCCTGATCATTTCCTTTGGTGTATTTCTTGTACAGGACCTCGTGGCGTCTTTCTTACCGGTGCATTGGATGGCGTTTTCAGAGGGGGTTGGGAATTCCACAACCACCCTTTTGTTTGAGTACATACGCTTGATATCCAGCTGATTCCTTGTGTCCAGTTTCTTTCTTTCTTTTTTATTTTTCTGCATTTCCTTTGTGCGTCAAAGATGGCTTTTGAGTTACTCTTGGCTTCCAATTTGACGGGCTCTGTCATATAGACAGGCTGCAGGCCCAGTCTAATGGCAGCCTAATAGCTGTTGCTTCTTCGTTGTGCCAGCACCTTCTGACGAAGCCTTTGCAAGATCGGTCATGTGATATCTCTGGATATGTATAGATTAGTCCCAAGGACATTCATGAATGACATGAGACCTACTTCAATAAAAATCGCAAAATTTACAAAATTTACAATAAGATAGCTGCTCGATACTCTTGTTTCTTTCCTGCATATCAATCGGCTCTTTTAGAGCAATGGTGGATACCTGGGTTGTTTCAATGCCCATCGTCACCTGACGAGATATGATCCGAGGCCCCAGAATGGGGTAAGCTCCGCGTCTCCAACACCAGTCATTACATGTACAGAGTGACCTCGCCCCTTTAAAGACGCATCTCATTACACATGAAATTGCAGGCTTGACCTAATCAGAAAGCAATGGCTTCACCCTTCCTTTCTCCATATGCAGCAGGCGAATTAGCCACCGAACTCCTCCTCATCACCGTGCGCTTCTCCGCCTCCATCCCGGACCTCCAACTAGACGTCCCAGAGCCCGAGATCACAACAGGCGCAGGCCTGAAGCAGCTAATCCGAGCCGAACTCCCCAAACCCCTGTCATCCCACCGACTACGTCTCATCTACGCCGGCCGCGGCCTCGAAGACACAACCGCATTAGCAGTCTCACTCAAGCTCCCGCCCTCACCAACCCGCAGCCCACGCCCACCAGCAGACCATCCAGACGACCCCGACTCCCCAGATGATGGCAAGGGAAAGCAGGCGGTGCGCGACACCCGCCCACGTCTATACATCCACTGTTCGATCGGCGACATCGCACTCTCAGAAGCAGATCTAGCCAGCGAAGCAAGCGTGGCATCAACCGTCCTCCTCCAAAAACGAAAGCAGAGCAATTTAAGTAAATCACCACTTGCTACGGATGTCACGCCCTTACTCCCTGCTTCGGCGCAACCGCACCTACCCCAGCCCGAGTCAACCACCACACCCGCACCCCGCGGCTTCGACCGTCTTCTTGCGGCGGGGTTTACGGCGGCTGAGGTCACTGCTCTGAGATCACAGTTCCTGGCTGTGCAGTCTGTTTCACGCACGCCGGATACTATGCCTACGGGTGATCAGCTGCGGGATCTTGAGGATCGCTGGATGGATGAGGGGTCGACGGCGGCGCAGGTGCAGGGTCTTGGCGGGGAGGGTGGGGGTGGGGATGAGGATGGGATTGGGACTGGGTCGCGTGGGGCGATGGATGATATGCTTTGGGGGGCTGTTATGGGGTTCTTTTGGCCTGTTGGTTGTGCTATGTGGTTGAGGAGGGAGGAGGGGGTTTGGAGTTGGAGGAAGGGGGTTGCTGTTTGTGTGGGCGTGATTGTCAATGCTGGCTTTGGGGCCATGAGGATTATGAATTGATGGTGTTGATATAAATGTGTAGTTTTTTTGTTTTATTTGGCGTTTTGAGATACCCCCACAATTGAAGCTATTTGATTATGACAAAGACTTGGGATTTGTTTGGGATAATCGTTGGATTAGAGACTGGGCAGAGACTGGGATCTGAGCTGTGTCAAGTCTCGCAGGATGCTATCATACATAATTTCAGAAATGCGAGACAGAGATTATGGTGCTGCTTGTGTGAGATATAAGAGCAAATAAGACATGAACATAAGACCGAGTATACAAACGCCAGCATAAGACCTCGACGCTAATGGAACTTGCTGTAAATAACGGCGAAAATCAAAAGAACCAGGACCGTAATGATAGCAATAGTGATCATCCGATTGGTAGCCATCCTAATAACGCACGAGGTTAGCAACCGCTTCCAGGTCCGGAGCAGAACAGGACAAAGGGGAGTCAGTACCTACGGGCCATGCCCCTCAATGTCTTAATACTCGTATCGACATATCCCTCGCTCTGCTGCAAGTTATTCCGAGCATTCGTGATCTGCTCCCGCTGCTCGTACAGGGTACCGAGCGTGCCACGAGCAATATCCTCCGTCTCCAGCGCCATGCGCTGACTCTGCTGCAGTCGCGCAGAGCTGCGCTCTAGTCGGTCCGTGCCGGAAAGCAGCTGTTGTCTCTGTTCGAGATGCTCATCCTGCGGCTCGTCGGTGTAGCGGTCGCCGAAGAGTGCTCGCCGGTCATCCGAGAGGGACTTGAGCTTACGCTTGACCTCATCAATATCGGTTGAGTAGTTGCGGAAACGAATGTTGACTTTAGATCGGGCTGCTGAGGGAATGTTCTGCTTCTCCATGCGCATTTGGTCGAGCTAGTTGGGGGGAATTGGGGTTAGTTATCGAGTTCCTGCGGGTTGTTCTTCGCTTGCGGTGGCGCAATAGTGGTGTGGAGGGGATTCGGTGGGATTTACCAATTCTGTAGCTTCTTCGAGAACTTGTGTTGCATTGCTGATTGCTGATTTCCGCTGCTCGCCGCTGGCCTCGGCGATCTGGTCCAGCTTCTGGTTCAGGTCGGCTTGCACCAGCTTCAGCTCATTCTCGTAGCTGGCGAACATTTCTGAGCCGGCATCTGTGTCTAGTGGGTTGGACATATTGGCTGTGGGATATGTATTGTAGGAGAGGTTGAAGTCGAGATAAGTGCTTTCTGCAATGGTGGTTGATGTGTTGATGTAGGCTCCACCTTTATCTGGGGTGGGTGACGCTGTTCAATAAGAGTGCCGGGTGGCGGTGGTCGACTGATCTTGCCAAGATAACGTTGGATTGCAGGTATTATTTCGCGAGGCACTAGACAATACAAAGAGAAAGTAGCTGAAATACTCAAAGGCCCTGATAACACTGGCAAATCCTGGAACAGGAACGGGTCATGGTGCCGAAGTCACACGTGATGAACCTAAAGTCAGGGTTGCATTTGCGACAGATGATCTCTACTTCCTTTCTAGATCTACAACGACATGTCTGGTGGAAATTGTAGTAAGAAATCACATTTAATACATAGCATTAGCGTAAAACCAGGCCCACACAAAACAATTCGCCTTTTCAATAAACATTCAAGATACCCCTTTGGTATACAAGATCACGAAATCAAATTGGATAGCCGTTTATGACAAGAAGTTTTCGCTATCCTTGCCAACAATGATTGCGCTGCGCTTGGCATCCAAGAACAGGTCTTCGCACTCGGCAACATCAGTCTCCTCGATTGCGCCAGGATGGCCGTTGACGCGCGAGAGAATACTGGCGGGAGTCAACAGCTGCAGAGCGTATCGCAAGCTGACCTTGCTACCGTGCTCAGAGACCTTATTCAGGGCAGGCTCGGTGATACTAAGGTTTTCGACCTTGGCACGCAATCGGATGATTGTCTTGATCTCCTCGGGGGAGTAGGGGTTGGTGGGGATGATAAGAAGACGGGCAAGCAGATCAGGGGGAATGCCGTGTGCGGCGCTAATGTCGTCGGTGCCGCGGATAACCGTGTGGCCACGGTTAGAAGCGAGAATGACAATCGGGGAGATGGACGATTCGAGGGCACGGTTCAAATATGTGAAGCACTCAATGTCGAGCATGTGAACCTATGAAAGTAGTGTTAGAGGCGTGATCCGACACTGCACTATATCAATTATTTCGCATACCTCATCGATGAAGAGAACACCGGGAACCAATTCAGCAACACCCTGATCAATGTACCGGTTGACTACCTTGTTGATTTCCTGGCGCAACTTGTCCGTAATTTCCGTCTTCTTGGGCTTCATCAGCTGGCCCATCATGCTCATGACATCTTGTCCGCCCTGAGGCCGAGCATTGGCCATATCCAGATCATGAAGTGTCACATCCTGAACGATCTCCTTCTTCTTGTGAACCTCGCCCTTAGGGACAGGCACGTACTCCTCTGCCTCAAGATCGAATTCGGTCGCATAGGCATCGGATCGGCCAACTCGCTTGCATGCACCAGTGTTGGCTTCGATGTAGATAACGTCACCGACTGTAACCCGCTCCTTCTGGATGGCTTCGTAGATGCTGGGGTCCAGGCGCAGCTTCTTGGAGCCCTTGGCGGACTTCAATCCGATAATAAGATGGCTGATCGTGCGCCCGTATCCACCCAGAGGATTCTCGGCCTCCTCGGGGGTAAGCTCTGTCACTTCTCCTTCGTAAACTTCCTTTGTTTCGCGAACACGGAGACCTGTCGTAGGTTAGCCTGTATTTCCACGCTTGCTCCGCTTCCATGTCGCATTGCATACCAATAGCTCTCCGGAAGTTCTCCATCAATGCTTCGGTCTTCTTAACCTCTGCGGAATAGATTTCACTGCCAACGATCGGGCAGAAAGGAACCTTGGTTCCCAGCTCCTGCGATACAGCAAGAGCCAACGCAGTCTTTCCGGTACCGGGGCCACCAGCAAGCAGGACAGCCCGTCCAGCCATCTTCTTTGCCTTAATCAAGTCCACCACAACACCGCATGCCTTTTTTGTGGTTAAACCCCGTTAGTTATTGTTGCTGGGAGCCAGATACTCTGGTAAAATCAGCGGTGCTCTCCACTCACCTCGCGGGCAGCTGCTTGTCCCACGAATCCATCAGCAGAGATCTCCGGTGTTCCATCAGAGCGCAAGCCTAGGCCGCGAATGTGTGTATGCGCTGCGGTCCTGTTCTCGCGCGAGTTGCCCTTCACTTCGCTGATCTGGACCATGTTTGGAGGAGGTGTGACCGTACGAAGCCACAGGTATCGATGAAAGGTGATTCAATGGGTCGTAATAAGCGATAGAATCAAAAACCAAAGCTTCCAAGAAACAGATCAGATAAAAAAGAGAGGTAACGCGATGGTTCTCTGCGAGATATGCTTCTGGCCGAAATTCGCGAGCAAGGGATCGTCAAATGAGAGCGCCGCACCCAAGGCGGTGAACTGCCCCAAATTCTTCCCGTTTGTCCTCTCCTCCGCTTGTCTATTGACGACTGTCTGCTTTCTCAATATTTTGTGAGAGTCCGATACCTGGCAAACACAATGGCAGGCCTACACACGAGGTCAGCAATGGCTGCTCCCTTCTCCCTGGCTGCGGCCTTCCGCAGCCTTTCCATCGCCACACCCAAGCGATCCTTCTCAACGACACCGGCAGCACAATCGGTCCCGAAACTACCGGGTAGCGCCCCAGCCTACCCCTACGGACCATCTCAATGGTACAAGCAGTCCGATTCCGGTCTCTACGGAGGTGCCTCGATCCAATTCGGCAACAAGATCTCCAAGGGACGCAACAAGGGCAAGACCCGCCGCAGCTGGAAGCCCAACGTGCGCCGCAAGAAGATTGAGAGCGAGGCTCTAGGCGAGGATCTGTTTATCAAGGTTACTCGTCGCGCACTGCGATCGATCTACAAGGCCAAGGGCCTAGACAACTATTTGCTTTCGGATCGTCCAACACGTCTCAAGGAGCTCGGTCCCTTCGGATGGAACCTTCGACACCAGATTATGAAGTCACCCAAGATCAAGGAACAATTTGCCAAACAGCGCGCAGCTATGGGCATCCCTGAGCCCCCAACTCTCAGGGAATTTGTGCAGAGCAAGAAGGAGGAAATGAAGGACAAGATTGAAAACCTGGACATCGACGCCTTGACCAAGCCTCGTATCAAGCGACGAACCACCCTGGCCTATGCCAAATAAATCAGTTTGAACGACTGTTTTGATCTCTTGCATGTCGAGGGGGATGGACAGGCGCTTGTATCATTATCCCGAAGAGCGATGGATGGGTTTTTGTGCACCATGGAAGTTATGACATCTTTTTATGCCATGTCGTTATTCGTGGCGGAAATGATAGTAACAACTTTCTCGTTTGGGTGCAGTGTCTTTTTTTCAATTTGCATATTGGGTCTTCTGTGTACTTATACTCCAATGTTATTTCGTGTTCACTTATCAAGTTGCTTCTATCGACTGCATTTTGATACCACAAATTCGTATAGTTAGGATTTAATCGTCGATGGAACCCAAATTCCGCTGAGCAAAGAGAAGAGAAACGATGGGCGATCCGTCGTCAACTCGTTATGTCTAATACCATTTTATAGTGGAGAAAAAGCCCGCGCATTCATGCCAGCCACGTGCCTACATGTAGGTATTGACCAAGGATGATGGATGTGTGTTACGAGAAAACAGATAGCTTTCAAATTACAGATGACCATCCTTCGGCCGAAGTGTCTTTTTTTGTCAGGCGAAAGTAACATATGGAAGTCCTTATTTAAACTCCTAGGGAAACCCTCCGTAGTCTTTTCATATATCATGCGTAAACACACCGGGGCATGATGATTGACGTGAGAAAATGTATCTGGGGCTAAATACAGCAAATAGACACCGTGGAGATGCACTCCGGTGACCGATCCCTTGGTCCTTCCATAGACTGGGATTTACTTAAGTAGAACATCAAATAAATCGTCATGAAGTCCATAAATTTGAATGGCCTACCTAGGAAACATATAGTTTATGATCTTTCATTCGGTTCCCTTATACATGAGCATACTCAATCCACTGTATTTCAATTGATTGTATAAGGCTTTGAGATAAATTGGCACCTCTTGGAAAACCCAGAACCCTATATTTATGTGTACAACTCTATGTTGTCGGGGACCTCTAGGGAAGTCGTGGCTGAGACGATCTGGGAAATCCCCGTTGACAACACAACTGATACATGAAAGCAATTTGTTTGCAAGAAACTGTTTATAGGTGTAATACCTGCAATTTAAGCCTGTACAACATCATCAACTTATAAGCAATGTTCTGGGATGAACGATATATATCGAATATATACCAGATTGCGAAACGCAGCTTCAGAGTTTATATAGACATAGCACCGCGCTATTTGATTGAGTAATGAGATTTTATTGCTAAGAGTACCATATTCCCAAAGCCCCAACTGAATGGAATAACCATCTTCAAGCCTAACTTTGATTCGCAATACGTGATTTCTCCAGTATTCTGGTGTTCAGACACTGGCACTTACCTACATGTACCTAGGTAGACCATCACCTGCTTCCTAGGAAATAGCAACCTAATATTGTTAATACATACTATGTACCTATATATTTCATATCTCTCACTGGGCTATTCTTGTGGATTCAGATGTTCTAAACCAAAACAAAAAGATGCCAGAGAGTGGATAGGATTACCAGGTACCGTTCATACCCTCCGATCTATAAAAAAACATGGAAATCTGGGATCGCGAATCCCTACCGAATGCTTACAATATTATCAAGCCGATCACCGAAATTTTTCTTATCTTTGAACAAGCCCAAGTATGTCCAAGCTGTCAAATACTCCTACTGAATGCGGGATCTGGGATGGAAGCCCGTTGGAATGTGCCGTGGACCGGATTCGGACGCCACATCTCGCCGTGATCTTCGGACCCGTGTCGATCTTCAAGCTTCCCTCGACAATTTTCCTCATCTTCTAATTTGTCCTTGCGATGATTTGATCCAGGCAGAACAACTGTCCCTTGTACTGTTCCACAGCGCTAAGGATAACTCCTCGCCGTGATGCAGTTCGCATTACCTCCGCGGCGGAGCCCGCATGCTCTACCTCTTGCCCGCTCCTCTCGAATGCCGTCATATCGCAGAAAACAATTGAAGTCGATCACGATCCTGACATTTGCGTTTTTGTCTCTTATCTACATCCTTAATTACCTATATTTTTCGCCCTCCGTTACGGCTTCGGCGGATACTTCTGATGTGGTAATCGTCACTCTGCTCGACCGCCAGCGGCTCAGTGAGAGCTACCTCCAGAAGATTGTCGCGAACCGGGAGGACTACGCTAAGCGCCATGGTATGGAATCTATCTATGCTATTTTATGGCAAAGACCGCTATGCAATAATGTCGAGCTAACTCGAGCGCAAATAGGCTACACGAACTTCTTCGCAAGCGTATCGGACTATGACGAGGCCGTTGGTGATGCCCCGAAGAGTTGGGCTGTTGCACCAGCCATTCGTCATGCTATGGCCACACATCCTCGCGCGGCATATTTCTTCCATCTTGACACCCACGCTTTGATTATGAACCCTTCCAAATCCCTCAAGTCTCACCTTCTGGAGAAGGGCCGTCTTGAAGAGCTGATGTTAAAGGATGTGCCGATTGTACCACCCGACAGCATAATCAAGACATTCGCTCACCTGAAAGAGAAGGACGTGGACCTTATTATCACCCAAGATAAGGAAGATTTGAACCCCGGAAGCTTTATCTTGAAGAATGGAGACTTCGCTCGCTTCTTCCTGGATATCTGGTTTGATCCGCTTTATCGCAACTATAACTTTGCCAAAGCGGAGACTCATGGACTAGTAAGTTTTACTCCGCCTGATCTTTATCTGAAATCTGAGAGCCTGCAATCTGACCCGGATTCTTATAGGATCATATCATGCAGTGGCACCCAACTGTTCTTGCTCGAACCGCCTTGGTACCTCAGCGTATCATGAGCTCCTACAGCAAGGAGTCTCCTGGTGCATCTTCGGATGGTTTTTATAAGAGTGGTGACCTCGTGATCCAATTCCGCGGGTGCGATGAGGGAGCTGCCCGGAACTGTGCCCATGAACTGGAGCCATACTACAAACTATGGGAGAGGACGGCCAAGAGCAACTAGATAGTCTGCAGCTCAAGATCAGCTCTGGGGCGCTTTTACGTGGCGCACGCTTGCATTAAGGAGTCTATGGTTTCCACGTGGGAAGGTGGCGTTTTTTTCCTTCTGTACAATGTTCTAGGTCTAGTCGGCGTTTAGTCGTGGGGATCTCATCATATGGTGTATTTTTGCTTTCGGTGAACTTGCATAGCTGCAAAAGGAACACGATAATCATTCATTTTTTCCCTATGTGCAATACCAAAATAATACATCGCCTTCTGATATTAGCGATCAGTGCATCTTGTCTCAATCATGATGATGAGGATTATGCTATAGGCGGCTTGGTATTTAACCCAAGTCCTTAATCAAGGTAGTTTGATACCATGATATTGTTTTTCTTCGTCTCTTCCTTCCATCCACTCAACCACTCAGCCCAGTGCCACAGCATATGGAATGTCCAGATGCCACACTGGAGCCAGCTATCCTGCCAGCTTAAGCAAGGCCAGGGAGGATAACAGAGCGCTTCTTCTTGTATTTGTCGCCGAACTCCTTGCGGTAGCGCTTCTCCTTCTTCCAAGCCCAGCTCCACATCTGCAATCCACCAAGGAAGATGAAGAACAACACACTCCAGTTGAGCTGACTGACAAGGAAGACACCCAACCAAGCCAGAATCTCAAAGAAGTAGTTGGGGCAGGTGACAATGCTGAAACCGAATCCAGTGGGGATGCCTCGCTCAGTAGTACCGGGGCGACGGAGGTTACGCAGGATGTAGTGGGCGTTCAAGTTGGCCAGCTCGCCGAAGACAAAGAGTGCCAGACCGGCGTACACAAGAGCCATGTTGGGTGTGGTGCTGGCAGCAGTCGCATCTGGGCGGAAGACCCAGTAGGCGATGTTGAAGCCAGCCAGAATCCAGTAGTGGGCGCTGTTCTTGAAGATGTTGCGGGCGGGCATGGTGGCACTGCTGAAACGGTGCACAAAGATCGTCTCGAACTCGCGCTTCAGGAAGTGTACGATCAGCAGAGCGCAGACGAGGAGTTGCAGGTCGGAGGGTTCGGGGAGGGGCTTGTCGAAGTTAAAGTACAGAAGAGGTCGGAGCGGGAAGAGGAAGAGCGCGGGGATCAGGAGCGGGCCTAGATATTCAATGATGAAGACGGTGCGCCAGGCGATTTGAGGTCCTGTGGGATTGAAGAATGATATGTCAGTGTTGCTTTTTGTCGGTTTGCTGGAAGTTGAATTCGGGCTGTCCATTATTTGGCTTAGCAACACGTACCGAGATCCTTGACATAGATCACACTTGAGTTTCGCATGCCGGTGTCCTCAATGGTTGTGTTCTTTGAATTCGGGACCACGCTGTGGTCGCTGCCCTTGGTGATTCTCATGCGATGGATTGAGCAGCCGGATACCGCGGAGAGCGCAGTGTGCAATTCTTCGCTGGAGGCATCGAGAGAGATCTCAATTTCCTTAGGGAGCTTGCGGATAGGCTTGCCTGTATTCAATTTAGCAAAGTGCTTTTCGAGTATCCTCTCTGTGGTGTTTATGAGAGCTTTGGGTAAACAGGATGTATATATGCGTACCCCTTGGCTGAACGACGAGCTTGATGTTAGCAGCCGCCATGATTCTGATGAATTAGCTCAAGCAATGGAATGCTTGAATTATGATGCTAATTTGAGACCACCTAGAGAACTCGTTGAGATCGCAATTGGCAAAGAATTCTCTAGTCCCAACACTCTACAGTTTGGGCCTCGGTTGACGTCACGTGTTGACACCTGAGGCCAAAATCCAATAGTTGGGTTTCCTGAAATTAATTTGCCCGGCTTACTGGGAACAAGGGTATGCTGGGGATTTCTAGGCAAGTCGTACAATTGTTGCATCTCGGCGACTCGGCGCGTGGCTATGCTTGTTGCCCGGGATGTATCTTGTCCAGACTGCCTTACATGCTGGAGATTGGACTGGCCTGTCAGCCAATGGCACACCCGTGTGCCCGTCGACTCTGCTCAATGCATCATATGCATCATACATTCATGGAGGTTCTCAGAGAGCCACCTTGTTACCATTGTCTGTCACAACAAAGGCTTTATAGCCTCTCGAGTCATCTGGCCCCAGCGTTGTCAGCTGAAACCCGCGCAGGAGGCTAAAGACAGACTAATGTACTTGCAAGGCGCATTATGTAGTCTAGCGGGTCAAAGCAAACGGGCTAAGGCTGGGTTGTAGGCAGCTGAACTGAGGAGAAAGACATCATAATCTCTAATGGTAACGTCAAATCAAAAGCGAATAATATCGCCCCGCCAGGTCTCAGCTCCATCTTGCACGGTTAGTCTGGCCGAGCGACATTGCCAATCAACGCCCCAACCGTGACAACCCCTGGAACGCTATTGGAGATCTACGGAGTTTCATGATCTTAGTTGTGGTTTACTCCGTACATTTTGCTGAGAAAAAAACCATTATTCTGCAGAGTCTAAGCCCACCGCAGATCCTGAGGGTCCGCTTTTGCTCCAATCATAGGAGTGAGACCACATCTTCTGTGTGGGAAATGAGATATGCCATTGCATAAACTAATATAGCTCGTGTCTCTCAATTGAGCTAGGCTTTCGTATTCCGGTCCATCCGCCGTAAGTCATTGAGTGGGAACATGCTAGGCATCTATCAGGACATACCTAGGGGACTTGTTTGACAGGGGATAGAGCACGCGCGAATCAGAGATATCTGATTGCTGAGCGCAGCCAGTGGGGCGCTCGTCATCTCCAGGGAAGTCCACTGAAAGTGCGCTAAGTATGACTATCCAAATGGAGACCTGGGTGGACTTTTTTGGATGTGAGAGGGTGAGTTCAGCCGTACGCTATGCTCGGCTGATGGCCCTCGGATTACTCCGTGAATCCCATGGGAAACCTATAATAATGATCCTATCCCATTTCCGCCGAAATGATCGCATGATGATCTACTTCTCTTCTCCCTACCTACTCCGATTGTAGCTCTTATATTGCTGTCTTCCTATATACGCTATCGCGAGTCTACCCCAGGATAACTGTTCCTGAACCGTTCGCCTCGCCCCCATACTTCACCTAAATCACCTCTGCTTGACGTATATCGGTAAGAGACTGGTTTTTTCACTGGTTTCCAATTCCACAGTTTGTCATCCTTTGTACACATTGTTCGATCTCATGGCCTTACAAAAGCCCAAGTCACAAAATATGATCGCTTTGCTCATCTGCTCGTACCCAATGCCACAGAAACTAACAGATCGATCATAGTTCGCGCTTGAAGTTTCTCTGTACTATTCGCTTGTATTATATTCTCCCAATCCACCATGGCCGAGGGAGATTCCAATTCCAACCGCAACAAGCTCGCCCAGGTCGAGAAAGTTGTGGCTGCAGCCTTACGGCCATTGCCCACTCAAACCGGCGATGGCAGCTATGTGCAGACACCTAGTGTGACAGGCCTTGCTAAGGATCTGCTTCATGTTGACTTGCAAGATGCCAAAACATTGGCCGAGGTCGCGAAAACTGCCGTGACTGGCGGAGCTGTGAACGATAGAGACTATACTATGGAGCGAGTGATCCAAGTCCGTACTCTCGAGGAAAAATGGCTATGTGTACCTTCTGACCTCTCTACAGCTTGCTGCCGGCCTGCCTTCGACATCTCGAAATGGCAAGGAGCTCACGAATACTTTCCTCGCTCAATTGTGGGGTGATCTGGAACACCCGCCTGTCTCGTGAGTTGATCCATCTTCCAATTTCATGTCGATCAATGATGGCATCGTTCAGTGACTGACTGGCGATGCAGTTATCTTGGACGTGATACAGCATACCGTAAGGCTGATGGATCTGGAAACGTATGGACTATCCCATTTCCCAGCACTGAGAACCTCTACTAAGTAGCCCTAGAATGCTTTCTGGCCTCAAATTGGAGCTGCCGGCAGCGCATACGCACGGTCTGTTCGGCCAAAGACCATGCAGCCTGCTTCTCTTCCGGAACCCGAGGCTCTTTTCGATAGTCTTCTGGCCAGGAAAGACTTCAAGGAACACCCAAACAAGATTTCCAGCGTGTTATTCTATCTCGCTTCGATTATCATCCATGGTAAGATAAGGCTTTCTATTGAGATCTTTGTGATCACAAGCGTCAAAGCCATTGCGACTAACATCTCTTAGACCTGTTCCAGACGGATCCTCGGGACCAAACAAAGTCATTGACCTCCTCGTACTTGGACTTGTCTCCGCTGTATGGTAACAACCAGAAAGAGCAGGACACAGTCAGAACATTCAAGGATGGAAAGTTGAAGCCCGACTGCTTCTCCACTAAGCGGGTTCTGGGATTCCCCCCTGGTGTGGGTGTCCTTCTCATCATGTTCAACCGTTTCCACAATTCTGTTGCTGCACAATTGGCGGCTATCAATGAAGGTGGCCGGTTCACCAAGCCGGATGAGTCAAATACCCAAGCCTATGCCACCTGGGATAACGATCTCTTCCAGACTGCGCGCCTAGTTACCTGTGGTCTTTATGTCAACATCATTCTGAAGGATTATGTTCGGACCATTCTCAATGTCAACCGAACCGATAGCACATGGAGCTTGGATCCCCGCGCGGAGATGAAGGACGGCTTGCTCGGAGAGGCCCCTACCCAGGCTACCGGAAACCAAGTGTCAGCCGAGTTCAACTTGGTTTATCGCTGGCATTCTTGTATCTCGGCTCGGGATGCAAAATGGTCAGATGATCTATACAGAGAGATATTCGAAGGAAAAGAGCCACAGGAGATTAGCTTGCAGCAATTCGGCCGTGGCCTTGGGCAGTGGGAATCAAAACTTCCCGTAGATCCTCAAGAGCGTCCCTTCGCCAAACTGCAACGCCAGGCAGATGGTAAATTTGACGACAGTGACCTAGTCCAAATCTGGCAAGAGAGTGTTGAGGATCCTGCTGGAGCGTTTGGTGCTCTCAATGTCCCCGAGGTCTTCAGAAGCATTGAGGTTCTCGGCATCAAGCAGGCACGTTCTTGGAATCTGGCTACCTTGAACGAGTTCCGTCAATACTTTGGTTTGGCTTCTTACAAAACTTTTGAAGAGATCAACCCAGACCCCTATATCTCCAACCAGCTGAGGCATTTCTATGATCATCCAGACCTTGTGGAGTTATACCCTGGCCTCGTGGTTGAAGAGGCCAAGCAGCCTATGACCCCGGGTAGCGGTCTATGCACCAACTTCACGACTTCACGGGCCATTCTCTCAGACGCTGTCGCTTTGGTTCGTGGCGATCGCCACTATACCGTCGACTTCACACCAAAGCACCTCACGAATTGGGCGTATAACGAGATCAACCATGACGTCTCTGTTGACGGCGGCCAGGTCATCTACAAGCTGATTCTGAAGGCGTTCCCCAACCATTTCCGCGGCGATTCCGTTTATGCCCACTTCCCGATGGTTGTGCCTGATGAGAACAAGAAGATCCTAACCAGCCTTGGTCATGCCAAAACCTACAGCTTCGACCGACCTATGTTGAAAGACCCAGTTCCCTTCATCAATTCCCACGCTGCCTGCACAAAGATCTTGAATGACCAAGAGAACTTCAAGGTAGGATGGGGTGAGAAGATTCAATTCTTGATGGAGAATAGCGGCCGTCCATATGGTCGAGATTTTGCCCTGGCGGGCGATCTCCCTGCTAACGCCAATTCCCGAAAGATGCTTGGCACTGCTTTGCACCGAGACAAGTGGGAATCCGAAGTAAAGGCCTTCTACGAGGATATTACTTTGAAACTTCTCGAGCGGAACTCATTCAACGTCGCTGGGGTTAACCATGTCGATATCGTTCGTGATGTTGCCGTACTTGCCCAAGTCCACTTCTGTGCCAACGTCTTTTCTCTGTCTCTTAAGACAGAGTCTAACCCGAGAGGCGTGTTCAGCGAGCAGGAGTTGTACCAAATCCTGGCCGTGATCTTTGCTTGTATTTTCTATGATGTTGATGTGTCCAAGTCATTCCAGCTTTCCCAGACTGCTCGCAGCGTTGCGCAGCAGCTGGGTGAGCTGACTTTGGCCAACGTTGAGCTCGTCGCTAAGTCTGGTTTCATTTCGAACCTGGTCAACCGCCTTCACCGCCACGATATTTTGAGCGAATACGGGGTTCACATGATCCAACGGTTGCTAGACAGCGAGTTGCCAGTGAAGGATATTGTGTGGTCGCATATTCTCCCCATGGCTGGCGCATTAGTTGCCAATCAAGGCCAGCTTTTCTCTCAATGCATTGACTACTACCTCTCCGAAGAGGCGGCAGAGCATTTGGCTGAAATCCAGCGTTTGTCCAGGGAGGACACTCCCGAGGCTGACGAGCTCCTCGTGCGATAGTAAGCTTCTCCCTTCCATTTTAACTATGCCTCGATAGGACACATACTAACTATATACAGCTTCATGGAAGGAGCGAGACTCCGATGTTCTGTGGCATTGCCACGCATTGTGACAAAACCTACAGTGATCGATGACAATGGCAAGGAGGTTACTTTGAAGGCTGGCCAGGAACTCATTTGTAACTTGGTAAGTTGTTTAATGGCCCCTGTAAGCTCTCGCTTTCATTGTCGTTCCGATGTTAACAGACCGTGCGAATTATAGGTTGTTGCAGGCCGTGATCCTATTGCATTCCCCGACCCCGATAAGGTCCGTCTTGATCGTGATATGAGCCTGTACACTCACTTTGGCTTTGGTGCCCATCAATGCCTGGGTGTCAAGATGTGCCCTATTGCGCTTTCCACTATGCTCAAGGTCTTTGGACGACTAGATAACTTGCGCCGTGCCCCTGGACCTCAAGGTCATCTGAAGAGGCTGGATGCACTGGGAGGAATTGCTATGTATATGGATGCCGAGCACAAGAGCTTCAGTCCGTTCCCTGTGACTATGAAAGTCCAATGGGACGGAGACCTGCCTTCCAGGAAGGAGTAAAAGCCATACATATGAATGTGGTATTTCCAGAGATGTGTGCTTGTTTTGGGAGACCTCTCTGTACTGTTTATGATCGCCATGGTTAGTTTGTATAGCTTACATGTGTTTCCTCAGTTGTTTCACCGAACATTGATTAAAATGGAACTGGCTTTCAAAATGTGGCCATGCCCCTTAGCAGAGATAAACAAGCATTTGTAGCTTTCATTATATTCCCCTTTCAGTAATAAAAACCTCAACAATTGCATCATGTGTGGTGTCAAAGAACTTGGAAGTGGGAAGAGATCGATGCCTCAGGCCCTGCGGGGGGAATCAGCCAGAGCCGCTCCGCCCTTCCATCTGCCGGCAAGACCAGCTTCCATTCACGAATCTTCCCTTTGCGTTGATCGTACCTTTTCTCTTCTTGTTTTATCAACCAACCCCCTCCTGTCATCCTTTCCTTTTAATAGCCTTCTTACCTCTACGTCAAACCTCTAGGGATAACGACCTGCACTCGTTTTCCGTAGCTACTTTGACCGCTCACTGATATCTCATCTTTCAGCTCTCATATCTGAGCTTTCTTAATCCAAGTTTCTTCCCGATTGAATGACAAGTTCGATCTAGCATCTCTTTGATTTGCATTTTCGAAACATTGCTCAGTTGGTGATCACGTTGAGTCGATTCGGTTTTCGTTGAGGCAGAAAACACCAAAAACGTCATAAGGCATCTTCGCGCTTTCTCCGCGACACTGGTCTTGAAGACCTCCTTAGTCCAACCTCTCTAGGAGACAACCCTCCTGGAATCTATCGACTCCCTCATGTTTGACTGTTGAAACCGATCGTTATCATGGGGAGAATTAAGAAGGTAGCCAGCCAAAAGCATGAGGCTACAATCGTGAGTGACTCCCCCGGCAGCCTGATGTGCAACCCAACTAAAAAATTTTCCTCCTATTACAGTCACCTTTTTTGCGAGAGTTTATCGTACAGGCCACGAGTATCCCCATTCCAGAGCTCCCGTCACTTCTTAGCACATTCCCGAAACTATGGCCATTCCCACGTGGTGATCTCTATCATTGGATCAATGTTCTGGACCGGTTCGACGAGATTCTGGCATCGGCTGTTGAGAAATACTTCCTGAACACTGGACCGCAGACTCAATCGTTTACCCGAGGTGTATTGGAGGACTCATACTCGGCTGATGAGAGCAAGAAGCCTACAGAGGGTGTTGATGCCAAGCTGAATGCTCTGGGATATGGCCCTGATGGAGATAGAGAGCTTGTGGAAGGAATCCTTGATTTTTCTCGTCTATTGCTCGAAAAATGTGGAAATCGCAGCTTGTACAGCAGCAGTGATCGCCTGGGCGACCTGTTGAACACCACCTCACTGTCTCTCCTCCAGTCCACCTTACGGCTGTCTCTCTGCTTGGCTCAACGGTACCACTCCCGCCAACGCGGCGCCCATCAACAGTCCGTATTGCAATCCCACTATGCTCTTGATCTCGAGAAGTTGCAGAAGATCGCAGCACCTTTCCCTCGTCCTGTCATTGCCAGTAAAACGCCGTTTGCCACGTCCCCTGCTGTTTCAACCAAAGGGAAGGAAAAGGCAGCCCAGACCAAAATCAATGCCAATGAGCTGGTTTCCCTTGTGCGTGATAGTGATGGCTGGGAAGAATGGGGCGGTGTTCGCATTCTCTACTACCCCTCAGGCTCTGAACAGGCAAGAACCACATCCGAATTTGGACAAACCGAACCAGGCTCGCACGTTCCAACCACGCCAACTCCCCTGCGACGCAGTGCAACACATCCCACTCCTCATCTGAGTCGAGGTGTAGATGAAACCCCAGGCTCCGCCGGCGGGAAAGCTGAAGAGACTGCGCGTGGAGGCAAAGTCCTGGAACTTTCCCATTCGAAAGTTTCTGCTGCAAACCTGGAAGATCTTCTTGTGGCTAACCTGCCTCAGTTGCCCCTGGAATCAAAATATGAGTTGCTTCACAAAGCTCGAGTTGCAAAGGCATTGACAACATCGCGTGCTACGCGGGAACAGATTCTTTCCATCAGAGCGCTGGCAGTGACCAACTTGGCCCATGTCCAGCCCGAGAGTGCCTTCCAACAAAAGGTTCTTCAGTCTGATCTGGAGCAACCTAAGCGCCTTCAGCTCTCCTATCAGCTTGCTGAACTAGTTCACCTGGGAGCCAGCGGGGATCTCGAAGTCTCGCGATACGTCCAAACATTGGCGATCCAGGCGCTGGATGCACTGGCCAAGCATAAGGCCCGTGCTGTTGATGTTTGTGCAGCTTTGAGCGTCAATGTCAATCACGGAGTCCTGATGTTTTTGACCCGTAAGATGGTCAATGAACTGAGCCCCGAAAACAATGATCCGGATGATGCTTACCACGATGAGTGGCGGGACGCTCTACTTGCACTTCTGCGCACCCTCCCGAGCTCAAGCACGCGCACACCAGAGACCCTGGTCGCAGCTGGTTTGATCCCCATGTTTGTTGACGTTCTGAATTTGCGGACAGAAAAATCCCGCCGAGTCTATTCTCGCATTATGGAGTTCCTTGATACCTTCGTGCATGCAGTTCGGGATGCACTGGGCACATTGACAACCGCAAAGGGCTTTGACGCGATGTCTGATTTGATTGACTATGAGACCAAGACTGCTTTTGGGAAGGTCAACCGCGGAGATGGATTCCCTGTTCAATACAAGAATCCATCAGTTGATTATCAAATCCCTTACTTCCAACAGCAGACCCTCCGCTGGATGTTCCGTTTCGTCAATCACATTATGCAACACGCCAGTGGTGGCTTTGATCGTGTGCTACGAAACCTAATTGATTCACCTCAGCTGTTGACTTCTCTCCGTCTTGTGTTCGAGAATGCTCGCATATTCGGTTCGCATGTGTGGAGCAATGCCGTCAACATTCTCAGCAGCTTCATTCACAATGAGCCCACTAGCTATGCTGTTATTGCTGAAGCTGGTCTCAGTAAAAGCCTTCTTGCCGCTGTCATGGGCCGTGAGCTCCAGGTTATGGAGAAGCCGCCGGCGGTGGAGCCCGAAGACCGCGTATCCGAGGACGAAACTGCAACCCAGCCGCCCAGCGCTGAAGCCGCTATCCAGTCCGAGGGAAAGAATAAAGATCGCGAGTACGCTATTGTTAGACCTCAGGGCACTCCCCTTGCACCTGGCATTATGCCCGCAGCTGATGCTCTTGCTTGTATTCCTGGTGCTTTTGGGGCCATTTGCTTGAACTCCTCCGGCCTGGATCTCTTCCAGTCCTCCGATGCACTGGAAAGTTTCTTCGAAATCTTTGAGAACCCTGATCATGTCAAGTGTCTGAAGGATGACCCGGAATTGGTTCGTTCATTGGGCACGACATTTGATGAGCTTGTTCGACATCACCCTGCCTTGAAAACTTCTATCATGTCTGCAGTTCTCGTAATGGCTGCTCGTGTTAACATGCTGGGTCGAGTTAAGGCCTGGGAACAAGGTATGGGCACCAAGCTGTGGGCTCAAGATTCCGACGGTAAAACAGTTATCTCGGGTGATATCTTCTCGCTGTTCCGAGACATCGGCACAGCAGTCGATGCATCCGTAGAAGACCCCGCATCGTTTGGTGCTCCCCAGCTAAATTCGAACGCTCTTCCTAATGGGGGAAGTTAGTCGTTGGGCATCTAGATCATGTTCTTCCTTCGCCGGGCCCCGACTTTGAGCCTAAAGATAAGGACGAGCATGGACTCACAGCTACGGACTATCTGTTCCCAGCTCTTCGATTCCTGGGTGCTTTCTTTGAGAACCAGACAAATTGCACATCCTTCGTTCTGGCCGGGGGCGCTGAGTTCCTGTTGGATCTCGCAACTCTTCAAAGCTTAGCATTCGATTTCCACGGAACCAACGCCAATCAGGAGGTCACTGTGCTTATCCACATGCTTGCGGAATCGAAGCCTCATCTTGTGGTGCCCTCTCTCGTCCGACGTGCCCAAACAGCAGTGGACAATCTTTCGGCCTTTTGGACTGCGCCCACTGGATCGGGATTCTTCACGGAATTGATACAGCCGACAGATTCGAAAAAGCCAGCTCTCGAAGCTACCACTGCTGCCAAATCTGGCACATTCTTTGTCAGGCACCTGAACGCTGTCCTTCTTCTGACCGACGTCCTTCGTGAGGTTTTCGCTTTGCCATTGTACCAAGCCCGTCCCGGCCAGTCCACCTCCATTTTTGGCCAAGCTAACCTTGCGGATCACTACTGTACCTTGATTTCTTCATTGACCAACCTTGTTGCTTCTTGTGTATGGGAAGGTATCTTGCTGGAGAAGAATATCCCCGAGAAGTGGCTTGAAGCCACACAGGCCTCGGCTGAAAAGCATGGGTCTGGAAAGTCGAAGGGTGCTTCGGCTTCTGGCACCTCTCAGGAGCCTCCAGCAACTTCTGGCGCCGTACCTCAACCGGAAGGCTCTGGTGCATCAGATCCTGTTCAGGCTCAGCCAGCCCAGGACTCGAAGGATGATAGTGAAGTGGATGAAACCTGTCCAGCTTTCCAGAATGCGCGTACGCTTCGCTATCTTTTAAGTGCTTTGCCAACCTCGATTACGGGATTCTTGCACAATCTCGGACTCGGAATGATAGGCAAGAGACGCGGGGATCCGCTCCAGAAGCAAAGACAGAACGCTAGCCTGGTCTCAGATGCTATCGCTGAAGGTATTCTTCGCCAGCTGCAGTTCAACCCTGCCAATTCAAGTGATAGCCACAAGCACCGCTTTGCATATCTTATTGTCATTCTCTCCCATTTCTCGCACCTTCTCTATGAAGTTTCAACCGAACGTCCTACCCCGAACTACCTGACTGCGGTTCTCGTTGCATTCAAGAAGAACAACGGCCTCAAGGTGTTGAAAGACATTTGTGAAGTTTTCTTGAACGACATCAAGTCCCTTCCCTCGGCAGAGTCCATTCCTGACCAGGACAAAGAGCTTGCCGATCGACTTGCATCGGGCTATGGTGGAATTAAGATCATTCTTGGGTTATTTGCAGACCTTACCGCTGGAAAATTCATCGTGGATTCGAGTCAGACGCAAGCCTTGACTACTCACGAACGGGACCGGGAACGTTCCGATTACTTCCAGCCAGGTCAATTTTTGGTAGAGCTCCGCATGGAGATTCTGCCCATGGCCCAAGACATGTGGAACTCGGACTTTGCGACCCAGTCGTCGAGTCCAATCGTCAGATTGTTAATTGACATCATGCGGTCCTCCTTGGATGGCGAATATGAGACTGGCGCAGCCCGTAAAGCAGATAAACCTCCTGTCTTGATTGATACTCCTAAAAAGCCATTCGTCGTCCACACTGAACGAGCAGCCGCTTTGTTAGACAAGGGATATACAGATATTGATCTTAACAAAGAAGCCCTGTACCGTTGCAATAATCTTTTGGTCGCGGCCGAAGAATATTGCCAGGCGCAGCAGTGGCTACGGGCTCCCCCAAGAGTTCCTCCGGGTCCCAATGATATCCAAACTGGGGTCCCCGAGCCTGCTTCTGGAATTGACTCCCTCGACGACCCACTTATTGGGGAGGTTCAGGCTTTCGATCACAGCAGTGGGCTCATAGACCGCTCTGCACTACAAATGCTCCTGGCCCAAGCGGGCAGACGCTCAATGGCCGATATAATGCCACCCCCTTCAGCACCCGGGGGCGATGGCGATGCTGATATGCACGATGGGCTGGCTAGAGCTTTGGACAGTGTTCTTAACGATAATGATGGCATGGATAACAATGGCCGAAGCGAGTCATCGAATCAGAGCCAGCCTGATGGTCGCAATAACGGGGACAACTCCTCTGAACCTTCTGCACCATCGCAGGGGGACCCAGTCAAACATCGTCATATGGTTACAATCGAGGACCTGGATGCAGAGAGGCAAAAGGTTCGCGCGAACCTGATCGATCGGGCTCTGGACATCCTGAACGAACACCATGACGTCTCTTTCGAGCTGTCTGACTTGATCACTTCGGCGATCAAGAAGCATAGCGAGCCTGAGAACTTCCGTCGAGACATCGGAGAGACCCTTGTTCAATCGTTGGTCTCTCTGCAGATGGAGAACTTCCAGACAGCCGGCAAAAAGATCGCGGCTTATGCCCATATTCTCGCCTTGACCCTCCAAGATCAGGACATGTACCTTGCTACCCTTGAAGAGCTTAAAGATTGCTTCGTAACTTTCCTTGGATTCATCAAGCTTCCGACGCCTGAGAAGGTTGAACAAGAAACTTTCCCTTGGGTTGGGCACGTCCTGCTTATTCTCGAGAAGATGTTATCCGATGACTGTCAGCCTCCAAAAATATCCTGGAATCCGCCAAGTCCTGAGGATCCCACTCCTAGTAGCAACGAACCGGCCTCCCTTGAAGAACCTCTCATATACATCGATGAGAAGGCCCAGCTTTTCGACGCCCTTGTCGAGATTCTACCCAGAGTGGGCAAGGATGATACACTCGCCCTCTCCATTTGTCGTGTATTGGTGATTCTCACACGCGAGCGCTGTATTGCCACCCGCTTTGGTGAAAAGCGAAACCTCCAACGTTTGTTCGTGATGGTTAAACAGCTTTCCAGTTCCACGAATGATAAGCTTCAAAGCGCATTCATGTTGATCCTACGTCACATCGTTGAGGACGAAGCTACCATCAGGCAGATCATGAGGAGCGAGATTGTTGCCAACTTTGAGTCCAAGAACAATCGCCAGATTGACATCAATAGCTATTTACGACAGATGCATCACCTCGTGCTGAGAGCTCCCGATATTTTTGTGGAGGTTACAAATGATAAGCTACGCTTTGTCCGATATGACTATGACAATCCCCAACGTCTGCACGCTCTTGGATTGAAGGCTGACAAAGATCGTCAACAAAAGCGAGGACGACTCGCTGCCCCTCCTGATGAAAACAAGCCAGAACCATCCACTGCAGATGACGCATCTGCACCCGAAGACAAGGACAAGAATAAGGAGGACAAGAACAAGATTCAAGCTAAGGGTGCCGAGCTTAAGGCTCCAGTTGTGGAGAACCCGGATGGTGTCATTCACTACCTACTCTCGGAACTTCTTTCCTACAAGGATGTTGACGACAAGGAGTCTGGCCCCGATTTTTCGGAGCAGACAGCGGATCAATCTGATACTCAAACCGATGTCGAGATGGCTGTGGATGAGCCTAGTCCTTCGGTTTCGAGCACTGCGGATGCCCAGGCATCTCGCGGTTCCAAGAAGGCAGAGAAGCCCCCATTCAAAGCAGACGAGCACCCGATTTACATATACCGCTGTCTGCTCCTTCAGTGCTTGACTGAACTTCTCGCCTCTTACAATCGAACCAAGGTTGAATTCATCAACTTCTCCCGCAAAGCCGATCCCCTTGCGACCACTCCCTCTAAGCCCCGCTCCGGAGTTCTCAATTACTTTTTGAATGTGCTTGTTCCCCTCGGCACTATGGAGCACGATGAGACCTTGGCATTCAAGAAACGCAGCATGACGTCCACATGGACTATGCAAGTCCTCGTCGCCCTTTGCACCAAGACTGGCGAGTTCGGCGGCGTCGGTAGACGTCGCACTGAACCGAAGTATGAAGAGGACGAGCCTGAACTCGCTTTTGTTCGGCGTTTTGTGCTGGAACATGCTCTTCGGTCCTACAAGGATGCTATGACCTCTAATGAGCCTCTAGATTCCAAATACTCCAAGCTCATGTCTCTCGCCGATCTTTTTGACAAAATGCTTAGTGGATACTCCTTCTCCAATGATGCCGGCTTCCCAACGTCAACTAGGCAGCTTGCTAAGACCATGTTCGAAAAGAACTTCATACCTGCGCTTACTGCTTCAGTGGCCGATGTGGACTTGAACTTCCCATCATCCAAACGTGTCATCAAGTACATCCTTCGTCCGTTGAACAAACTTACCCAGACTGCTGTGCTCCTCAGCGAGAACTCGGACATCACCATTCAAGGTGACAACGAAGACGATGATATCTCCTCGGCAACCTCCGTTTCTGACATGGAAGATGAACGCGAAGAAACGCCTGATCTCTTCCGCCACTCTACTCTTGGTATGCTAGAACCTCGCCATGACGAAGAAGAAAGCAGCACCGAAGAATCAGAAGGCGAAGACGATGAGATGTATGATGATGAATATGATGAGGAAATGGACTACGATGAGGACATTGCTGAAGATGATGGCGAAGTCGTCAGCGATGAGGACGAAGATGGCATGGGTCCAATCGAAGGCCTTTCCGGCGACGCGGTCGAAGTTATCCTCGACGAAGATGAAGACGACGATGAGGATGACGACGACGAGGAACATGATCATTCGGACATGCATGATGATATGTATGATGGTGAAATCGGTGGCGATCGGGACAATGAAAGCCTCGAAGATGGCGGAGAGGATGATTGGGAGAGCGAAGAAATGACTGAAGATGAAGAGGAGGTCGAGATGATGAACCAGTTCGAAGATGAAATGGCCGACATGAGACAATCCACTCGACACCAGGGTGAAGACCAACGGATTGGCGACCTGTTCCGTGCTCTCAATGAGGCTACCGGACTTGATGATCTCCATGGCGATGGCCTAGGTGGTGACATCCACGAAGAAATCCTCGATGATCTAGACGAAGATGGTTTGTCCTCCCTCCGCCCACTGATGCGCCTATTAGAGTCGCTGACCTCTCATCTAGTCGAGGATGAAGACGAGATGGATGAACTCGACGAGGATATGGACGACTTCGATGACGAACAAGGATCTTATGGAGATATGGAAGGTGAGTCGAATTCGCATACTAACTTCCTTCCTGCATCATTACTAATTTGTTTAAAAGACGACGATCTTCTTGAGCCATGGGGATGGGAAGGCGATGAGCCTCCAATGCCCCGAGCACACCAACCCCGCTTCCGCGGAGGCCCGCCACCCGCATGGGCTACTGTGACTGAAATCATGCCAGGTCGCTCAGGTCTCGTTCCCATCCAACCCTACCACCGTGTCCACCGAACTCAAATGCAGCCCCGCGGTCACGACGATGGTACCAATCCTCTACTCACCCGGACTGGTCGCTCCGATCCTAATGTTCCACCCCGTGCGTCCGCTGCTGATCCTTTCGCTGATTGGGGCCAGTCCATGGACACTGCAGGTGGCCGAGTTGTCGCAATGGATAGCCCCATCAGCTTCATGAATGCCATCATGCAAGCCATAGGCGGACAGGCGGCGCCAGGTTTCGGCGTTGTCACTCGCCCTGACGGTATTCATCTCCATGTCGATCGACGGGCTGTTTTACCCGGCCGCCTCCAGGACATGCTTGGAATCTCTCGATTGCCAGGCCCTCCAGCTCGTACTCGCAGCGATGATCCGCAAACTGCTGTCAAGTTTGGTCTCGGAACCACCAGGAGCCGCTGGCAAGAGGAGGCCCGCATTCTTTTCAGCAGCCAATGTATTGAGCGCACTCAGCGTGTCATTGGTTCCATTCTGAAGGCTTTGGTTCCCCTCGCTATCGAGGAGGAGAAGCAGCGCCGGAAACATGCGGAAGAGGAACGCAAACGCCTTCAAGCCGAACAAGCTGAGAAGGAGCGCCAAGATCGCATCGCTGCTGAAGAAAAGGAACGCCAGCGTAAGCAAAAGGAAGAGGAAGAAGCTGCCCGACTACAGGCAGAGAAAGAACAGCAGGAAGCCGAGCGCCGAGCTGCTGGGGCGGATGAGCCTATGGAAGATGTTCAGGAAACCGGTACCACGGTCGAAACCGCTGGCCCATCTACCCAAGCCGAAGCCCAGCCCACTGAGCCTGCTCGTCGGGTTCACACAAACATCAGAGGCCGCCCACTTGATATCACCGGTCTGGAGATTGACCCAGAATATCTAGAGGCTCTGCCCGAGGAACTTCGGGAGGAAGTCATTATGCAACAGCTTTCTGAACAACGTTCACAGGCTGCCGCTGCAGGTGAGGAGGATACAGAGATTAACCAAGAATTCCTTGAGGCCTTGCCCGTCGATATCCGTGAAGAATTGCTACAACAAGAAGCAGCCGATCGACGCCGACGTGAACGCGAAACTGCACGTCGACAGGCAGCCACTGCAGGTGGAGCTGGCGCTGCTCCTTCTGCCACTCAACCAGCAGAAGAAATGGACGCTCTCAGCTTCCTCGCTACTCTTGATCCCTCTTTGCGACAAGCTGTCCTGGCTGATCAACCCGAGGATGTCCTTGCAACCTTGGGCCCAGAGTACTTGCCCGAAGCTCGCGGTATGGGTGGTAGCGGCCGACGTATGGCCCAGTTTGGTGACATGGGAGCCCTTGACCACCGTCAGAGAATTGAGCCTGCTGCAACCCAAGGGACGAAGAAAGAACAGAGACGTCAGATTGTTCAAATGCTCGACAAGGCTGGCGTTGCAACCCTTCTGCGCCTGATGTTCATGCCTCTTCATGGGAACGCTCGACATCAGCTAAACGATATCCTTCACAATGTTTGCGAGAACCGTCAGAACCGGAGTGAGGTTATCAGCCTTCTTCTCTCGGTTTTGCAGGATGGCAGTGTCGATTCCACTGCGATCGAACGTAGTTTCTCGCATCTCTCTCTGCGCGCCAAAGCACCAGGTACACAGAAAACACCACAGCCTAACAAGCGAAACCTCGCTCTCCAGACTGCTTCAAGCGTCAGCAGTGAAGTGACCCCACTTATGGTCATCCAACAATGTCTCGCCACATTGTCTTTCTTGTCGCAGTTCAATCCTCACATTGCCTGGTTCTTCCTCACGGAGCATGATTCTGCTTCATCTGCCAAACTCAAGTCCTTGCGCAAGGGTAAGGGTAAAGAGAGCCGTGCTAACAAGTTCGCTCTAAATGCCCTGCTTTCTCTTTTGGACCGCAAGTTGATCATGGAAAGCCCTAACTGCATGGAGCAACTATCTGCCCTCTTAAGCAGTATCACACAGCCATTGACTGTTCTCCTCCGCCGTGAGAAGGAGCGACAAGAAGAAGACAAGGGCAAGAAGCCTGAACGAGCTCAAATAGAAGGACCTACTGATCAAGCCCCCGAGGCTGCTGCTTCCAACGTGGACACATCCATGACTGATGCTCCGCTGCCTACAGTGGAAACCCCTGGAGCCACTGGCCCAGAGACCACAGAGGGTGCGGAAACTACTTCAGCTGAAGCCAAGAAGCCTGAAGATTCTAAGAAGCCAGCCGAGGAGGAGAAGCGCAAGAAGCGAACAATCGAGCCTCCTGTTGTCCCAGATCACAACTTCCGACTAGTTGTTCACATCCTTGCGGCTCGTGAGTGCAATGGCAAGACCTTCCGCGATACCCTTTCCACCATCAACAACCTTTCTGCTGTTCCTGGAGCCAGGGATGTTATCGGTAATGAATTGGTTGCTCAAGCTCAAGCCCTCAGCGATACCATCCTGGGTGATTTGGAGGATCTTCTTCCTCATATTCACCAAGCCAAGACTGGTACCGACATGCAAGGGCTTGCTCTGGCCAAGTTCTCCCCAGCCAGTTCAGACCAAGCGAAATTACTACGTATCCTCACAGCACTCGATTACCTGTTTGATCCTACAAGAGTGGACAAGTCCAAGGGCTCTGAGCCCGAATCTGCCCCCAAGGAGGATGTGCTCAAGCGCCTCTATGAGAGCGCCACGTTCGGTCCGTTGTGGACCAAGCTGAGCGATTGCTTGGGCGTCATTAAGTGGAAGAAGAACATGCTTAACGTTGCTACTATTCTCCTACCTTTGGTTGAGGCATTGATGGTTGTCTGCAAGAATACCACGCTGAAGGATCAGCCACTATCTCGGGGCAGCCGTGAATTGTCTGTCAACAGTGCCCCATCTGATACTGGTCTCAGTATGGAGAATATCTTCTTTAAGTTCACCGAAGAACATCGCAAGATTCTCAATGAGCTGGTCCGTCAGAACCCTCGCCTGATGAGCGGTACTTTCTCTCTGCTGGTCAAGAATCCCAAGGTCCTGGAATTCGACAACAAGCGCAACTACTTCACTCGTCGTGTGCACTCTCGTGGCGCCGAGCCTCGCCACCCCCATCCTCCTCTTCAGCTATCTGTGCGCAGAGCTGAAGTCTTCCTTGACTCTTTCAAGTCCTTGTACTTCAAGAATGCGGAGGAGTTGAAGTATGGCAAATTGAATGTACGATTCCACGGCGAGGAGGGTGTTGATGCCGGTGGTGTCACCCGAGAGTGGTTCCAAGTCCTCGCCCGTGGCATGTTCAACCCCAACTATGCCTTGTTCATCCCTGTTGCTGCCGATCGAACTACATTCCACCCCAACCGACTCAGTGGCGTCAACTCCGAACATCTCATGTTCTTCAAATTCATTGGACGAATCATCGGTAAGGCCTTGTATGAAGGCCGTGTTCTCGACTGCCACTTCAGCCGAGTAGTCTACAAGAATATGCTCGGACGAACCGTGTCTATTAAAGATATGGAAACCCTCGACCTAGACTACTACAAATCACTCCTCTGGATGCTGGAGAATGACATTACCGACATCATCACCGAGACTTTCTCCATTGAAACCGATGACTTTGGCGAGAAGCAGGTCATCGACCTGAAGCCCGGCGGTCAAGACATTCCCGTTACACAAGAGAACAAGGAAGAGTACGTCCAGCGTGTGGTTGAATATCGCCTGGTCGAGTCAGTCCGCGAACAATTGGATAACTTCCTCATGGGCTTCCACGAGATCATTCCTCCCGACCTTATTTCCATTTTCAACGAGCAGGAGCTGGAACTCTTGATTTCCGGTCTTCCTGAGATCGACGTGGATGAGTGGAAGAACAACACCGAGTACCACAACTACTCCGCCTCCTCTCCGCAGATCCAGTGGTTCTGGCGTGCTGTCCGTTCATTTGACAAAGAGGAGCGTGCCAAGCTTCTACAGTTCGTCACTGGAACCAGTAAGGTTCCCCTCAATGGCTTCAAAGAACTTGAGGGCATGAACGGTGTGAGCAAATTCAACATCCATCGCGATTACGGCAACAAGGATCGCCTTCCCAGCTCGCACACTTGTTTCAACCGTAAGTATTTCCCTTCCCCGGCCTTTGCATCCGCGCAATGTACTAATTATTTTTAACAGAGCTTGATCTTCCCGAGTATGAAAGTTATGAGGATCTCCGACACCGCCTTTACACGGCCATGACTGCTGGCAGTGAATACTTCGGGTTTGCCTAGACTGATCTCCTCTTCTACGGCACGTGAATGGTTTTTTCAAGCCAAAGCATTTGTATGGCGTTTCTGTCAACGGGAATCCTTTTTACTGAGGATGAGTAAAGAGAATACGGAAGGCTGGTATGGACTAGCAAGAATTTTCTTTATGAGCAGATGAAAACTGAGGCTACTGGATAGGGATTCGGTTGAAGTGCAGGTCAACCGAATTCGTTCCAGTCCTCGATATGTACTTAGATTGCTGCATTTATTTCTTTATTTTCAAAATCGCTTTGTTTTATTGTAATGGCGTAAGATACCTAGTTGTCTATAGTGTCTTATACACTTGCTACTTGTATAGATACACCTCTGGGGGACGGAGTAGATAGGGCAAGGTTGACGCGGGGATTATATCATCAGGCGGTGAGCCCGTCACGGGACTGCCTAGAAAAAAAAGTCATGCGGGGCCGAGCGGAGAAAATCGATTTTTCGAGCCGAACACGGTCATCTTGGTGTTTTGTGCTTCTTTGAATTGAATCTCCCTCTTCTCACTATCCTACAGAGCTCTGCATCATGTCTGCCAACTCCATTAAGCTCTTGACTGGCAACAGTCACCCCGAGCTCGCCAACCTCGTTGCTGACCGGTATGTGCCACCGACTAGCTCATGACTGGGCTACCGGCTAATGTAAGAACACCAGACTCGGAATTGAGTTGACCAAGATTATGGTCTTGCAATACTCCAACCAAGAGACCAGTGTTACAATCGGCGAGAGCGTGCGAGACGAAGATGGTACAGATATCCCACCTTAATCGTGATAACATGAGAATCAACCCCCACTCATACATATGACTTATCGCAGTCTTCATTCTCCAATCTACGAAACCCGATGATATCAACGATGGACTCATGGAGCTCCTCATCATGATCAACGCTTGCAAGACCGCCTCTGCCCGCCGTATCACAGCTGTCATCCCCAACTTCCCTTACGCCCGCCAAGACAAGAAGGACAAGAGCCGTGCTCCCATCACCGCCAAGCTTATGGCGAACATGCTCCAGACCGCCGGCTGCAACCATGTCATTACTATGGACCTGCACGCCAGTCAGATCCAGGGCTTCTTCAACGTCCCCGTCGACAACCTGTACGCCGAGCCCAGCATGCTCAAGTACATCCGTGAGAACCTCGATGTCAGCAACTGTGTCATTGTCAGCCCCGATGCTGGCGGTGCCAAGCGGTGAGTTGCTCCCTTTTCCGATACTACATGTGTATCTGTGTAGTAGATGTAGTTCAAAGGGCTAATTTGAATTGCCGTTAGTGCTACTGCCATCGCTGATCGCCTGGACTTGCAATTCGCGCTTATTCACAAGGAACGTGCCCGTCCCAACGAGGTCTCGCGCATGGTCCTTGTCGGCAACGTCAAGGACAAGGTCGCCATCATCGTCGACGATATGGCCGATACCTGTGGCACTCTCGCCAAGGCTGCCGAGACTGTCATCCAGCACGGCGCCACTGAAGTCAACGCCATTGTCGTGCACGGTATTCTTTCTGGCAAGGCTATTGAGAACCTGAACGGCAGTTGCCTCAAGCGGTATGTGCACATTCGAAATTCCACTCCTACGGGCCATACAGTCTTAGAATCACATTTGGCTAATATTCCTCGCAGCATTATCGTCAGCAACACTGTCCCATTGGGCGACAAGCAAGAGCGTTGCGAAAAGATCAAGACCATTGATATCAGCCCTACATTGGCCGAGGCATGCCGTCGTACACACAACGGCGAGTCAGTTAGCTTCTTGTTCTCGCACACTGTGGGGTAAATCAGGAGAAGCGGGAATGAATTTATTGCATCAAGACAGAGAGGATCAAATCTACGGGTGGTCCTAGTGATTACTCTACGTGCGCGAAACCGTGGTGATGAGCGGGAAACAAAAAAAATACGATTTTTATGACCCTTTTTATTAGCCGAACGAGGATGTTAGTCCCCGGGTGTTTTATTATTGTTTACTGTTTTTATTTTTCCTTTTTTTTCCTTTTTTCGCCTCTTAAGAGAAAGACCGATGTTTAAATGTTGGTCTTATGCTATATGCAGTTCTCTCGGAAGTCGGTTGTCCTTGGGAGGCTCGGTTGCATTGTGCATGTGTTGCTCTTCATTGCTGTGCAGAATGCTGTTTGATTTAGATTTATCACAAGGTCTCGGGGCCATTTCATATGATTGGAATTAGACTGGTGTTGATTGGGAAGTGCTCTGGCTATACATGCCCTTCATTCCGCGTATAATCGCAGATCTACTTTACACAATCGACAAAGCTTGGCTAGAGATTTCGTGCAGAGATCTTGTGGGTCTCAATGGATACATGTCGAAGATCATAGAGCTTTGTACTCCTGCAAGCAGACGTCGGGATTCTTGTAGATTTGCGCCAAAATGTCACTGCATGCGGTTTGGATTATGACGCCTCTGGTGGGCCATTATATACTTAGTTTCATAGATAGATCCCGATTATAACTCGAGTGATACAGATGCAAGCGATATCAAGATACGCCGACATACACCAGCTGGATTGGGTGATTGGTCGGTATTGGGTTGTAAATGCGATCCACAGCAGCCACATATTGATAGCAAGGGCGCTATAGTGTGTATCGAAGAGTTGAGTTGTCTGTGTGCTGAGCGTGTATTTTATACGTAGTCCTTGGTATAGGTTGCTGTGCTAGGAACAAGGAATGTAGACATTTATATCTGGGTTCTTAGAACATAGAGTCGTGTTGAAGGTGAGTGACTGCTACACCCTAACTGACAACTCCTGGAGACCGATGACACGTGACTGGGATACCGTGAAGGCGGGGGAAATAAAGTAATCGCATTAAGGCCTTAGGCTAGTGACCTGATACAAGTGGAGTAGACCGAGTGCGTCCCCCAAAATAGGTGGGAATATATCAAGAGGTCTACTCCATACAGCATAGTCTACTTGAATCGTATAAAGAAAAAGCAATTGACAGAACTGAGTATTGAAATTTGCATGCACTCCATTCAAAAAAAAAGGGTCGTCAAAAAAAGGTAGGTTCAACACAGATATGCATTGCGACTCCCAAGGCCCGAAATCACCAGAGCCAACACCGAGGGAGCAACCACTCAGCCCTGCTTTGTACGTTTTAAAACCTGTTCCCCGTCTCTTTTCTTGTTCCCTTTTTCTTTTCAGACATGTATCCTTCGCGCCCCTGAGAAGTGATTCATTTTTGTGTGAATTCCCCTTAAATCATCCCAGAGACGTGAAGCTCCTCCATTAAACCCCATCGCCGCAGAACGAAATCATAAAACCGCGGGTTTGGAAGTTTACTTCCGCATGGAAGAAGCTCTCCGCTTGCGGAGCTCATCACGCTTAGCCTTCTCCTCGTGGACACGGTTGGCAAGGAGCTTAGCGTAGTCGTTACTATTAGGATTGTTAGTTTGATGGTTCCCAACCAGACTCCGGATAGATCCCGTAGATCATCGACTGGAGCAAAGAAAAAACGCATAACAAAGATGGGGGAGTCTTACGCAGCCTCACGGGCGGCCTCAGAGCGGCGGCGCTTGATGGCAACGCGTTGGCGCTTGCGCTGGAGACGCTGGGGAGTAACCAGACGCTGGATCTTGGGGGCCTTGGTGTAATCCTGCTTGCCCTCCTTGGTGACAGTGCGGCGGATGACGAACTTGCGGACGTCGTCCTTCTTGTCGAGACCGAAGAAGCGACGGATCTTGGTGGCACGCTTGGGGCCGAGACGCTTGGGGACAACGGTGTCGGTGAGACCGGGGAGCTCGACCTCACCCTGCTTGACGATGCTCAGGGCAAGGACGGCAAGGTCCAGACCGGTGATAGCACCACGGACGGACTTGCGCTTGCGCTCACCGGTGCGGCGGGGGCGGTAGCAGCTGTGGCCGTCGGCGAGGAGGAGACGGGTACGGGTGGGGAGGAGGACTGTAGAAAGAAATTCGATGAGTATCCTGCTCGTTTTGGTGGTTGCATCCCTGGGGAATTGGATATATAATTTTTTTCGTCATTCCCCAGGTTGTTGTGCGGCTGTGTACGTACCACCCTGCTTCATGGGGAAACCTGCAAATCAAAATTCGTCAGCATTGATGTTCTCTTTGTGTGCGTTGCTTTCTCCTTCTCCATGATCGAGTATTTGCTCTTCAATGAGAATATAGAGAGGGACTGATGTATGCGTACCCTGCTTGTCGTTTCCACCGGTGATCTTGAACAAGTAACCCTTGAACTCATCGCCGAGAGCGTCGCCGGCAACCTAATCAAAGAAAAATCCCAATTAGCCAGTCGTTCTCCAGAGTCGTGTGTGTGTGCGTGTATAAAATCGATTTGTTTGTCGGGTGGTCGGGAAAGGATGAAGGGTTAAGGGAGTGCTGACTTCGGTGCCCATGCGCTTCTCCATGAAGGGACGGAGCTTGCGCTCATCGTCGATCTCGATAATTTTCTGGGACCCATTGGCCGGGTAGGAGATGTTGAGCTTCATCTTGACGGAGGCGGCGCGGTCAAGACGGTAGCGCGGGTGTTGTCGACTTGTGAGATTGTCGTCGAAGGGATCTGTATTGTGGATTTTTTTAGTTCGCCGGCTTAGCGAGGTGCAAGTCACGTGTCACGTGTGGGAAGTAGGGCTTGAGTGCACCCAACTAGGCCTAGCGTGGTTCTGATAGGTCATGTGACTTGGTATCAGGACCCTATCACTTTTTTCCCTTCGTTCGACTTCACCATGTTCATCAACGCATGATATGGGGTTTTAGAAGTTTTGGCAAGTCCGAATCTACGACTCACTCCCGCCAACCACAAATTCAAGAGATGTGCGACAGTCAATTCATATTGAAAATCGCCACCAGCCACAGCTTCTGTTCCGCTAGAACCAACACATGTCTGTCTTGAAGGCGTGGAGCTTTTCGGATTCTCAGTGGGACTTTTAAATACGACTGACTACGACTCACCAGCGGAAAGTTGATTGAATGTTTCAGCTCATGGCGCATACCTGCCGAGTGGCTGAACCCCAACTTTTATATATCAAGATTGACTACGGAGCACGGTCTCTCAAAACGATGCAACCGCAACCGCAACGAATTTTGTGCAATGTTTATTAACCAAGGCTCTTTACTGACACATTGGATATGTTGGATCTTTGTTCATTACCCTCAATGCTGGACAAACACCTTTGACCGACCAGGCCCCGGCAACAGCCCAAAGAATAAAAGCCCATGAATCAAAGAGAAACCATGAATGTAAATAACCTATGGAGATCGTGAGACACAATAATGTGTTCTTCAAACCAGATGAAACGTGGGGAAATCCCCAATTTTGGAACCATCCAAATTGATGAAGTCAGTACGTGCAGGTGGGCAGTGTACGAGTGTATCGTGTCCTCTGTCTCTACTTGCCACTCATAGATTAATTCCTCAATATACTTCATGCCATCTACTATTTATCTCATCTCATCTCCCTCTCTATCTTCCAAATCCACACGTATGAGCTCGGAGTATGTGCTCCGCTCTGGAGATCTGCAGTATACAATGTCTTGGCACGTCTATTCCCCCGAATGCCGGCCCAGAAACATTAATTTCGTGTCAGACGAGAAATAAGTCCAAATCAGTCAAGCAAAACTGGCATGTCAAGTGGAGATTTGAGACAATGCGGAACAGAGCATTCAACGTGGCCTCGTGTGAGGGGCTTTGTATGAGATGCAAGGAGACCGAGCCACCATTCGTATCCATGAAGAATTCCCGTGAAAGAACAGGAGAATCTCCAATGAGAATGGGGTTGATATACACAAGAAGCAAGGATATTCCAAGTCAAGCTATTATTGTGGAATTCTGCAGGTGAGAAGTTAAAAAAGAAAAAAAGACCAAAGCATCGCTGGGCATTAGTCTAGTCGGCTCTCTCCGGGCAATCTACACCTATCCTCTGCAAGATACGAACTAATAGGATTGAACTTGATATTTCAATTGAATTTCCTTTGCTGTTCTTCTTGAATTTATCGGAACTTCCGTGCGAATTCGATCCGATTCACAATTCATATAGTGTATAATTAAAGGCCCGCCACCGCCATCCGACTTTGCCGGTGCGATTTGTCCGAGTGGAGACTTTGTCCGGACGCGCGTGGGCAGTGCTGCACTATTTGATTTTAGGCGTTCATTTCTTCTTGCAACGCAGTTCGTATTGTCTCCTGTAATTTAGGAGAATAGATCAACCACTTCCAATTTGCCATCGGAGCCGTCGTGGCGACTTAATCCTTATGAATACGAGCAGATGACAACCTGAGATTCCCAAGATTCCTAAGATTCACACTCGACCCGGCTTGGCTGAATTCCCCCTGGTGTTCTGCCATACCATGGCACGTCTTATGAATCGGTTCTACGCGCTGTGCGCTGTCGCAGCGGGTACAATTCTCGTCTCAGCGTGGCTTTTGATGACACAAAGATTCTCCGACATCTTGCCTTCGACAGCACGCCAGTTTCAAGTGGCCAGGGAGTTCGACCAGCGATTAGTGGTGTTTGGGGACTCATGGAGCGATAACCAATCATCTGACGGGCCACCGGGCCAAGTATGGACGGACTGGCTTTGTTCCATGGTAAATGTTGTCCAGCAAACGCAGAGAAACCGGCATATCTGACTGAAACCCCCGATGTGACACACTTCAGTTCTCCTGTCACCAAGAGAACCTAGCACAGACAGCAAGTCCTCTTCTCAGAGGCAAGAATCTCGGCGCAGTGATCGACAACAAAGAACTCGATTTACTAGGTCGGCCGTCTGAGTCGCCTCTTGCCGACTTCAAGTCCCAGCTCCAGCAATGGCTGGATGCCGAGTCGCGTGTCTTGGAAGGCCTGTCTAAGGAGGCGGCCCGTTCGCGTCAGGAACGCACGGTCTTCGTGGTGTCCTTCGGAGTCTGGGATATCTGGAGCTTGATTACCAAGGACTACGATGCGGCTAGTAGATCTGTTGATCGGCGCGCTGTAACGCTGATGGGGCTGCTCGATACTTTGTCCGAGAGCTTGGACACGAAGCTTCAAGTGATTCTGACGCAGACGGTTGACGTGACTTTCCTGCCGGGATTTGGATCTGTGGGGGATCAGTACAAGGGGACCGTCCGGGTTCTGGAAAAGTGGAACGAGAAGCTACGCGAGGTAAGTGGAAACTGGACTCGGGGTAGTGTTTATCTCTTTGATACGAATGCTTTCATGGTGGATCGGATTCGGGACTGGCAGCTCTATGCGGCGGGAATTGAGGAAGAGAGCGGATTAGGAAAGAATCTGGACGGGTGGGAGAATGTCATGGAGCCTTGCGTTGAGAGTGGGTTCCGGGTCATGATGTCAAAAGAGAAGAAACAGTGCGAGCATCCAGAGAAGTATCTGTTTTGGTAAGTGGGCTTTCCTTGTTATTCTCACTCCCCATTCGAATACGTGCTCATGATGTTTGTTATTTTTTATTTCAGGGACGAGATGCATCTAGGTCCTTCTGCTCACCGGCTCATGGCTGCAGAGATCTACCGTGGGATTGATGGTTCGTTGAACCTGAAGCGTCCACGGAACGCCACAACCGACGGGGGTTTGCAGCTTAGACATTGTCTAGATCAATGAGAATCTCATACTCCGTGCAAACAACTTAAAAAAAAGAAAAAAAAAAAAAAAGAGCCCAAAGAGGGAATATATGACGTCTCGCAAGTGTAGAGCACGTCGGTAGCCGAGAGTCAAACGCAGGCTATACTCCATGCGGGTGTGATGCCAGCGTGCTGGGATGTCCCAAAGTGGAGCAAACCCTTACGACTTGGCCCAAAAAGGTACGGTAGCATGTCAAACAGAACCTGCAGAGTGACGGGAATAGCCAAGCCCCCTTTTACCCGAGACATCTCAGGCAAAAAGGGGGTCCAAAGGGTGGTATTGTTCCCTCGAAGTCCCAAAACGCCAGGACTGTAACGCATAGTGGAGTGAGATCGGCGGATGAGATCATCCCCGATCCCCGGGGTGACAAGCGTCCAATCCATTGGGGACAGCATGATGTGGTTATCCCCGGGGACAATGCCAGACAATCCAATCCTGAAAAAAAGCAAAATTCCCCCAAAGCGCCTGGAGTCGAAAAAAGGAATTCTTTTGTGAAAGGGAGTTCTTTGTCCGATTTGACGGGGAACCGACTGTAGAAGCCCGACCAATGAGCGGTGCCGAGGAGCAGTTGGGGGCAGCCCGATCCAAGCGGGTCGCCGCATCCGGAGACAAAGAAACAATGACTCTAGTGCCTTGGCCCTGGAAATTGCGATTGAGCGACGAGAGGGGGGAATTGATGGGAAATGACGAAAGAAAAGAACACGGATAATGGAAAATTAGAAAAATAGAAAAATAGAAAAATAGAAACAAAACAAGGAAAAAGAACAAAATCCGATTGACACCTCGTTATGGGTCTGGAAGGTACCGTGTCGTTGCACTCCGTATACACGACTATAACAAAGAAATCACGACTCTTTCCATTCGGTACTTTTTGATTTCTATTTTATCTCGGTTGGCTCGGTCGGGTTAGCAATTGCAACTATTGTCAAAGAACAAGCCGCTAGACAGGGATTCCGGGGAACGCGACAAAGAAACCACCTTTTTAGGGCTTTTGTTCAAACGCCCATATACTTCGCTTTGTCTAATCCCTGGTCCTCCCCTAGTCTTTCAATTCTTATTGGGATTATTTCCATTTTCTCGCTTTCGGATTCACCTTCTTTGTTGCTCACTTTTGGGCCCCCAACCTTTTCTTTCGTGTTATTTCTTGCCCTCTCTCATATTCTTTCTGCCTTCTCTTTCACTTTATACTTTCCCTCTTGTGGACTCTCTTTGAGTCTTCGTCTTCGACCGCTTTCACAAAAAACTATTAAATAAATGTCTTACGATCGAGTGCTTCCCAACCCTGTTGCTCTACGCTATGAGTCTGTTCAAGTCCCCATAGCTAGACCGAGCAACCTCCTCGAGCATAAGATCATGAACGAAGATTTGTCCAAATCAGCCATGGCCATGCGATATCCTACCGAGGGTGGTCCGGTCGGGCCATCTATCAGATACGCCGATGCTCGGTCAACGGGGATCTCCCAAACTCATCACCATATGTCATCCCTGAATGAAGCCAAATCCTCAAATGGTGTGAAGCCCATGGGCCCGATGCTCTCCACCAAGGAGCTACCCATGCGGGACCGCTCAGATCGATCATCGTCCTCCTCGGCCAGCAGTACCAGTCCGGTCAAGTCGAAAGAGAATACCATGCAATTCTGCCTCTGCCAGCCAGATCCGAAAATTCCCCGGCCTCGTAATGGTGAGTCGCTACTATCCGCACCGTCATCAGAGCTTGGCAAGTGCTTTTTCGATTGTTTCTTTTTTGGTCATCATTAGCCAGATCTGATCTTTCGAGCACACGGTGAACACGGCTAATCCAGGCAATCTAGCTTTTATTCTATATCGACAGCATTATCAGGCTATGGTTGTGGCACATAACCCGGGCCTGGCCAATCCTGAGATCTCTAAGATTATTGGCGAACAGTGGCGCTCTCTTTCGGATGATGATAAGAGTAAATGGAAGGCGCTTGCAGAGGTGAGGCATGGTAACTTCCCTGATAGTATAAAGTTCAAGGACTGACAATCTCACCAGGAGGAAAAAGCTCGTCATCAGCAGCAATATCCCGATTATCGCTACCAGCCTCGACGGTATGGTCGGGATGGTAGCGCTCGCAGCTCAGGCTCAGGGATCGGCCACAACCCATCTGGCTCCACACACTGTAATCGATGTGGTGGCCGACTGATGAATGCACCCGCTTCCCCCATGACCCCATTCACACCCAGCAGTGGGCCTATGTATCGACCATCAAATTTCTCAGTGTCATCGCCACATCCAAATGCCATGCCACCAAGAAGTGTACAGGGCCGCGAGAAGGATTACCACTCACAAAAGCCGGCAAAGATGGATCAACTTGACCCACGGTCCCGCCAAAGACACTGGGATGAGCACCCTGGAGGTCGATCCCCTGATAATAAACGCCGTCGAGTATCCCACGGCTCATTTAAGCCAACACTACATCCCTCCTATCGGGATCACAGTCCCGGTAGCGGCGCTCCGGAGACACCACACCCAATGACCCCCTGGAGTGCTCGCCCTGATATGCCACCACGTCATCTTCCCCTGCTGCAGCCACAACGATCATATCAGAGTACTCCGACCCAGTCACACCCCGACCCGAGTCTGAAGCTACCACCACTTCAGACCGCCACAACACCAGCGATGACACCCATGACGCCCTATCCACAAGAAGGCACCAGCGTCGAAGCCACAGTCATGACAATCCCCTTCCTCAACAAGATCAAAGTCCTCGCCAAGATCTCCCCACCCCTCCTCCCCTCCTTCCGAGACGGCCCCCCACCACCCCGCGGCCCCGTCATCGCCATCGACGGCCAAGACCCAGACCTCGTCCAACAAGTCGTCGAATTCCTAGACAACCTACTAAAAAAGGAATCCAAATACCACGTCCGGGTATTCGACGGCCCAGAAATCAAACCACCCCGTCCCACATCCGGAGAAGGCCAAATGGGCGACGCCACAGTCGACTATCTCAACACAATCTCAGCCTGGCACCGGATCTCCGACGAAGTAGTCGGCTTCGTCAAATCCGCTTCCAGAGCCGGCTCCGTCGACGCCCGCTCCACAACAGACGAGGAGCCAACTGCTTCAAACGTCTCCCCACGCACCCTCATCCCGAAAACCGCAAACCTCCACATCCACTCCCCGGCCCAGTCCAGCGAGAACGGCTCCGAGGCCAGTGCCGTCACGGCGGGCAGCCATTGCCCCGTCCCCATCGCCCTCGTCCCCCGCTACCAGCTCACCACCGCAGACGCATTCGCCTGCTCCACGCCCATCGGCGACTCCTACGCCCCACTGGACCACTGGCAGTGGATGGCATCTCTCTGGCGCGCGTGCGTGGGGCCGGATATCACGGTCTACATCCGCGAATGCACCAAGGAGGAGCTAGAGCGCATGGGCGGGAACCCGGTTGAGGTGCGACTGCAAGATGCACGCACAGTCGTGCTGCGCAAGATTGCCGGGCGGGATCTAGAGGAGAAAGCGCTTAGACGGATGGGTTTTGAGATTGAGGATTTTTTGACTCAGTGAGTGTTGGAGCATAGACTGGATGTAATTTTTGGACCATTTTTGGGAGTTTTCTCTTATGAGTCCCCATTTGGGGGGGGGGGGGGGGGGGGGGGGGGGGCATATGTATTGATAGATTTAGATCGTAATTTGATGGGCTCATCGTGCTGCAATGGATATTTAATTCATAATGAGATCGGTTTATCTGTAGATTTATGTATATGATCGGAGGAAAGGGGTGTTGTTCGAGGCGTAACGCTCGGACCTCTCTTTATCCACTCGGCCCCCGGATGTCAGTGCGGCTCTTCCGAGGCGGTGAAGGGGCGTGGAATTACAATCGAGGCTGCTGCCTGATTTCGGCCTGGTTTCAGACCGCTTTTGACACCGTGGAGATACTGTAAACAGTCCCCATAATTGAAGCCATTCCCACAACACAAATCCTCATTCTCACCTGTTTCCAGGCGCTGAGGCCCCATCGACTGCAATCAGGATGGCGTCAATGCCTACGAATTGCTGAATAGAGAAACTGAGATTGTAGAAATAGCTTCACGGCTGTGAAATAGCTTAGAATCTAGTGACATCAGGTTTTGCACTAATGGACATGAAAGGCGTCATCGTACCTATATTTGAAGGGAATATTGAACTTGGGTATTTGAATGGGTTGTATTTTAATTTTCTGCCGGCTCAAAATCAGGCACATCCAGGCAGGAACCCCCATTTTAATTCTATCCGACTCTTCGCCACTAGTCCCCTTCCCACTGCGAAGGTCGCCCTTTGGCCAGTTCCTTCACCCCGTTGTAAACCTGTATGTTCCTACGATAACCATGCCGGAAGACCAATACGCCTTCGGCCATTGCGGCAGGGCTCCAGTAGCCTCGGGTCACTTGCCATCGGAGGTTCCTCGAGGTTCCTCCCTTTCATCCAGTCCATATCAGCCAGTGAAAGTGGACCCTGAAGCTCAGGATGCGACAGGTGAACAACCTGCGCGTCATATTCCTCCGTCCAGTCCTCAGTGGCCAGAGAAGGTTGAGTTTGAGGTCGAAGAAGCGACGAATCAAACTGCTGGTATCTCAGTTCCAGCCGGTCATGTCGAGGATGCGACAGAAGCGACTCTCGACGCGTACATTCCAGCCGGCGTTTTGAGTAAATCCTCATTTACCACCGTTTACCCGGCATCAGAGGTAGCACTGCTGGAGCAGAATCAATGGATTCGCGCGCAATCTGTTGATAACAGTGACAATGTACAGATCTTTGTACTTCCAGACGCAGAGCGCTTGTCCGGCCCGCGCTCAGATAGGAAATCAAAAGCTACATCGGCTCTCAAACTCGTTATGTCGAAGATCGACAGCTCCCCGGAGGCATGGATTAGTCTGAAAAATGCCCACGGTGATCAACCCCTCAGTATCCCAATCAATGGTGAAGAGGATGAATCTTTATGGTACATATTCAATACACTGCGGGATCCCGATCCCAGCCTGCATGACATCAAAGACATTCACACTCAAGAAGCTATGGAAGATTTGCTGGAGGGTTCGGTGCTAGGTCTTGAAACGTCGCTTCATCGGTATCAGCGGAGATCTGCTGCGGTGATGGTTCAACGCGAGGCACAGCCGGCACTGGTGCTTGATCCGAGATTACAGGCGTGGAAGGGCCCGACTGGATTGGAGTTTTATTATGATAAAGTAGAGGGGAGCATTTTGAGGGAGAAGATAATGTATCCCGAGGCTTGTGGAGGTCAGTTTTCACTTGTGGAATCCTCGATGGACTAGGTATACTGACTGCCACTAGGGATTCTGGCAGAGTCCATGGGTTGCGGTAAGACTCTTATCAGTCTTGCAGTCATATTGGCTACACGGGGACATCTCCCCAAAACTCCAGTGGAGTATCAAACATTGACCAATCGTGTCCGAAACAAAACTGGAACATTAATGGACATGGCTGCTACTACTGCCGGTCGCTTTTCACTGCCCTGGAAGCAATTCTTTCAGAGACAGGAGAGCGAAGGGAAGTTTTACAACAATTGCGTCAAGGCCTGCGAGGCTGACAGGACTTCCTACTACATACCGCCTCTAGCCAAACACCAAAGCCGACATAGCTCGCCCTACGTACGGCCAGCCAAGCAAATCCGGCTTTGCTCGGGCACAATGGTTATTGTACCACTCAACTTGGTCGACCACTGGGAAAGTGAGATCGCCACTCACACTCGTGGACTGGAGGTTCTAGTTCTGCGGGAACCGTCGGACAAAACGCCATCAATGGATGAGTTGTTGAAATATGACATTGTTCTGTTCTCTAAAAATCGATTCGGGCAAGAGTCCCATAGCCGGAACAAAAATAAACCTAACTCGCCTATATTTGACCTTCACTGGCTGAGAGTCATTGTCGACGAAGGACATAACGTTGCCGGACGTGGAACAGTCTTAGTTAGCCTGCTGCAAGAGCTGTACGTGGAGCGCCGCTGGATCATTTCGGGAACACCTGCCCGTAGAATGTACGGGGTGGAACTTAACCGTGCTTCACAACAAACGAACACAAGCGATACTGAATCCTCATCCAGTGCACTCACCGCTGATGTCTTGGAAAGAGGCAAAAAGACAGGCAATGCCATCGAAGAAGAAATCAATGATGTGAATGGCTTGGGTCACATGGTGGCTGGTTTTTTCGACCTTAAGCCTTGGTCGAACAAGCGTGACGACTGGGCAAAGTACACAAGACTGAAGGATGAAGATGGGGTGCGTCGAAAAGCTTCATCTCTACGTGCGACCCTCCAAAGCCTTATTGTGCGACATCGGCTTGATGTGGTCCGTGAGGAGATCACTCTTCCGCCGATGTTTAACAAGGTGGTATACCTCAAGCCGACTTTCTACGACCGACTGTCTATCAACATATTCCTCTTTTCACTGGCAGTCAATGCCATTACATCCGAACGCACGGGTCCCGACTATATGTTTGATCCGAAAAACAAGAAAGATCTCAATGTGCTGATTGGAAACCTACGCCAGGCTGGATTCTGGTGGGTTGGTTCTGGTGATGATGTCCAAATTACAGTCAACATTGCTCGGGAATATCTGGACAAAAACCAAGAGAAGATGCCAGTAGCGGATCTCGAGCAATTAAGCCATGGAATCCAGATCGCACAGAAGGCACTGGGATGTTCTGCTTGGAATGAGTTCAACAATTTGCGAGAGCTTGGAGTCTTCGTTCGGGGATTTCCAGCGCATGCTCGCAGCCTATGGGCTCTTAATCCCACAGACACTGGCCACGAGCCTTTGCTCATGGGCATCAGCCAGGCCTCTAAAGCACAGGAATTCGTGAAGAATCATCTCCGCTCGTATGACCCGGCTGAAGGTCTTGCAGGATACGGCATCAAAATCCGCCGTGAACTAGCCAACCCCGATCACAAACTTGCTCACAGCGGTGCACCCGAGTCAGCTAATCCCCAAGCACAGCCCGTTACCCCAAATACCAAGTCCAAAAAGAAAAAACCTGCTAAGCACACGTTCAACAAGAAAATCATCCGCACCCTTCCAGATGATTCGCCCTTAAAACAAACACTGCTGGAGGGCGTGGCATCAGCCAAGCTTCGATACTTATTAGAAAAAGTGCTAGAATTCCAGAAAACAGAAAAAATCATCATCTTCTACGAAGACGACAATACAGCCATCTGGGTCGCCGAGGGCCTAGAATTAATAGCCGCCAACTTCCGTATCTACGCCAATAGTCAAAGTCTGAATTCCAAGCTCCGAGACGAATATCTCAACTTATTCCGCGAGTCTGAAGACATCCGCGTGTTACTCATGGATCTGAAACAAGCCTCGCACGGCCTTCACATCGCCCAAGCCTCACGAGTCTTCATCATAAACCCAATCTGGGAACCGAATATCGAGAGTCAAGCCATCGGCCGAGCCCATAGGATCGGGCAGACAAGACCAGTTCACGTTGAAACACTCGTTCTGGAAGGAACTATTGAAAAAGCAATGCTCCACCGACGCAAGGCAATGTCCGAGGCAGAGATCCAGCAGACGAAGAGTATGACGGATGATTCGACCATGAGTGATATTATCCGAAACGCGCCCTTTCTGCCAATGTTTGATGAGGCCTCGACGGCGATGGCATCGCTGGCTCGGCCGATTGGATTCTTTGATCGGCATTCATTGCCGATTCCTGATAGCGAGGCAGTATCATCAATTCCAGAAAAAAGGGATTCTGTCCGCAACGCGTTTAAGGAGATTTTGAAGCGGAGACAGCTTCCGGTTTCGTCGGATGCGGATTCGGATTCGGATTCGGCTGCAGTTGAGGAATGGCCACGAGTGAAGCGATCGAGACTTGGTTTCGCGGAGAATGTCCAGGTTATGAGTGATGGCCCTGTGGACATGGCTGCTGGGTCGTTACGCTCTCCCGAGTCGGATCTGGCTTCTAGTGCTGGAATACCTGTCTCTCAGCAGCTGGGACTTAGCAGTGTAGATCGTGCCCAGCCCGTGTGTCGTAGTATTCCACCTCTTGAATCAGTGGAATCTGCACCCACTTTGCCTTCTACGTCTAACGGTGAAGACAATGACGGCGATGAAAAATGGGTCTCGATATTCGGGCCATGATATGTCCTGATTTGCAAGTTTTTATGTTCCTCTTAGATTGATTTAGCGCAAATGATACCCATATTACCTCTTTCATCTTCTATAGCCCACAAATATATATAACTCGTCTGTATAAGAATGTCTCCAGATCTACGTCAACGCGATAAGATAAGCTTTCGCTCACAACCCCCGCGACATCAAGCATTCGAAGCTTTCCAATTCCCCAATCAGCCCAAAATCCCCCAACATGGCCTCCTCAGCACCAGCCCACGAGAAGGCCGTGATAATTGGTATTTCAGGACCCTCCAGCAGCGGCAAGACAACCCTCGCCCGCCTCCTCCAGCGTATATTCTGCGGGGTGAATCTGGACAAAACCACCCATCTAAACACATTCATAATCCACGAAGATGATTTCTACTTCCCAGATGACAAGTCCGTATCCCACAGAATCCCCATATCCTATATAAACCCAGTTCCCCCAAATCCCCAATCCAATCTACAAACCCTCACCCCTCCACCCATGAATGCAAATCATTCCGTTTCTTGCCAAACTAACAACCCCCAGAATCCCATACATGACAACGCCCAGCGGCACAAGGATCCAAGACTGGGATACCGCCGCCGCAATCGACATCCCCTTCCTCACGCAAGCGCTGACCTACGTCCGCGAAAATGGCACGCTGCCGCCGCGCCTGCGCAGCAAAGAAGACCAGAATTCGCAGACGGAGTCTGGGGTGTCTGATGCGGTTGTTGCGGAATTGCGGGGTGTTGCTGAGACGCGATTGAAGGGACGGATGGGGCCAACGATTGCGTTCCTGGAGGGGTTTTTGCTGTTCGCGCCGCCGGGGGAGGAGGGGCATGTGTTGCGGTCTGTGCATGAGGCGATCCAGTTGCATTTGTTTTTGCCGGCGGGGTATGGGGTTGTGAAGGAGAGGAGGGAGGGGAGGAGTGGGTATGTGACTGTTGGGCCGGCGCCGGAGCCGGTGGAGGGGGAAAGGGATGGTGTGCATGAGTCTGTGGTGGATTTGGAGGGGGAGGATGATCGGCCGCCGCAGAATTTCTGGGTTGATCCGCCGGGGTACGTGGATTATGTTGTTTGGCCGCGGTATGTGAGGGATCATGCTTGGTTGTTGGTTGCGGAGGGGGATGATGGGTGTGGGAGTCAGGAGTCGGAGGCGGATCTTGTTCGGAGGGTTGGGGATGGGACGAGGGTTAGGACTAATGTTGGGGTTGAGGTTGCGCCAGGAAGTGGGAGTGCTGGGATGGAAGCTGTTTTGAGATGGGCGGTTGAGTTGGTTTTGGACTATCATTTGGGTCGGGCGTAGGGATATACACTACATGTACGCATATGTCAAGGAGACCAGCGTACAAGTACATAAACAGGGAATTAAATCAATAGATATCTGTTTCATAACTGCTATCTGCTACCCGCAGTAATGGCTGCGCCTAGTTCTGTAATTTCTCATTCAATTTTCCCTCGTAAGGATACCGAGTGATCCCATCGTCAAAGGTTTAACCTCTCTCGATTGGTCCCCGCCATCCGAGAAAGTAGTCAATACGATCCCTCAGGGGCATTGGGACAGTATGGACCACGGTGTTTTCGACAATGGGTGTATCGGCAATGGGCATGCCGACAATGGGCGTGTCGACAATAGCCGGGTCAACGAAGGTGGTATCGGCAAGAGCATCGTTGACAATGGTGGCGTTCACTATCTGTTTGTTTTCATCTCCTGTCAACTCCAACCGAGAGTTGTTCCCAGCCAAGAGACCATCCAGTTCTGTCGCCAGCTCAGCAAAGGTGAGTGCTCTTGCGACGAAGCCATTTGAGTCATGGATACACACGTTCTGTTTTGGACATCGGGAGCGGACGATAATGGAATCAAGACGCGAACTATTATTGAGTAGCATGTACGACTGATATATGATGTGGACCGACGCCAGCAGAGTAAGCCAGTAGAAAAGGGACTCTATCAAAGACCACAGGCCCCATAGCACGCGTACAGCATAGTGCGGCTTCTTTGGGCTAGCAATCGGAGTCTCGGCGGCTGTAAGCTTGGCAACTATTTCCACTGGATCTGTAGGCTTGGCAATCGTAGACTGGGAGACTGAGACTTCGGGAGATGGGTTGCCAAAAGTTTTAAGCTTGCTGTCATGGACTTGACCCGATGAAAATATGGCTGGAGTTTCCGTGACTGAAGATTGGGCAACCGGAGAACCGAAGACTAGATTGCCAGCAAATGGATTCCCATTAAATTCATAGTTGTGAATGCAGATATCTTCACCCAGCAGGGAATTTGGAGCGAGAATCTCTGTAGCTAGGGGCCTAGACAACTCAGGCTCGGAACGATGGATGGCACCAGGCCGGGAACATGGAGCTTGAAATGAAGTCACAACCTTCTTATTCTCCAAGTAGACATGGCTGGGCTTGGTGTTAAACAGGGCATAATCCTCTTTGAGGGCATTCTCAACATCCAGGTTGCTTAACGTGCTTTTGATCCATGGCAGCCAGGTGACAGCCTTGTCTCGCGGAAGCGCAACTTCCCATGTCACCGTGAACATGCCCAGAGCCTGAGGAATGCTAATAATATCCATATGCGAGATTCCAACCCGGTCAGTCGATGCGGACTTTAGCCGAAGAATGTTCATCAAAGGCTTTTCGGCATCTAGGACGCCATCGAAGTAGCCTTCCGGGCCACCATGCACATCCAGATGGAACCTACACTTCTCTGCCCAGAAGTTGTGGTTGATGAGGTCAATGGAGCAAACTGCATTGTACTTAATGACATAGAGCGATGGGTCTCTGGCCTCTGCCATCTCCGCCTGAATGACCGTGTTGACTTTGTAGTCTTTGAGATATCCGTAGGATTTGGCATCGCACTTGCGGAAAGGGGCCACGAGGCTTTTCCCGCCGTCGAATTGGGCCATCAAACAGCTTTCTACCAGAGTATGTCTTTTGAAAGACGAAGTCACGAACTCCATTCCCTGGCCCGGCGGTGTTCGGAAGTAGAGATAGCCAGATTCGAATTGGGCAAGTCGAGGCAGTCCACTGATAACCAACTCCCACCAGTTGTTCGATTTTCCTCTCTGCAGCCTGATTTTGAGCATGATTCCGATTTTGTAGGTCGCAGGATGGACGTTGGGAGAAGTCTGCAGGTAAAGGATGCCATTATCCAAGACGAGCTTGGGGTCGTTCTTTGGGGCGAGTTTTGCGGATAAGAACCGCGGAAGATGCAACTGGGACTGATTGAGTTGATTGAACTCACGACTCGAGAATTTTGACGACGATCCGAGGGGGCTAAGAGAGTGAGGTAGGTCCTCGTTTTCCTCATCACTGCCATCAGTGTCAGGAAGGCTCCCGTTGCATACACGCAGAGAACTTGTATCACGGTTTCGCTGAAACAAATTTGCTTCGGTAAGCGGCTCGGTGCTGCTCATTTCAACCTTATTGGGGGGAGTTTCTGGATCGTGCCAAGCAGGAGTTTCATCGAGTATATTTTCGACCGTAGCTCTCTTGGCTTTCAATGGAAGAGGCTCGGATTGAACACTCGACAAGTCTGCCCTCGGCTCTCGAGCCGATGTCTCAGGCGACGTGGTATTCCCAGATGTCGCGCTGTGTCTGTGCAAATTGGCAGAACGGCGGGTGCTAATAGGAATAGAACTGCTAGTCTTGCCGGGTTTACTGGGGGTGCTAGGTGTGCTGGGGATGCTGGGAGTCTGCGATGGGGGCTTTTGTTGCGGCTGGGGGTCGATTGTAGTCATTGCAAGTTTGTGTCGGTTGCCATTGTACTCATCCTCGGGAGGAATCGAGTCGGGCAGGGAGGCAGTCTTGGCTGATCTTTTGCGAGGGTTGGGGGAAGTCGGGCTATCCGGACTGTCAACCTGGGTGTACATGGTCGAGATATCAACATCATGACGGGAGACACCCTGGGGAATATCAGATGCATCATCTTGGGTTGCTGCATAGTCAACCGGAAAGGTAGAGCCGTCATCTCGCGAACCATCATGCACAACAACACTCTCAGAATAGGAAGTGACGCGACCTGTGACCGAGTAGAGCTCAGTGTCGTCATTGTATTGGCTGGGCACCCGATTTTCCTTCTCTGGTGGGGTAGGGATATCGGAATCGGGGATGTCAGCCTTCAAATAGATGGCTTCCTTTGGGCCACGGGTAACATTCGGCGACTGGGCGTTGAGAATTGGTAGATTAAGGTTGGGACGGGTCCAGGCCTATAGTTTAGTCCAGGACTACAGTCAGTAACAAAATCCCAGGAAAAGAGTCGAGAGTCGCCTGATTGCTCATTGTTTTCTGGTTACCTCCATGGATATTGTGATGGACACTGGTTCCTCCGGATCGCCATTCCAGTCGCACCACACGTCGAGGGTGCTGAAGGGGCTGTCGTCGAGATTGATAGTGGACTGTTCCATGGTGAATGGAATTCGAGATGAAACAGGATGGGTAAAGGGAGAACAGGATCGAGGGGGGCAAGGACGGAGATGAAGAAGAGGAAGGGAAGAAGTGAGGAAGGGAAGAAGAGAAGAAGGGAAGAAGTGAAGAAGTGAAGAGTGTCGCGAAGAGAGATGAGAGAGAAGGTGTCCCAAGTTGGAAGGAGCAGAGCAAATACAAATCAGGAAGGTACGAATCAGAAAGGTACGTCAAGAAATGGCATTTCCTCCTCATACATCATCAATTAAAAAGAGAAAAGTATAGAAAAAAAGGCGAAGCAGCACTTGCAAATAGCCAGTGAGACTGCGTAAAAAGGGCCTGTATGTACAAGAAGGGCTTAAGAATAGTCTCACTTTTCTCCCAATCCCATGAAAGAACCTTGGAAAGACCTCCCTCCCCTTTTATGATCCGCCGCCAGCGCCTGTAATAATAAAATCCCTTTAGCCATCCAGTTAGAGCATCAAGCATAACAAAAAGTAAAATAGAGAGAAAAAAAAGATAATCAAACACTCCTCCCAGTCTAATCCAGGCAGAAGAATAAAGAAAAGAGAACATAGTGCCAGACCGTCGAGGCCGGGGCAAACGACGTCAAGCATATCATTGAGGAGTTCCACTCGAAGAACCCGGGTGATCAAAGGCTGTTGGGCCGGCCACGGAGCCAAATCGATCGCCTTCGTTGACCATCTGAGATGGAAGAATCGGGGTATTCGTCTGAGGGGTCTGCTCGAAATAACCTCGCGCGGCCCCATTGGTTCCCTGGGGGTAATCGCGATTTCGCTGTAAAGGAGGAAGTATAGTCGAGCTAGGGGGGTAACCGGACCGGGCATATCCCTGAGCCATCATCGCTCCAGTCGAATCCGGGGTCTGTCTCGGGTCCAAAATCCTTAGCTAGGGTCTTCCACACTCTCACTGGTTCGCAGAGGGGTGTCGTACAGGAGTGCCAGGCTGGTTCATTGCCATCAATTGTCCTACTGCAGCCTGCTGTTGCTGGCTGGATCGGCTTTGGCCGGAAGGATCGGGGATCTGGGACATAGGAGCTGATGCTTGCATGCCCGGATACATCTATCCACCGTCAGCCCAAAAGGAGGCCCCCGAAATTCATCAGGAAGAGGAATACGAACCGCTGAATAATCAGGTACCACCTGCCCGGTGGCATAACTTTGCATGGCAGGCGTTTGGTAAGTTGCTGGTTGACCAGCATAGATGGCAGCTGTGGGCTGGCTATAGGGATCCATTTGACGAGCCATCCGGCCATCCGCTTCATAAAGGCCCTGTTGTCTGCCATAGTCGATCGAGGTACGATGACGCTTGACTGGCGGCTGCTGGCCGTAATACGCGTATTCCCGGGCCGTCGGCGGATACCCCCCATAGCTAGACGCCGGAGGAATTTGAACCGACTGACGCTCTGGCGATCGAGTAGGGACCGGCTGATGGTACTCGTCCGGTCGATTGGCGCGTTTTCTGCGACTGTCAGTCATACGTTTCGGATTACTCAAGAAAAAAACTCCCTGGTACATACAACATAGTTCGAGGCTCCTTGCGGATGCGCAATTTCACGCCTTGATCAGCAAATGAGCGGGAGAGGAAGGTTGACTCCATCATTCCGGGAAAGCTCTTGGGAGGAGACACTACAAGCTTGTCAGAGATTCACTGTGCTGGCGCTCTCGACCACTCCTTCTCACCTGTGAACCGCTCCGAAATAATGGTCTTCAAGTAACAAACTTGCTCTCTGTCAGTTCTTTGTTAGCTCCCGGACTCAGACTCGGCCGCCGACCGTGCCACTCACTTTCGCATCTCGAACAGGGTGAACTTGAGACGAAAGTCGCCCTCAATCTTCACCGAGAGATCGCCGAAAACAAAGAACCCGCCATCTAGAAAAAAAGAAAAATGGGTCAGTGAACGAGCCCCATCACGTTCAGGTCAAGCCAGAACTGACCACTGTTGTCCATGTCCTTCAACCGGTGAAGGGAAGAGACCAGGGTGCCTGCTAACGCAGTCGATGGTGCGACGGGTACAGGGCGCTCTTCCGTTGCATCGTAGAGGCTGCAGCACATGAAATAGTAAGGGCTTTGCAGGTAGTGCCTGCGCCAAGTCAGCTACCGGCGCCAAGCTGGGGTCAAATTTGACACTTACTGTGCGAGGTAAGTACCTTCCTCTCGCACTCGGAGCTGGACAATCGGGGGCGGATCGATCGGTTTGCGCTCTGCAGGCGCCGTTAGACCTAACTTGCTGTACCCCAGCTCGGGCCCCGTCTCTAGAGCGGGCATGGAGCTAGAGGAACCAGGAAGAGAGCTCCCACATACCTTTTTCCTTGCCCCCCGCCACGCGGGCCCGATTGGGCTGCTGGCGAATGGTCAAGTCAAAGTCAGAACTGGTGTTGTTCAACATGGTCAGTGGGAATCCCTGGACGACCGCGTAAGAGTTGCGACCCTGTCGAAGTAGACAGACAAACGACTCACCCCTGAGCTTCGCGCGAGAGAGAGGGGTCGGAAAATGTCGCTGCACTCATCAAGACGGGAAGTCACAGACAAGGCGGAAAAGGTGGAGAGAACCCAGTCCCAGGTTCGGAGGGTTGCTTGGAGAGATGACAGTGAACCAGGTACGGGAGTCCTCGGGAATACAGAAGACCAGGTAGAAGTGATCTGTGGTTTTACAGAGTAAAGAGTGGAAGAAGGGAAAGAACGGGTCTTTGGACCGAAAGAAATCCAGAAGATAAGGACAGGCTGGGAGAGAACCCTGGACGAGTCACGATGTCGTCGGAGAGGGGTGGCAGCTGTAGTGGGGTAATGGCTTTTTTTTTTTTTCGCGAAGACTTCAAGCTACCATGGAAAGAGACAAAATGAAGGACAAAGGTGCCGGAAGAGAAGAGAAGAGAGAGTCGTCCGGATGACGAAAACGGAGTGGTGTCGTCAGTTTGCAAGCGGACAGAGCCAACCGAGACAAGAAACCTTAAGCTGTTCGGATCTGTAGAACGGGGTAGCACTCTAGACGTTAACACATCTAAAGACTTTATTAATGCCCTGAAAGATTTGATGCTGAATTCCCTGGGAAAAAAATTCTAAAAAATCAATTGGACCACAGTCTTCCAATCCTCTGTCTCCTGAACAAATCAGAGTCCAGAGTTCGCCGCACAAAAAAAATAATAAAAAAAAATGTCGAACTAACCTAATGGATTCTCCAGTATAATCTTTTTCTTTCGTTCTTTTTTTGATTTTGAGGGGGCCAAAAAAAAGAGAGAGAAAAAAATTATATTCCAGGAAATCAAGACCGAAATCCCTTTTATACCACAGTAGCAATCTCTTCAGGACGAGAGCAGCTGAGGTGGAGCTCCTCTAACAAGAGTGAAACCGTTGGAAAAAATAGAAACCAAAAAAAAAGAGGATTTAGGCCCGTCGACGGAAAAAAAAAAAGAAAAAAATAATAGAAAAAAATAATAAAAAAAAAAGTGGAATGGGTTCAGCTGCCCACGGTCGAGGAGGCAAATGGTGATCCGGATTGGCAGTCACTAGAGCTTTTTTTTTCCCTCTTTCTTGATGAAGGCTAACCGCTAGTCCGCTAGTCCGCGTCTGTTTTCTTTGTGATTCAAACCCACAAGGTTGGCGCCGGCTATGCAGGTGATCAGACCCGGTTTTTTTTTTTTGCTGGACGCAAAAGAGCTGTCTAAACGCCAGGTGGACTCGGGCCCTGTGGTCCGGCGTCTAAGCATTCCAGTCAAAAGTGGAGATATGCACGATCAAGCCGCATCGCCTATGTCCGGGGCTGCGCTTGTGTCTCCACACTTCAATCCTGGAAAGCATCAGCAAAGATGTCTCGAGATATCAAAATAGTTCCCTTTGGTGACCATCTGACTCCCAACACCGAGCGCGGTTATAGATGCCGGCCAACATTGGGAAGGGGGATCAACCTTGGTTCACGATTGCCATTATGTCATCCCGAACCAAAGAATTGACTCCCCGGGTGCCTGCAGGTCCGAGGCTCCCACGGTCGCTTGACCACTTCCCTCACATGGGTAACGAACCAGAAATCCAAGGTCGGGACAGTACCTTTTTCTTGTCACCGGCTCCTCCTATACCCTCGCCAATATCTCAAGATCGTGAGGTCTTGAATTGCGGGGTTGCGTGGATCACTCGAAATTGGGAACGTCGAAGCTCGAATTGAACGGACACAATCGATGCGTCGAAGACACCGCTCAGGCACAGTCACAGATCGGTAGAACGATTGAAGGGGCCAACGGGGAGATGATCCCAGAGAAATCGCGCGCAGTGATGCGTAGCAAAGCCCGAGAGCGCTGGTCGAGCACCTTATTTCGAACTGAGACGACGAAGCGATACATGCCGGGACATGATATGACAGTGGGAAGAGGGAAATAGGGTCGGGGCAAAGGGGCAAAAAATTTAAGGTAAGCAACAATAGCGCAGGAACCAAGAGTGGACGACAAAGGCGTTTAAGGGGGGCCGGAAGGCATAATACACCCACGAACAACACACCACAGCCCAGCACGTATTGCTTTCCTAGTGATGCATCATATTTCTCAAAAGCAGCGGAAGCCCGAGAGTGCATGCAAGCTACTGTATGTCGACCACAGGTGGAGGCCAGTGCCGACACTGGTTGGTTCTATCAGCCGGAAATCCCTCGATCAAGCTATGCGGCGGGGACATACAGTTGGTCTTACCGTGCGATCGGGGCATGCATCAGCCCAGAAAAGACAAATCAATAAAGCGTGGGGTGGGGCAGTCCTGCATTGTGCATATCAGGCGTTCGTCATGGTTCAAAAAAGACCGGAAGTTCTAGGATGGACTACGGGGGCTGCTTTGCGCCACACTCGCTGACCCTCCATTTGCGGCTGAGGATGTACGGTACTTTTTTTTCCCCCAACTCCTTTTCGGCCACCTTCCTGGTTGGTCTCCGGCTGTGCGTACAGGTGGATCTCATGTCCTAGGGCGTTAGTTACGGCGTCTCCCCTAGGAACTTGCATCTGATACTCTTTAGACATGGCCGCTCGTCCTGGGTTGTCATTTGGCAAACATCCCAGATCCCAGCTTGCATGCAGATAAGTTAGTCTGGGGTTCAGGCTGGAGGGGCCATCCTCGCAATCGTCGCTCGTCAACATGTGACATGGGAAGCTGCAGGTACAGTTGGCTATGACAAGCATCACTGTCACAGTTCAGCCATAGGCCCGGCCATATGGGACCTATCTCCGCATTGGGGGAACATGATCACAGCGATCATATGCAAGGGTGAGGGACCAGGAAGCAATCTCAATCAGAGGGTGGCAATCAACCCCGGCAAAGTTCCCCCGACATTGATATTTGCAGCGAGAAGTATTCCCTCGGCAAATGGTTGGACTCGATGGGACCCGCTGGTGGTGGCTTTCCGAGGCAGCACCCAATTTCCGAGCACATCATCTGCAGTCCGCTACATTTGTGGAAATCGATGAGTCCAGGCTGACAAAAAAAGGGGACCGAATAAGGAAAAGGATAAAGTGAGGGGATGGAACGCACAGGATAGCGATATCATTTGCCCGTTCGATTGGGTCGAAACTAACATTGCGTTATGCCCGGGCGACAGTTCCTGGAAATGCAGTTGATAGGCCCGAAAAATACTCACGGCTCTACTCCGTAGATGCACATCATTATGCGACAAGCAAGCCCCAGAGCACGACCTGTCACTTTCCTTTTTTGACTTCCGGGTCTCCGCTCCCGTGCCAGGGGAGAAATCAGAAGTCGCAAGTTTCTTGGTCAAGGCGGGGAAAGCCACCACTTCCTCTGTCGGGGTGTCATGGTCTCGGTTATCGGAACCAGCAATGACATGTCCAGACTTGGGGGGTAGATGGACGAAGGAGGGGGCGACCTCAGTGCTAACAAGTAGAGGAAAGCGAGAAGAGAAAGGAAAGAAAAGAAAGTTCAAGTGCGGAAACAAACGAGAAAAAAAAATAATAATGACCGCCAACGAAGCGAAATTTTTTCCCATTTTTTTTTCTCCAATTTAAAAGTACAACACACACCCTGGCCAAAATCCACTGCGGCCCCGGTTGGAAAAAAAACTGGGAACTGTTAGTGTCGGGGTTGTAGTCCTCACAGTTGTAATAATAGGACAAAAGGAAGCTAAAGAGGGCGTGGAGAACCCCCCAAACAATGAACCCCTGTTCGGTACGCTATGAACTGGCAGAGGGGAGAGACAGGACACGGGATGGAAAGGCGCTTATTGACTACTGTAGGGGGGGGCCGGGATAAAGATTTTTTTTTTCCCTTAGGCTCACTCGGTGAGAAAGTGGACGAAAAAGAAGATCTCATTCAACAAAGACCAACTCACTCTAATATACGGAGTAGAGGCCTGCATAATCTGACAGCCGGGTCTCCATCCAGAACCAGCGGATGAGAGCTGCTAGGGGGCGCTACTATGTTTATGCTTAAATACTGGCTCTACAATGGTTCCATGGTGGTTTGGGGCCCGTTCCATGGTTGTGTTTCCTCCTGACAGCTGTTGGCGCCTTGACCGCCGATCTTTTGTCGATCGCTTACTTTTTGTCGGGACTATAGATTGATTACGCTACATTTCTGTCCTGTGAGATGTGTGCTTTCGTATTCTTTCTGATCTGTATGATTTGTAAATAAATTCTATCCAGCTGATGTCACAGTGTCCCAACCCAAATCTTACCTTAAAAGAGGGTTGGTTTTGAAATTTTCCGGTGGCTGCCACATCGATATGGACTCATCATTTAGGGATAGTAGGGCTTAAGAATTATGACTCGATCTCTTGTGGGTTTTTCCCCCCTCCCCCCACCCCTTTAAATTAAATCTTGTGCAAGGACAATCCTGGAAATGTGGTATGGAGTACGGAATATTCCGTGGCCAGTTCCTCCCCGGGTCCTCATGCATATCCCCTCCCCCTTGATGGAACACCTCAGATAAGCCGCAGATCCAGCCCTAAAGCGAGTAAGAACTACACTTTGATTCTTTATATACGGGGTAGAACAGCCAATAACCGGGGTTGTGGATGATCATTGGTCCAATCTTGTAGGTATCAGTACATTTGTTTATCTCATTTTTCGAATTGTGGCGTTTGTTACTGATTGAATATCTCCAACAGAATCCTGCGCGACATGACACTATTCCTACATACATGTAGACAGATCGTATCCAACGCCCAAGCCCACTCCGCAGGTATATCTTCATACGCCAGAGGGAACAAAACTACTAATGGATACATTGACAGAAGGTATGCTAATCACACGCTGTACTCATTCCTTGCAACTAGATAGAAGGGAAAGAGGAAGAGAAAAGAAAATTCCCAGATAAAAGACACCAGACACCCCCCGTCCTTGCTCCTTGCTGGATGAAATCTCTGAAAAAGCGGCTAGTAGTAAATGACCAAAGGAGAATCGACTAGTACCGCGCGACACATCGAATATGTCCGTCGCGCCCCGGGACGACCACGTAAAGTAACGTGGTTTTGAAGAAAAGAAAATTGAGGAAGAATATTAAATCGAACGATGGGGGACACGTGAAAGAAAAAGAAGAGAAGAGAAGAGGGAAGGGTAAAAAAGAAAATCAGAAATCTCGTTAAACAAACGCCCTGTCCACATGCGTAACTGACTTTGCAGGCGAAAAAAAAAACTTGGTCCCTCCTCAAATCATGAGTCTGAAGATTATCATGTCTGCATCACGACATCCCCATCCACCTCGTATTCGGCGTCAATCTCTGCGTCTGCATCTGCATCGGCGTCCGCGTCAGCGTCCGCGTCAATGCCATTGATATTGGCCACAGCCTTTTGGTCTTCACCCTTGCTTGGTGACTTGGAAGCCGACCCTGGATCAGCAGGGATCACGACATGAACTTTCTCAACTAAAGCCTTGCGATTGACCGATCCCGGCGTCTTGGGATTGTCATTTGGTCGACGGGGAACTGCTCTATCTGGCGATTGCGAGGTAGCCTTTGTGTTCTTCTCAGGGGTCTTTGGGGCTTCCTTATCCTCGGAGGGCTCCAACTTTGAAGCATGTATGCCATTAGTTTTGATCGCTTCCTCCGGAATATTGTCACCGTTGACACCCTCTGGTGCCTTTTCGGTTATCTCAGCAGCTGCTTCGAGGATAGGAGCGACATTTTCGGCATCTTCATCAACAATGGCTTCTTCCTCAACAGTCTCACTATGCTCCACTTCAAGACCATTAACCTGGTTAGGCATCGCCTCAGCTGCGGGCGAGTCCGTGAGGATGGAGCTTCTTCCGCGGCGAATGCTGCTGCCTCCGGGTGTGAGCATTGCCAGCCCAGAGGGTCGTCGAGGAGTGTTGCGGCCACCATTGCGAGCAGCCATCGGTGTGGTTGACGTGCTATTCACTTTGCTGCTACCAGACGGACGACCAGGTTTGCGTTTGGGGGGTGCAGCGGGAGGCACAGGAGGCCAAAGTTCGAACCGGGAGGGTGGGATCCCAGCTGCAGGGTTTGGAATTTCGGGCGGTTCAGGGTTGCCTACTGCTGGGTGGTGGGGGATATTAGGTAGCAGGGCCATTCTAGAAGGCGGTCCAGCAGATTCTGCAAGACCATCTCCATTTATCCCGCTCATGCGAGCATCGCGCTCATATTCTGACGGTTTTGCTTCCATTTCATCGTCTTCTTCATCTGGATCGTCTCGAGGGGCAACGGTGTGTAGGGGAGCACGATCGAAATGGGACTGGTTGCTACGACCCATGATGTATGGTGTCCAGAGCAGCGCATCTGGATTGAGCTGGACGTAGCCCTTGCTTTCCCAGCCGCTGATGACTTCATTGTAGTACTTATGATCGAGACGGATCGCATAAGTCTTAGTGATGGGATCCCGCACAAGAGCTCGAAGTCCTTCCAAGGCAGATACAATGTCATCCGCCGTCATTCCAGTGCGATCAGAGAGATCTGCGATGCTGACAGGCCTCTTCAAATCACGAAGTTGGTATGATAAGATCAGTCGCCAATAGTTCCGGTACGACACCAGACCCATGTCGGAAAGAGGCTTTTCGGGCGATCCATTCTTGCCTTCGATGCGCGTAAGTAGATATGAAAAGTCAATGAGGAGGTTGCCGTAGCCTTTGCGTTGATGAATGGGTAGAGTGAGAATGCAGGAGACGTTGTTCGCTGAACTTGGACGTTTTTCTTTACTGAAGTAGCCAACAAAATGGCAGCCCAGATCATCGTATTCAGTCATGACATAGAATAAGAAGGGCTCGACATCGTAGTAAAGAGTCTTAGAGCCAAGGAAGAGTTTTGCGAGAAGGCAAAGATTTTGACAATAGACTGGGTTCTTGCGTCCATCAACCTCGAATATTGAGATTGATCGGTCCCGATAAATCTCGTCGCCGGGGGATGCTTCGCAGGGCATTTTAGTTTATGGCGCCAGGCGACATAGTCTGAATTCATGTACTTGAGACAGAACTCGCAAATGTATAGAACGCGATTGCGGCTGTATTCCTCCGGATAGGGCGCTGCATACCAGGTTTCGATCTCGTAGCCACCAAAGTTGATGGATTTGATTTTTGAAGGAGGACCAGAAACCTTTTGTGATGCATGCGGAGTTGCTTCGCCATTGAGCTCTGCATCTCTCACTTTTTGCTGCCATTCGTCTTCGGCCTTCAGGCGAGCTTGTTCGAATCGATCACGGTCAGATTGAGTAGGGAGAGTCCTGGAGGTATCCTGCTCGACTTCGGACAGAATTCCTCCATATGGTTTTGATTTGGCGTCATCGCTTTCGAACAAAGTCATGGAGTTGTAGGATACTGGGGGGAGAGGGACAAAGTGTGCCTGGGGTTCTGGGGCCACGGGTGGCGGCTTGGGTGCTTTCTTTTTCTTGCGTTGGGATCTCATTTGAGACCCTGTTATTTGAGACATTTTCGCTTCGTCCAGCCGGAATCCAATGATCAATTTCCCAAACTGCTTGTTTACCACGCGGCAGTGCGCTCGGTCCACGGCACGAGTGCGTCGGACGCGTACAGAACGTGTCCGAGCAGGAGAGAAATTATCGCCGTCGCCAATTGCCTCCCCGCCCTCTGAGGCTGCAAGATTCAAGGCTGGGTGATCGGGGCGGAAGGACGTTTGTCGAAGTCTTTTTCGAAGTACAGGTGTATGTTCTTCTGCTTCAATCGATGAAGCTTTTCGTTTTCGTAGCGATCGTGAGCTGTTGAGGATCTCGTCGTTGACGCCTGTGTCGAAAATAGAATGGAAACCTTCGTCATGTGTACCAGCGTGCGCAGGCAAAAGCTCTTTAGGGAGCACCGCGGCCCCGGTTGCCATTTCTGTCGCCGAGATTGCTATCGTGTCAGGCTGCAGATTGTTCTCAACGCAACCGGGACACCTCCATGGATCTGAGTGTTGCGACGTCAATAAAATTCATCGGAGGGGAAAACGGTAGCCATGTGCCTACATACCTTCCGTGTCATCAAATGCTTCTTGTTCACGAGCGCATTGGCGATGAGCTGTTGAGTCGCCAAGTTAGTGAGTGTCCGACCTAATCGGGCTAAGCTTTTCAATTTGCTCAGTCCCCCCGTCAAATAGAGTGAAACATACAGTGATCACCACAAACAATGCAAGTAAGCCACTCCTCAAAATCTTCACTCGGGTCGTGTTCCTCGTCTTGGCTGCAAAACCTATAGGTCCGTGGTTAGTACCCACACATCCTAATTTGCGCCTATTGCAAGCTTGAGGTCTTCTACTTACACGCAATTTGCGCGACTGCGAATATCGGTGTCAACATCCTCACGATCATTGCTCTCAGCCTCCCAATCTTCGACTTCTGACTCATGATCACTCGAGTCAGATTCTGAGGCGTCACGGTCATTTGCCTCAAACCCGGGGTCGGCATCCGCGTCGGCTGTCTCAGACTCAGCATATTCCTCTTCGGAGACCGCATCTTCATCTGGCAGCTTGACAGCCCCAACAGGTTCAGCTTCATCATTGTCCTCATCTTCTTCTCCATTCAACTCATTGGCGCTTGAGTTCTTTCCATCTGCTGCGGCATCTGGACCATCTTCATCAACTTCCCCTGTGTATGCTCGGTGGACAGCATCTTGGAGTTGCTGGTCCATTTCGTACAAGTCCGTCTCATCTTCTCCCTCCGCATCTAGGTCGCTGTCGGCCGGGTCCACAGGCGGGTCGAGTTTGCCCGGTTCATCATTTGCTGGCGGCACCGTCGCCGCCATAGTGTAAGCTACCGCCACCGCCAGGTTGAGCACAACCGTGCCGTTTTTATGCGCACAGGCAGACTGGGTATTCCTATTTGTGAAATAACGTTGAACCGATCCGGTTACTGAAGCACCCCGCTGACGTCGGCGCTGATCCGGGGTCGCATCTGGATCAAAGGCGGGTTCGAGACAAGCTGGAGTAACGCCGAAGACTTGCAATAAGCCACACACCGTTTGGGATTGAGCTTCAAAGTCCCTAGGCGCAAAGTGGAAGCTAAACAAACAAGAGGTGTCAGTCCGCCGCCGGTGGCTCGAGCATCGCAAACGCGTCGCAAAACCAACGATACTCACCCCAAAGAATACCAGTGCAATCACTAATTTAAAAGCGTACCAGACGCGTCGGAAGACAGTCCATACACCTGGGTCTGTCTCTTTAATAATCGAATGCGATCCGCTGCGGCCTTCACGCCCCTTGTCCTGTGAGTGTCGTTGCAGCACGCTGACTCAGCACCGCTAAACCATTTTGGGTGGGGGAGACCTCAAGTCCGTCGCTGTACGAAGAGACACTCCCCTCCACACTCTCCGCGATTTATCCACTCTCGTCAGTCCGTGAGAGGCTCTACGGCTTTTGATTCTACCCCGGCACCTCTGTCCAATTACCTACACACATATACAACCGCACATCATGGGTGTTCCTTTCGAGGCTCTGCTTCCCTATGGGATTATCATTGGCGTACGTACCATTGGTCAATATCTTCCAGGGCTATAGCTCACCAATTGCTACAGATGTTCGGTGTCACTGGCTATGGCCTTCACTTTGTCAAGCGCTTTGCCAACGACGGCAAGAAGGCGCGCTGGAACCGTGACCTGTGGGATAGAGTAAGTTATTTCCATCCTTGTCGGCTGCGGTCGGAACTTGCATGGAATACAATGGCTAACAGATTCACAGCAAAGTAAGTGATTCACAACTTCTCGAATGACAGAAACCACCCTAGCGAAATATTTGAGACTTACCATAGCCAATAATAGTGATGGAGCGCGACCAGCGGATCACAGGTTCACTCCGCGGACAGTCCAGCAACCACCAAGCACCCACCGGCTTCGAAGTCAGCAACCCTTGGAAGGTAGGAATCATATACTCTGTGTCCCTCGCAATATCAGATCCTGAAATACTGACCCCAAACCCCAGATCGAGAGCCGGATCTACTAGTTTCAAAAATTGCAACCTCTTTTCCTTTACGTTCAATGTCTGCGCCTTCCTTGTTTCGTGACCATACATATCCACTGCAATTTTTCTAGAAACGGTGTACCATATCTTTCTTATCTCTCTTGGTTCTCCTCGTAGTCTGCTGAGTCGCCTACTTGAGCTCTGAGGTCCGTCCTCGAATCCCTTGAATCTCACTCTCACGGAGGTGCATATCGAAATACTTTGCCAGAGCCTTGACACGGTCATCCTCAGTCTCCAGCACCTGCAAGATCTCCGTTTGCCCACGCAATCTCTGCTTAACTTCTTTGCCAGACATCACGCATTGACCGATGATCTCAGTGCCACTTTGGTTCATGATCATTCGCACACAGAAAAAGACCTTAGTAAACCAGCTGGTTCGGCTCTGGCTGACAGAGAAGTTCATGATACCGAAATCTTGAGGCAGGAACTCCTCATCGGAAAAGCAGATCTGTGGAATCCAGTTGCTCTCGGGGTTATATCTTGTCTGGTAAATCCAGATCTTTCGGTTTGGATCCGTAAACTCGACAATATTTTCTCGCACAAGGCGCATTTCGGATGGAGCAATAGCTGTAGCAGTAGTGCCCTCTCGAAGTAATAGTGGAGCAGTGGCACCATTGTTTCCAAAGCCAACATCAACCTGTTCGTTTGTCTGAGCTTGGTCCATGCGCCAGGATCAGCCGAGATTCATTACTTACCATGTACTTCTCCCCGCCAATAATCACAATCAAAATCATGTGTCCACTTTACAGGATCAACGGTATTAGCTTGGCCGGAGAGCTAGTCCATCAGAGAACTTACAATGCCGTAAATAACCCGATATCCTCTCCTCCCGCCGCCGCATGGCTGACTCTACCTCCAGTGGCATAAACAAGGTATCCCAATGACCGCAACACAATGAAAAAAATTCCCGTATTCTCCATGCAGTACCCATCCAGCTGCCGTTCTACCAGCTTCTCGAACAGAATGTCCGGGTTCAAAGAGATAGTATGATGGTGCGAGTAATGCAGCCCCGAGTTTCCCCAGGGAATGGCAGTAAGATGCCATCTCTGCAGATCACATAGCGTAGCAAGGGCATCTTTTTGAATTTCCTGGCGGACATGCTGGAGAAGATTGCTGTCGGATTGGGCGGTTTTGGAGTATCCGATACGCTTCAAGTATGACTCCAATTGTTGATCGGTGTATGTGGGCTTGGGAGATGCCATGGTATGCTGTTTGGCTTCTGTAATCGCCGAAGAAAGTATATAACGTCTATGTCTAAGAAAATGAAGAGAAGCAAGAGAAGTGAATTTGAGGATTGGAATGATTCTACTCCAGCTTTGGGCTGCAGGCCTCGTCCAGCCAAATTTGATGACCAATATCAAACCCCACACTTTCCCCCTCACTTCGACACGGCCTCCAGCACGGCAGTTGCTGCATTAACTTGCACTCGGATATTATTAGACTTAGTCGGGATATTCATGTTAGCCCTGGACTTTCTCAATAACCTCTCCACATCTAGGTCATCGTACATAGCGGTTCTGGTGGTCTATGGTTCAATTGGTTCGGGGGTGGTGCCAAAACGCCAAAGCTGACAACTCTGGGAGCACGATCCGAGTAAACCGGTCTGTACCTGAGACCTTTAAATCTTAGCTCTTTGTGATGACCTGTTTTTCGTTGGTGGCTGGGCCGGGGACTCGCCAGGGCATTCCTATCATCGGATATAGGCTCGATTCTTACAGGCCAACCCGGCGAGATATATATGGAAGAATTGGGAGGTTATGACCAATATTACTCTGTCGCACTATGCAAGAATGGTACCTGGGAATCTCTCTTTTATGCGGCATTGAAACTGCCATTGGGAAACACTCAAAACGAATCCTCCAACGTAGACAGCAGTCAAGACATATAAAGCCGTGCCGAGTACATATTATTGAGACTGAAAGTTGCTATGGATATTATCTACAGAGTTTATACTCCGCATCCCCGCATATCTTTGTGGATAGACCTATAGGCTCATTCGATGTTAGCAGGGGCGAAGCTACCTAATGTCCGCCTTATATTCAGGGGTGGGTCAATCCTCACAGTCAGCGTCACTTGGCAATGGAAGTGGTGAGTCCCGAGGTCAATCATCTGCTTGTGAACAAAATCTAGGCCTATTTTCCTCGAGGATATCACCAATATATCATTCCTAACATCAACTAACTACCCCACATGTCCTCAAAGAACAACTATGTAATCCTCAGGATCACCTCGGCTATCATCGCAACTCTCTTGCGAGGGTCTACACGACCCTTCAGAGAATTGGGGACTCGAATCGTAGATCAAACGTAAAAATATGAATATATATTATACCCAATACTTCCCAAATAAACAACAAGGCCGTGGAACGTGCCTTTCGAAGATCTGAGATATAGATCTCCGATGATGTATTCCTCCGATATCCGGACGGACGGACATGTGCTTCGACTGATTAGCGAATGGGCCTTTCGTCGCATTTATATTGATTCTCATCTAACTTCTGCTTTTCACTCCGAGCATCAAACCTTACATATCCACACTAATCCAGCAGCACAGGAGCACATCGCCCCTCCAACCGCAAACCCCCGCATCTGACACAATGGCTACACTAAACGAGCAACTTGCGACATTGATCGAGAACTACTCACCCTGCGATGTAAACAACGATAGCCCATTTATAACCTGTTAGCCAGTACATCTAACATCCCGAATAGGTATCAGACGCCCTCATCAAACTACAAAAGACACCCGAGGGCAGCACAGCAAGAGCAGGTTATCTTGCAGATCTAGGTAATTTCCCAAACTCGCCAATGTATAGCCTCATATCCATTAACGTATATCCCTCAGTCCCATTTTCTCCCATAACAGGACGAAATGAAACAATGTCCAAGATTGCCGCCCCAGCAACTACATTCAAGTTTCTTGCTAAAGAAGCCAGCCCGCCATCAATCGCAACAGAAAATCCCGAAAAGCATGGGTTTCCTCCCGGTAAGCACTGGGTGGATCATGTTGGCGCGTATCAAGCGTCGGATCCCTCCGGTGCTGGATCTATTGTCGTCATTGAGCAGCCTGAGGACCAGTACTGCGCTGTGACGGGTGGGATCATGGCAACTCGGATGAAAGCCCTTGGTATCAAAGCTACGGTTGTGGGCGGCCGGGTTAGGGATTTGAAGGAATTACAGGCGACTGGACTTCCGGTTTGTGGTACTATCCCCTGCTTCTGGATAGCGTGACTGATTATGTTTGGTGCTGGTAGATCTGGGCGCGCGCTGCTTCTACGGTTGGGACCAATGCTGAGGCGAAGGCTGGGGCTCGTGATGTGCCGATTTCTATTGGGGGTGTTACCGTTTCTCCTGTGAGTTCCGAGTCCCGTGGTGTCTCTTGGTTGCTTTATGGTGGGATTTAAAGTCTAATATGTATGGTGCGTTATAGGGAGATATTATCTTTTGTGACCCATTGGAGGGAGTGGTGGCCATTCCTCGCGAGCTTCTTGGTCAGGTGCTTGATCTCATGCCTGCGTTGACAAAGATGGATGACCAGGCGAAGGAGGCTGTTGCGCAGGGAATGAGTGTCACTGATGCTTTCAAGAAGTTCCGCTCATAGACAGCTTGGAGTTGAGTGTATATGGCTAGCTTGCATATAAAGCGAGATAACCGGAAAATCCTTGTACAAACAAACATCTGGACATATCGTAAGGAATCTACGGCAACGGTTGTATCAAAGTTAAGCAAATATACAGAACAGTTGTAGGTGAGTCAAATCGTATAGCATTCGAGGTATTCAATACATAACAAGAAATCTGTGTATCCAAAGAAGAAGAAAAGGGCCTAAAGGCCAAATCGCTGTGCAAATGTACAAGTGAAACATAAGCTTCGTTTACTCCGCAACCCAGACAGCGGCCATACCCATACCGGTACCGACACACATGCTGGTCACACCAATTTTCTTGTTTGTGCGCTTGAGCTCAGTAAGCAGTGTGCTGACCTGGCGAGAGCCAGTGCAGCCAAGAGGGTGACCGAAAGCAATAGCACCACCCTTGGGGTTGATCTTCTCAGCAGGAATGCCGAGCTCGTTGACACACCAGACACACTGGGAAGCGAAGGCCTCGTTGATCTCGTAGATATCAACATCATCCTTGGTGATGCCGGCCTTCTCCAGGGCAACGGGAATAGCCTTCCAGGGGCCGATACCCATGAGCAGGGGCTTGACGCCGACGATGCTGGCGGCAACGTACTTGCCGATGATCTTCTGGCCCAGGCGCTCGGCGGTGGAGCGCTTCATGAGAATGACGGCGGCAGCACCATCGGAGATCTGGGAGGCGTTACCGGCGTGGATGGAACCATCCTTGGCAAAGGCGGGCTTAATCTTTCCAAGGGACTCGGCGGTGATGCCGGGGCGGATGCCATCATCAGCCTTCACGGTGATGGTCTTCTCCTCGCCGGTCTTGGGGTCGGTCCACTTCACGTCCAGGGGAGCGATCTCCTCGTTGAAGAGACCGGCCTTCTGGGCGGCAAGAGCCTTTTGGTATGAGTTGGCGGCGAAGGAGTCCTGGGCAGCGCGAGTCACGCCGCGGTCCTTAGCCATGTTCTCGGACAGAACGCCCATGGGGACCTTGCAGTTGGCGGACTCGGGGTGGCTCTCGAGGAGGTCAGAGAACTCGGTCACAGCACCGGGTCTGGATTATCCAATGTTAGATACTATCAAAAGCAGAGATTGTGGGGTAAGGCAACCTACCCGTACTGAGAGGACATGCTCTCAACACCGGCACCAATACCAACTTCGATCATGCCGGACTGGATACCATTGGCAATATCGGCGATGGCCTGGAGACCGCTAGAGCACTGACGGTTCAAGCTCCTGACGGCGGTGGTCTCGGGGAAGCCAGCCACGAGAGCGGCAGCACGGAACTCAGTGGCACCACCACCGGGGGCGAGGACGGAGCCAACGGCAATATCCTCAACGACCTTGGGGTCGAGACCACTCTTGTCCAGAACAGCCTTGAAGACACCAGCAAGCAGATCAGCGCCAGCGGTGTCCTTAAAGCCACCCTTTCCACCCTTGGTGAGGGCAGTGCGGAGGGCGCATGTCACGACAATATCATCGGCGTGCTTCTCGAGGAGGGCGGCGGCTCCCTTCTTGCCGGCAGGGCCGAAGTGGGAGGAAACCTGGTTCAAACGTTGCTGTGCTATAGGCGGAGGTTAGCTTCCTGGTTTTCTATCTTGAGAACACTTCTAACGAGCCGTTCGAAGCAGTGTTCCGTTTAATACAGTAGCTGTCACATGCACATGCACATGCACATGCACTTACCGTTAGACATGACGTCAATGTGGAAGGGAGTGAGGGAAATATGGAGTTGAAGAAAAGATCGAGAGGAGAATAAGGAGGTCGCTGAGATATGGAAAGCCGTTCGTTTATAAACTACTAGGGTCTTAGGATCGGTCTTATTTCCCCTTTCGACACCCGCTGCTGGCCGCCGTGACTTTGTGAGAGGAACCGAGGTCCATTCAGTCGCATCATTATTGATCCGTGCAAAGTCACGGGATCCTCGACTGGATCCGGGGACAGGCATGTGAAACCTGTGGATCACATGCACGTGCTGGCCGAGCTCACATTCTGCAATTTAAGAACGTCATCTAAGTAAGCTCGGCATGTGTCTGCAGGTGTGATGGGTGTTGATCCGCGCACCCCAAAAAGTCACGTTTTTCACCCCATTATATAATCAATTTTTTACATAATTTGTAAGTTCGGGAAAAACAGGGCAAATATCACATGATTATCAACCTCATCTATCCATCTGATACCATACATGATGCCAAACAACAAAAATAACCTCATAATTTCCGCATTGGGCAACCCCTAAACGTATGATCGCCCTCCCCGCACTGTGAGCACCTGCTTGGGGCCTTCCGCTTCTTCTTTGGACCCTCCTCCTTCCCCATTGGACCATTTCCGACCCTTTTTGTCTTCTCCGGCATATTGGGGGGTAATATTGGCACTGTTTGGGTGCCAGAAATAGGCATAAGATACTAAAATGGGTCGATTTCGCTTAATAGGATTGGCTAGTTTGATCTGATAAGATCAAATAGTCGATGCTTGTAGGGAAGCCCTATTGAGCGGGTAAAATACCCTATACACTGCCTAATTGGGGCGTTTTGTAGTGCAAACTCCCGCTATTTATGGATTAATTGGATTATATGTATACCTATATATAATCGAATACTTCTATATAGGGTAATATATGCTATTTTAGGGGTTAAGATCTGACTAGATCCTATCTAGATCCGGAGTTCTATATACTGTTTATTAATATGTTACGGTATTTCTTTGTTATACTATTTTGCCTTAGGCTCCCTTTCTCTTAGACGGAGGAGACCCCTCCGAATACCCCACGATGTCGGGATGGAACTAATATGATCCGGTCCCGAGAAGCGGGGAACCTAAATCATAAAAGGAAGACACCTATAGGGAAAGGGAAGGTAAGATTTAGTCTTAGAACCAATATAGAATCGAATACCCTTCGTTCTAACTACGTATCCCTCTTATATTATTATTTACCTAGTTAATAAGTACTACCTTAATAAATAGTTACCTTAATAATTCTAAATCTTCTTCTTTAACTACCTAAAGAAATGATAACGAGATAGAGTTTACGATCCCGATAGGGTAATAAGGAGATACCTCTATAAGAAAACCCTATTATCTACGAGATAGAGGAGGGAGAGACCTAATCTTTATTAGGACTCTCGGAAGTACCTACTACTACTAGTAGAGATAACCGATAACCCTCCGAAACTACCCTAAATCCTTAGCGAAATAAGGATAATTCTTAAGTAATCCTTAAGAAAGAAACCTTCTAAGCCCTTATAATAAGGATCGAATAGCTTAAAAGAGTAGCCGAAACACTAATATATCGTAGTTGGATTTATAGTAATTTACTAAACCTACGTAGTTAGGAAATCCGTTTTAAGAACTCTGACTTTATAGAAGAATTCTCGATCTAAGAAAGAGAAGACTAGTTATTTAGACTATACCTAGAATTCGAAGGAGTAAGTAAAAAATATAGTACTAAAAAATAAAAGATCCTTAGTGTCCTATCCTATATAAATAGGAACTACTAATAACTTTAGTATAACTACTTAGACGAAATACCTTTAACTCTAAGCCGAATTATATAAGGTTCGTAAGCTTACCTTAAGGAATAGACTCTATCCTTAATAAAAAATTCTATAAATATATAAGCTACCGTTACTAACTAAATATAAAGGATAATCTAGCGAAACGATTAAGACCCGAGAGACTTTTACTATAAGTTAAATCTCTTAGAAAAATATTTCCTAAAGTAAAGCGAGGAATAAAGAGCCCTTACCTTTTTCTTAAAACTTAATTATAGACTTTAAGCCTATATCTATAAATATAACCTAACTCTTCTAAAAACTCGGGGGAGATAGTCTCTATTATATTAAAATTTTAGGAGCTTTAAAACTAGAAGACGAAACCTAAACGAAAAGCGACCGAATTAGGATAGGGAGACCTAGATATAAAAAAGAAAAAAAGAAAGTTCGAAAAATATAATAAAAACGAAAACTCCTCCGAAAAAAGAAATCTAAAGGACTTAAGGTCGAAAAGGCGCGGAAACCCTATCGATAAAAAGATAGGAAAGAAACTTACCTATTATACCTATTAAAGTAAGGATTACCTTTTAAATAAATATCTAAACGACTCCCTAATAAAGAAAATAAAAGTATAACTAGTAAAAATAAAAGGATCCTCGACGAAATAGTAGGGAAACGAGAGCGGGTCGGAGTAGATTCCCCTACTCCGACCCTCTAGATCGGAACAACGATATACTTCTATACTCCGATCTTAGTAGGAAAAATTAAAACCTATATAGACCTAGATAGTTATATAGAAGTCGACCTCGTTAGTTATAAGTTTATAAAAACTTAAAAACTTTAAAAAGCGAAACTTATACCTCCTATTATTAAAGTAGTAGGACGTAAAGAAGTAACTACGTATAGGGTATAGAACGTCCTTATAACTATTATAGATAGTAGAGGAATTACTAGAACGTTTATATAACCCTATATTATTATCGATAAAGATCTAAGAATTTTAGGTAGTCTAGTACTACTATTAATAATAACCCTAGTTAACTAAAAAATTAATCTCTCTCTACTAAATCGAAAATAGTAGTTTAATACCCTAAACTATAAAGCTATAACCCTATACCGGTTTATAAAAGAGTATAGGAACCGTATATATATCTATATTATAGTAAAAATACCCGAAGAAGTATAACTTCTATACGAAGAGGATAGGGATATAGAAGAATCTCCTAACTTACCTTCGGAACTATAGGGATTCTATAACGTCTTCTCTATAAAAAACGTATAAACCCTTCCCTTAAATAAGGTTATAGACTATACTATTAATATATTACTAGAAGAAAACCCTCTTTACGGACTAATCTACCCCTTATCCTAAAAGGAACTAAAAGAACTTCGGGAGTATATTAATAAGAACCTAGAAAATAGATAAATCCGACTATCTAAAAGTCCTATAGGAGTACCGATCCTCTTTATTCTAAAAAAGGATAGCGGATT